GCCGGCTGCTTCTCCATCGCGGCGGCGCCAGTGGGTGCCCGGGCGACGCAGCAGTTCTCCTTGTCCATCCGCGCGCGGTGGCTTGCCTCGTCAGCGCGCGTCCGGGTGGGCAGCGAACTGACTGTTTGACGTCGGGGACGATGGCTCGGGCAGCTTCTCGACACAACTGCCGCGCGAGCGGCCGGGCTGCCGGGAAGCATGTCGACCTTGCAGCACCGTCGCTGATGGTGAACCTTGCGGCTCGAGCTCATTTCATCGCCTGTCGCGCTTGGCCGCCGTCCGAAGCGCCGTGCCGTGCGCCGCGACCGCACCGTTGCTGGCACGCAGAAGCGTCGCGAGGCTGCGAACGTCGGTCGGTGATCGCAACACAGAAAGCGCCGCGGCGTCGACGCGCGCACGCGATCGGCGATGGCGCTGCCGCTCTTCGGGCAGCAGGGCGGCGTGTCGCGGAAGCAGGCGCCGTCGCTCCTCGAGACGGAGCACGCCGCCAGCGATGCGGAGCTCCTGGAGTCGGCGCGGGCCGCGCTCCGCGACCTCTGCGACGGCGGCGCGCGCGCGCTCGACGGCTTCGGCGCGTCGCTTCTCGGCCCCGCGTCCGCCGAGGCGGACCGGCCGACGATGGACGCGGCGGCCCGCGACGCGCACGACGCGGCGCTCCGGGCGTTCGTCTTCGCGCTCGCGCCCGTCGGCGGCCGCTTCGAGGCGCACGTGATCTTAGATTATTTGGCGCGGACCGCGGACCTCCTCGAGGCCTGCCCGGCGGACGCGCTGCGGCTGCTCGCGCCGCACTGCGCCGCGTCGCCGTCGGCGGCGCGCGTCTTCTGCCGCTGCGCCCTCGCGAGCCCGCGGCTGCCGCGCAAGTGGGCCTTCGCGGTCCCCGCGGCGAAGGAAGCGGAGCGCGCGGCCGTCGCCGACGCGCGGCCCGTCGCGCTGCCCGCGGCCCTCTTCGGCAACGCCTGCGCCGCCGACGCGGCCTTCGCCGAGGACGTCGCGGGCCACGCCGTCGCCTGCGCCGGCGCCGCGGCGGACGCTGTCGAAGCGCTGACGAACGGCGCCGCGGCGGACCTGCCCCGGACCTTTGCGCCGATATTCGCGTTCGCCGCGCGGTCTTTGAGCCGCGCGGCCGCGCGCGGCCGCGACGGCAAGCTCGCGCGGCGGCTCCTGCCGAAGGCGTCCGCGTTGCTGGACACGCGGGGCCCCTGCGCGCCGGACGCGCGCGCCTGCGCCGAGGCCGTCCTGCTCGCGCTCTGCGGCCAGGGGTCGCTGAGCGACGACGCGTCCGACGCGGCCGCGGCGAGCGTCATCGACGCGTCGCTGCGCACCGGCGCGCTAGAGAAACGGAGCCTGGCCGTCGCACTCACCGTGGCCGCCTCCAAGAGCTGCCGCGCGCGCGGCGCGGCGGGCGCGCTGCCGCGGGCCGCGCTGTTGAAAGTCGTCGCGGCCCCGAACGTCGAGGCCGTCGCGCGGTCGCTGGAGGGCGACGCCGCCGCGAAGGTGCTCTGCCCCCAGCTCGCGGATTTGGCGGCGTCGGACGACGGCGACGCGGCCTTCCGCGTCCTTGAAACCGCCTTCCTCGGCGCGGGCGCGCCGCACGCGGCGCTGGCGTTGCGGTCCGTCGCGCGCCGCGAGGCGACGCCGCGCGTCGCCGCCGTCGTCGCCGCCGCGGCGCGCGCCTGCGGGTCCGGTGTCCTCGCGGGCGTGCTCGCCGACGACGCGCGCCTCGGCGCGTTGCTCGAGGGCGACCGGTCGCCCGCGCTCGCGGCGGTGCGCATCGTCCACGGCTGCGCCGACGTCGCCGCGGCGATCCGCGACCTCGCGGCGGCGCCCGGCGACGACGCCGCGTCGGCCCTCGCGGCGCTGGCGGCGGGCCCCGGCGCCTGGGACCACCTGCGCCTGGTCTTCGGGCACACGAGTCTCGTGGAAGCCCTGGAGACCGCTCCGTGCGAACCGCTCGACGACGCGCTCCGAACGTTGGCGACCGCCGCGCCGCCGCCGGACCTGGCGGCGGCGTTTTACGGCGGCCTCCTCGCGCGCGCGGACCTGCGGCGCCGCGCCGGCGACGCGAGCTGGCTCGATCTAGCCGCGCCGGCGCTCCGCGACGGCGTGCCGCCGCTCGAAGTCGCGGGCCGCGCGAGGCGCGCGCCGCCGCTCGTGCTGGCGCTCGCCGCGGGCGACGGCGCTCTCATCGCCGAGGCGCTGGCGGCCCCGGGCCTCGCCGGCGACGTCGCGCGGCGCATCGGGCCGGGGCCCGACGGCCGCACGTGGGCGCGCGCCGTCGACGCGTACGTCGGGAACGCCGCGGACGCGGCCGACGCCGCGGCCGTCGCCGCGCCGCGCCTCGTCGACCTCGCGGCGGACGACGCCACGGTCGGCGAGATCGCGGACCGCTGCCTGCGCGCCCTCGCCGCGGCGCCGGGCCGCCGGGCTTTAGCGCAGGAGTGGGGGCTCCGGCGGCTCGCGGACCGCGGCGACCTCGCCGCGGGCGTCGACGCGACGGCCGCCGCGCTCGGCGTCGACGGCCTCGTCGGCGTCGTCGCGTACGTCGCGGCGCACCCGGCGCCGCCCGCCGGCGCCGCCGCCGCGGCGCTCGGGGCCCTGGGCGACGCGGCCGCGAAGAAGCGCGCGGCCGCGAAACCCCAAACCCCGGACGCCGCGGTGCCCGCGCTCGTCGCCTGCCTCGCGTCGGCGGACGGCGACCTGCGCGCCGCCGCCGCCGAGACCTGCGCCCAGCTCACGGGGTCGCCCGCGCGGACCGCGCTGGCGACGTTCGCGCGCGGGCGCCGGGCCGCGCTCGCGGCCGACGGCCGGACGCTCGGCCGCGCGCTCGGCGCGGCGCTCGTCGAGGACGCCGACGGCCCCCTGGCGGCGGCGGTCTACGCGTCCATCGCCGCGCCCTTCGACGGCCGCGGCGGCGACGCGGCGCTCGCGGCCGCCGTCGCCGCGGCGCTCGGCGACAAACTCGCGTGGTCCGACGGCGCGCTCGGCCCGGCGCTCCGGAGCGCGCTGGGCGTCGCCGCCGACGACGACGACGCGCCGAAGAAGAGGAAGGCCCGGGGCACGAAGCTCGGCGCCAAGGTCGCGCCCAAGGCGGCGCCCGCGGCCGCGGCCGCGGCGCCGTTCGGCGCGGCGCGCGCGGCGTCGTTCCTCGCGGCGTCGTTCCTCGCGGCGAAGCTCGGCGGCGGCGACGGCGGCGACGACGACGGCGCCGCGGCGCGCGTCTGCCTCGCGGCGCTCGGCGCCGCCGGCGCCGAGGCGCCCGCGGGCGACGACTACGCGAGGCAGGCGTGGGCCGCGGCGCCGGCGCCGTCCGCGCGCGCGGTCGTCCTCGGCGCGCTCGCCGGGGCGCCGGAGCCGGCCCTGCGGCGCTGCTTCTCCGACGCGGAGCGCACGCAGCTCTTCGCGGCGCTGCTGGCGCTGCTGCGGCGGGACGGCGCGGCGCTCGCCGAGGACCGGGCGTCCGCGCTCGCGGCCGTCGCGGCCGTGGCCCCGAAGAGCGCCTGGCCCCGCGCCTGGGCGGCGGCCCTGCGCCGGCCCGGGGTCGCGGGGCTCGAGGGCGACTGCGCCGCGCTCTTGGAGGCGTCGGAGGCGCCCGGCGCGCGCGACGGCGGCTGGCTGCGGCCGCTCTTCGCGGCCGCGAAGAAGCTCCGCGCCGCGGCGGCCTGGGCGACGCTGCGGGCCGTGCTCGCGGCCGCGCGGGGTTTGCTCGAGGGCGACGGCGCGCACTCCATCGCCGCCGCGGACGTCGCGGGCGACGTCGCGTTCCTCGTCGACGCGGCCTCCGCGGACGACGGCGGCGCGCGCGAGGGCGCCGCGCGGACCCTGGCGCTCGTCGTCGAGGCCGACGCCGCCGCGGCGGCGGCGCACTGGGCGCGGGCCTTGGGCGCCGCGCGGGGGTCGAGCGTCGGCGCGCGCGTCGCCGCGGCCGTCGCCGCGGCGGCGCTCGAGCGCGGCGCGGCGCCCGCGGCGCTCTTCGACGCGGCGCTCGCGCCGGCGGAGGCCGACGACGACCCGTCGCTCCTGCGCGCCGTCGCCGACGCGTTGGGGTCCGCGGGGCCGGCGGCCGTCGCTTTGGCGTGCCTCGCGCGGCGGCGGCCGCGGACCGCGGACCGCGTGCTCGAGCGCGGCGACGCGGACGACCAGGTCAAGGCCCTGGGCCACGTCGCGCGGAGCTGCCGCCCCTTGCTCGTGGCCGCGCGCGCCGACGAGGCCTTCGACGGCGCCGAGTCGGGCGCCTTCCTGGAGCCGTGCTTCGCCGCGGGCGCGGCGGCGGCGCCCGTCGCGGTGCGCGACGTCGCGCGGTCGCCGGGCGCGGCGCTGAGCCTCGTGGCCGTCGCCGCGGGCTTCGTGCGGAAGCGCGTCCTCAAGCTGAGCCACGAGCCCGAGCTCGCCGCGGGGCGGCACCGCGGGCGGAAGCGGCGGCGGAACGGCGACGACGCGGACCGCCTCGCGGCCCAGCGCTTCCGCTTGGTCCTCTGCCAGGAGCTGAGCGGCGGCCTGGGCCTCGTGCCCGGGGACCCGGCGCGCGACGACGACGACGCGGCGCGGCCGCGCGCGTTCTCGACGGCGTCGCGGCCCGACGACGACGACGCGTGGCCGGCCGGCGAGGCGCCCTGCGGCGCGCGCCACTTCGCCCACGCGGGCCGGGCTTTAGGCCGCGCGCTGAAGCGGGCCCTGGGGCTGCTCGACGCGCCGGGCCTGCTGTCGTTCGTGGAGAAGGTGCTGTCGCGGCCGTGCCCGACGCGCGCGCGCGACGCGACGACGCGGGCCCTCGACGAGCGGCTCGACCGCGAGCGGCCCTTGTTTCGGGCGCGCGAGCCCGGCGGACCGCCGGCGGCGACGCCCTTCGCGCGCGTGCTCCTCGAGGAGACGCTGCCGAGCCTCGCGCGCGCCGTCTCCGGCGACGTCGAGCACCCGCTCGAGGACACGGCGGACGCGCGGCACGCGTCGCTCGTCGCGGCGAAGATGGCCGACGTGCTCGCGCGCGCCCTCGCCGAGTCCTGCCGCGGCGACGACGGCGCGCGCTTCGAGGTGCTCGTGGAGGCCGCGTGCGCGGCGCTCCCGCCCGCGTGCGACGGCGCGGCCGTCGAGGCCTACGGGCCCGAGCGGCCCGCGGCGGTCTTCGCGCTCGTGCAGACGCTGCTGGCGACGCTGCGGGACGCGGCGCTGCCGGCGCTCGGCGCGGGGCTGCCGCGGTGCCTCGACGCCGTCGACGCGGTCTTGGCCGTCGCCGCGGCCGACGCGCGCGCCGCGCGGCGCCTCGGCTCCCTGCGCGCCGCGGCGCTGCGCACCGTGCTCGTCGTCGCCGCGACGGTGCCGCGCTTCGCCCACGTCCGCGCGGCCGAGGCCGAGGCGGGCCGCAAGATCGCCGACGCGCTCGCGCGGGGCGTCGAGCCGCGCGTCCTCCTGCCGGCCGTCGTCGCCGCGCACGACGCCGCGGCCGCGGCCGGCGGGCCGGCGGCCGCCGCGGCGCTCCGCGTCGCGCTGCCCTGCGTGGCGCGCATGGGCCGCGGCGCGGCCAAGGCCCACGCGGCGACGGTGGCGTCCCTCGCGCTCGGCGCCGTCGACCACCGCGCGCGCCTCGGCGGCGCCGTCCAGGGCGCCGTCGACGCCGCCGCGACGGAGCTGTCGCTCGCGCTCCTGTCCAAGCTCGGCGACGCGGAGCTCGTCGACTGGCTCCGCGCGGCGGCGGCCTGGGCCGCCGCGGCGCCCGACGCCGCGGCGCCCGCGGCGGTGCTCCGGCCCGCGCCCGCGACGGACGACGAGGCCGCGGCGCGCCGGTCCGCGTTCTACTACCAGGTCGCGACGCTCGCCACGCGGTTCCGCGAGATCGCCGCGCCGCGCTGCCTCGACGCCTGCTACGACCAGTGCGTCCGCGACATGGCCTGCCCGGCGGAGGCGCGGGCCGGCAAGAAGAAGCGGAAGCGCGCCGACGCCGTCGCGGCGGCCGCGCGGCGGCTGCTGAGCTACCGCGCGCTCGGCTGCGTCGCCGCCGTCGTCGGCCACCTCGGCGAGCGCCTCGCCGGCGACCGCTTCGACGCGGCGCTCGAGCCCCTCTCCGCGGCGCTGACCTACGACGCGGCGGTCTGGGCCGCGCCGGCGGCGTTCGCCGCGTTCGTCGCCGCGGCCGCGGCGCCCGCGGCCGCGGCGCTCGGCGACGCCGTCGGCGACCCCGCGCGGCGCCGCGACCTCGCGCTCCGCCTCATGCTCCTCGCGCGCGACGGCGACGGGCCCACGCGGCGCGGCGCGCTCGCGGCCGTGCGGTCGCTCTGCGACGCGCTCCGCGAGGACGCCGCGGACTTCGCGAACCAGCTCGTCCAGGGCGTCGCGGAGTGCCTCGACGACCCGGAGTGCGCGCCGGACGCGCGCGCGCTCGTCCTCCTCGTCGAGTCCCACACGGGCATCCGGCTCGTGTGAATGGTAATCGGACTAAGTATCGGACTCAGGCTGGCAGCCTGGCGCGTTCCCCGGCGCGCGGCGTCGCGCGGTGCGACTCCGAGTCGCAGTCGCACTCCGGTTCCGAGTCCCCGCGCGATGCGAGCACGCGCAGCGGCGCTCCTTTCGTGGAGCGGTGCGTACGAAGCAGCTGGGGAACCGGGGTCTTTACATTCGCGCGCCTACTTGTCCGCGCTCGACATGCCGAAGAGGCGGTTCATCTTCTCGATGTCGCTCTCCGACGCCAGGGCCTCGCGGGGCGCCTTGATCTCCTTCACCGCCGTGGCGCCCTCGCCGCCCTCCTCGTCGCCGCCCTCGAGCGCGCCCTCGACGGCCTTGAGCTGTTTTCGCGCGGGCCGCGCGGGCGCGGGCGTGTCCATGAACGCCTCGAGGTCGTCGGCGTACTTGGCGCCGTCGAGCTTCATCTCCGCCGGCGCCTCCATGAAGAGCTTCGGGCGCTCGACTTCCGGCTTGGAACCGAGGAAGCCGAAGCTCACCTTGTGTAACAGTTTTGACATGCGGCTCGGCTCGGCGCAAAGGGGCACGAGTCGCACGGGGGCCGCGCGGCGCACGGCGGGCGCGAAGGCGCCGCAGACGGCGACGAGGGCGTGGAGGAGGCGGACCATTTTGTGCGGAAGGATGCGCGCGACGATCGACGGCAAGTGCGAGCTCCGTCTCGCTAAGCCGATGGTGTTTTGTGCATCGAGGCCATGTTAGGCTCAAGTTGAAGCCCTGGGCCAAAGACGCGATCCGGATCCTTTCTGCGCATCCAAGGCTCCGAGGACAGGCAGAAGAAACGACGAAACAAAGAGCCAAAAATAAGGTTACTACCCTTGCGGGATCGCTTCGAACGCGGCGAACGGGTTCGCCGGAGGCGCCGCGGCCGCCGGAGGCGGCGGCGGCTGCTGCGGCGCGAGCGGCGGCTGCTGCGGCGCGAGCGGCGGCGGCGGCGCCATCGCGAGCGGCGGCGGCGCCATCGCCGCCGGCGGCGCCGACCGAAGCGGCGGCGGCGCGACGGCCCACATGTCCGCCGGCGGCGCGGCCGGGGCGACCGCCGGCGGCGCCACCGGCGCGACCGGCGGCGGCGCCACGGGCTGCTGCTGCTGGTACTGCCGGGCGGCCATCTGGTCGAAGAGGTCGAAGGGGTTCGCCGGCGGCTGGAACGCCGGCGGCTCCGGCGCGGGCGCGGGCGACGACCGCGGCGTCTGCGTCGGGCTGAAGGAGAGCAGGTCCGCCTCCGGCGGCGGCGGCGGCGCGGCGGGCGCGGCCCGCTCCGGCGCGGCGTTCCGCTCCCCGACCCTCAGCTCGGGCCCCGAGGGCTGCGCCGCGAGGATCGACTCCGGCGTCGCGTCGCGCATGCGGCGGTAGGCGGCGACGGCGGCGTCCGGGTCCCAGTCGTGGCGCTCGAGGAACTTGCGCGCGTCGTTGGCGTCGGACCGCGGCGCCTTGAACGCGAACTCCCGGACGAGGCACGCGAGGTCCTCGCGCGTCGGCGGCTGCGGCGGCCGCGCGGCGGCGTCCTCGGCCATGCGCCGCGCCGTGTCGCGCGCCTTGGCGTCCTCGCGGTTCGCCTGGGCGTCGCTCACGGCCTGCCGGTCCGGCATGGACTCGAAGGGCACGGCGTCGACGCTGAGCTCGAAGCTCTCCTCGACGGACTTCGTGGCCGCGACGCGCGCGAGGTGGGCGCCCTCCATGTGGAAGGCGTGGGCGAAGCCCGGCTTCATGCTCGACGCCTCGTAGACGACGGCGCCGTCGACGGAGATGGCGCGCTTGCCCGAGACGACCGACACGCGCAGCTCGACGACGTGCGGCTCGCCGCGCGGGCCGAAGCTGAAGGCCCAGGTGAAGAGCCGCTTGCTCGATCGCACCTTCCGGCCCACGTCGGCCCGCGACTTCCGGATGCCGTAGGGCTGCGCGGCCTGCACCGTGTAGAACGCCAGCGGGTCCCGGCGCAGCTGCTCGCGCCAGGGCCGCGGCGGCGGGCGCGGCGGCGGCGGCGGCGACGCGCCGATCTCCACCTTGGCCTTGCCCTTGAGCGTCGGGAAGGACCGCGTGCCGCGGCCGTCGGCCGCGGAGATCATGGGCGCGGACGACGACGTCGGTGGTCGACGGCAACACGGCGTCAAGAAAAGCTTTCGCAAGATTTTCACGAGCCAATGGGCCACTGAATCGTGCGAATCTCGCAGCTCCATACTGGTCGCACACTCTCAGCAACCATGCTCTTCGCGCTCTTCGTGCTGGGCTGCGTCGTCTTCTGCCTGCGCAACTTCTCGCCGGAGATCTACGACTTCGTCATCCTGCGCATGACGGCGCGCTGGTACGAGAGCGTGCTCGGCGCGCTGCCGTCGAAGTCGACGCTGCTCGACGTCGGCGTCGGCACGGCGTCGGCCCTGGCGGCGCACGCGTCGACGGTCGCGTCCAAGGACCTGCGCGTGACGGGCGTGGACTACGACATGAAGTACGTCGCGGCCGCGCGGCGGCGCTGCGAGGGCGACGCGCGGCTCGCGAAGCGCGTCCACGTGCGCTGCCTGTCCATCTACGATGACCAGCTCCTCGCCACGCTTCGCCCCGCCGGCGGCTTCGACGCGTCCTACTTTAGCGGCTCGCTGTCGCTCATGCCGGACCCGGCCATGGCGCTCCGGGCGGCCGCGGCCGTCACGAAGCCCGGCGGTTATATTTACGTGACGCAGACGTTCCAGCGGCGGCCCGTGCCGCTCCTCCGGTTCGTCAAACCGCTGCTCAAGTACGCGACGACCATCGACTTCGGCCAGCTGACGACGGAGCGCGACGCGGAGGCCATCTTCGCCGCGTCGGGCCTCGCGGTCCTCGAGCACGAGCCCATCGCCGGCTCCGTCGACACGAGGTTCCAGCGCGCCTACCGCACGGTCCTCCGCGTGCCGTCCTAATCAATGCGCCTGAAAAGTGCAACTTGTCCTTCAAGTTAGAGCTTGGCGCTTCCAGGGGCGCTTCGTCTGGACGCCGTCGCGCCGCATAGCCAGCCGCAACGATGGTCTCCTCGCGCACGGCAGTCGTCGCGCTCCTCGCCTGCGCAAACGTCGCGCAGGCCTTCGTCGCGCCGAGCGCGGCGCACAAGCTCGCGCGGCCGCTCGACGCCAAGGCCAAGGGCGGCTTCGGCGCGGCGCCCAGCGCCAAAACGGAGAAGAAGAAACCGAAAAAGGACGAGGGTCCGGCGCTCGCGCGGCCCTGGGACAACGACGGCGACGACGACGACTCGAAGAAAACCCGAAACGAGCGACGCGGCGCGGCGCCCGCGTCATCAGTAGTCGTTCGCGCGCGGCGCGTCCGTCGAGAGGAGGGAGCGTCGCTCGAGAGGTTCGCGTCACCAATAGTCGTTCGCGCGCGCGGCGTCCGTCGAGAGGGAGCAGATGTCGCGCTCACCATCGCGCGCGCTGTGGAAACGGCACCGAAACCATCGCGCGCTCCCGCAGGCGGCAAGGGCAAGAGCGGGAAGAAGGGCGAGGGCGGCGCGGCCATCGCGAATCCGTCCGGGGGCATGGCCGCGGGCGTGAAGCTCAAGTAAGCAACTTAGCCCTGGTGGAGGTGGAGCGTGTGCCACATGCGCTCGTCGCGCTTCTCCATGGTCACGACGAGCTTGTCCTTGCCGTCGACGGTCCAGGAGCAGCCCGTCGTGTCGACGGGCGCGAAGAGCGGGTGGACGAGGACGATGGGCGCGCCGTCGACGAGGACCTTGAGCGTCTCGCCGGCGCCGTAGTCGACCTTGACGCGCGTCTTGAGCGCGCGTTTCTCGTCCTTGTCCACCTCCACGGACACGACGACCTCGACCTCGTCGTCGGTCTGGGACCACTCGTAGTTGGCCCCGGAGCCCTTGGCGGGCCCCTTGTCGTGGATGGCCGCGGCCTCGGCCATGTGCGTGCGCCGCGCCATCTGGAGCCACTCCGCGTCCTCCTCGAGCTCCGAGTCGTAGAAGTCGACGTTGCGCTGGCCCTGGGGCCCGATTTGGAGGCGGCCGACGTAGGCGTCGCCGTGGATGGAGAGGCCCGTGAGCCCCGCGGCGGCGCAGAGCTTCTCCGCGCGCGCGTTGCGCGGCCGCGCGCGCAGCGTGCCGATCTCGTCGATGTAGAGGGACACGGCGCGGTAGCCGTTCTCGGCGTCGCCGCGCGCGAGCGGGTAGGCCTCGGCGCCGCCCTCGTTGCCCAGCTTCTGCATGGTCTCGAGCGAGGGCGCCTGCAGCGGCTGCTGCGCCATCATCTGGCTCAGCCGCTCCGCGGTCTCGCGCTCCACGGTCTTCTTGTCGAGCACCGCGGTGTCGGCGAAGACGGGCTTGAGGACGTGCAACAGCGCGTCGCCGTCGGCGACGTTGCTGTGGAGCCGCGCCACGGGCTCGCGGCCGTCGTGGGGGATCTTCAGGTAGCAGAACTCGTGGCCCTTGCGCAGCGGCACCGCCGCGACGGCCTGCTTCGCCTTGTTCGCGCGGTCCTCGTGCGTCTCGATGACGACGCCGCGCTCGCGGAGGTAGGCGAGGCGCTGCTCCGGCGTGAGGTCCTCCATGTCGGACGTCACGGTCTGCGGCGGCGGCGTCGGGGGCGTCGGGTCCGGCGGGCCGCCGTCCTTCTCCCGCCGCAGGTGCGCGGGGAGCTCGCCGCCGTTCTCCTGCATGCCGCGGAGCTCCTCCTCGGTCCAGTCGGGAAACGTCTGCTTCCACTCGCCGCCGCGCGCGAAGAGCTCGGACATGCGGTTAGGTTGCAGCGGCTCGCAGTGGCGAAGACGGTCGATGCGCAGGGACTTCGGCCGGCGACGCGGCCTTCGCCTCGAATCGGCTGCGGAGCGCTCCAGAGCGCTCTGCGGCAGCACGACGTCGCCGGGGGTCTCGCTGTGGACGTCTCCGCGCGTCCTACTGCGCGGCACATTCGCTCTCCGCCTCGACGGCCGCCGCCATTGGCGGCCGCCACCGTCTCTGGCGCGAGCTTCGGACAGGCGCCGGGCTTCGCCGAGCCACTGGCAATGCCAGTGCACGGTGGCCCGGCCGCGCCGCGCCGACTGCCGCGCGGCTCAAGTCCACGGTGGAGCGCGCCGCCGTGGCCGGCGTACGATGCGCCCCGGGGCTTCGGGCGTGACCGTGGCGTGGCGTCTGGAGTCGACGTAAGATGTACGTACCCGGTCCTGCTCAGGGGGCCCTGCACAACGGTGCGTGCCGCGGTCCCCGGCCACGTCCCCGGCCCGTGCCCGGGCCGTGCCCGGGGCCCCGTGCCGGGCCCGTGCCGGGCCTCCCCGGCCCGTGCCCGGCCCGTGCCCGGGGCCCGTGCCGAGTGCCGGGCCCGTGCCGGGCCGCGTGGCCCGTGCCCGGCCCGTGCCCGGGGGCCCGTGCCGAGTGCCGTGCCGCGTGCCGGGCCCGTGCCGGGCCGCGTGCCCGGAGCGCATTTACCGTGCCGGAACCCCCGTGCCCGCCGTCCCCGGCCCCCGTCCCGGGGCCGGACCGTCGTGCAGGGGCCCGTCTGCTCGCGGCGACAAAAATACCCCCGGTGGCGGTCTGGGCTGATGTTTCAGAGCCTCGCTCGCTCGCTCGTCGCCAGTCGCTTGTGTGATCGACGACCTGCGACCATGGCGCGCGGCCCGAAGAAGCACCTGAAGCGTCCGTAGCCGGCGTCCAGACACACGCGGGAGCGACGCACACTGTCGAGAGAACCGGGGGACGACGAGACGCGCGGCGATTTCGGCGACGGCGGCGACGGTGCGGCTGCCGCGGCGCGGCGCCCGACGCGCCGCGGGCGGCGGGACGTCCGCCGCCCCGGCGCGCCGCGGCTTTACCGCGGCCGCCCGCCGCCCCGCCGAGCGCCGCGCCGGCTCCCGGACCGCCGCCCCCCGGGGACAAGAGAGACGCGCGCGCGCGCGCGGGACGTCGGGACGCTCACCCGCCGACTCTTAGGCATCAATGCGCCCCGGCACTGGATGCTGGGCAAGATGGACGGCGCCTTCGCGCCGCGGCCGTCGACGGGCCCGCACAAGCTGCGCGAGTGCCTGCCGCTCGTGCTGATCCTGCGGAACCGGCTCAAGTACGCGATCAGCGGCCAGGAGGCGAAGCAGATCTGCATGTCGAAGCACGTCAAGGTCGACGGCAAGGTGCGCACGGACCCGACCTACCCCGCGGGCTTCATGGACGTCATCTCCATGGACGCGTCCGGCGACCAGTTCCGCCTCATGTACGACACCAAGGGCCGGTTCACGCTCCACCGCATCTCCGACGAGGAGAAGGGCTACAAGCTCTGCCGCGTCAACGCCGTCTACGTGACGGCGAAGAAGATCCCCGTGCTCACGACCCACGACGGCCGCACGGTGCGCTACCCGGACCCGTCCGTCGCGGTCCACGACACCGTCAAGCTCGACATCGCGACGGGCAAGATCGTGAGCTTCCAGAAGTTCGAGGTCGGCAAGACCTGCACGATCACCAAGGGCCGCAACACGGGCCGCGTCGGCACCATCATGACCGTCGAGAAGCACCCGGGCTCCTTCGACATCGTCACCGTCAAGGACGCGTCGAACCACACGTTCGCGACGCGCCTCGGCAACGTCTTCGTCATCGGCAAGGACGACGACCTCGACGTCACGCTCCCCAAGGGCAAGGGCATCAAGCTCACCATCATCGAGGAGCGCACGAAGAAGCTCAAGTCCTCCAACTAGGCGCCCGCGGCGGCGGTTGCGCGGGACTCGCCGCGGCGCCCGCGCCGCGGGGCGCGGCGAACCACTCTAAACCTCTCGAAAAAAACTCGGCGTGCGTCGGGGGCGCGCCACGGTCGGGCCGACTCGCATTCCGGCGGCGTCGGACTCGGAGGCCGCGCGGGGTTCGACGCTCGACGGCGCGGCCCCGACCTCGTCCCGGCAAGCAAGTCCCACACTAGGAGCCAGCAAACATGTAGACGCCGCGCGCGGCGCGAAGGCGGGGGAGGGGGGGGCGGCGCGTCCCACTAGACGAGGCCGGCGCCCTTGAGCACGTCCACGGCCTCAGCGGCCCAGGGCGTGAGGTGCGCCGCGTCGTGGACGGCGGACGACGCGGAGACGTAGGCGGCGCAGGCGCTCGGGCACGCGTCGTAGGCGCGTACGAGGTCGTGGCTCTTCTTGCCGCAGCGGTCGTCGGGCTTGCGGTCAACCCACTTGCAGCCCTTGGTGGGGTTGCCCTTGAGGGACCAGGACTCGCTGTCCCCCGAGGCGTCGTCGTCGTCCCCCGAGGCGCAGGCGCAGGGGCACGCGGACGACGCGCGCTCGCCGTCGGCGTCCTTGCGCCTGCAGCGCTCGTCGGGCCTCTTGGCGATCCAGGCGCAGGACTTGCGGGGCTCGTCGCCGACGTACCAGTCGACGTCGTCGGCGCAGGCGTCGCACGCGTCGCACGCGCTCGGGCACGCGCTCGTCGCGACGACCCGCTCGTCGCTCTTCTTGGCGCAGCGCGCGTCGGGCTTCTTGGCGATCCAGGCGCAGCCCTTGTCGGGCTTGCCCCGCACGAACCACGACGCGTCGTCCTCGCACGCGTCGTCGTCGCCGTCGAGGGGCGAGGCCAGGGCCTCGAAGCACTCGTCCGCGAGGGCCTTCTTCCTCTGGCCGTCGTAGTAGTAGTCGTCGGTCTCCTCGACGCACGTGTCGCCCTTGCTCCAGATCGTGCCGTCCTCGAGGTCGCCGAGGTAGCTCTCGGCGTCGTAGGCCTGGCACTCGCGGCAGTCGGGCGCCTCGTTATAGACGTTCTCCGTCGTCGTGCACGTGCCGTCGTCGCACGTGTCCTGGATGGATTCGATGAGGTCCCTGCACGCGCAGCTGCACGTCTGGTCGACGAGGTCCGACTCGTCGCCGTTGAAGCAGACGCCGCCCCAGATCGCCGTTCCCGCGACGGCGTCGGCGAGCGACGAGCACTCGTCGCAGAGCGAGCCGTCCTTGAGGTCGTCGTAGGCGTAGTACGGGTAGCGGCAGCCCTCCGGCGCCCAGAGGCCGATGTCGAGGTTCATCGTCCCGTCGCCGTAGGGCTCGCGCCAGACCTTGCCCGGCGGCAGGTCCGCGTCCTTGATCGAGCCCCAGGACTCGCCGGCGTTCTCCGCGTAGGCGTCGTCCGCGGCGTCGGACCACGAGTACTCGTGGAGCGCGCAGGTCACCGTGGCGTTGGCGAAGGCCTCGACGCCCGCCCGGATGCGCTCGGCGATCTCGTCGAGGAACGTCGCGTTCACGCAGGCCTCGTCGACGAACATGGCGCCGTCGTCCTTCGTGTCGAGGCCCGGCAGGCACGCGTAGCCGAGCATCGCCTTGACTTTGACCTCCGCGGCGTACACCGCGGTGCCGTTCTCGTACGTAATATAATCATCATTTGAGTACTCGAATTCGGGACCGTCGAAGATGCGGTTCTCGGAGTCCAGGTCGCGGACGCTGCTTTCGACGTACGTTTTCAACTCTTCAAAGCATGCGGAGACCATCCAGTCGTCCATCCAGGCGTACACCGAGGAGGGCGAGGAGGTAGGAACGACCGACGGCTCACCAAACGCCGTAGGCTTGGTGGAAGTCGTAGGCACAGACGTAGGAATAGACGTCGGGACGGCGGACGGCTCCCAGGTGTAGCCGGTTGCTCACGGCGTGGGCCACGCCCGCCGACGCCGCGGCCCAGGCCGCCGCCGCGGCGCCGTCGACGCGCGCGGCCGCGAGCGCGGCCGCGACCTCCGCCGCGCCGTCGCGCGGCGCCGAATCGAGGCGGAGGCCGACCTTGGCGCGCGCGGCGGCCGCGCGCGGCGCCGCGGGCCCGACGCGCGCCGGGTCGTAGAACGGCGTCACGGCGATGTCCTCGGTCGCGCCGCGGTAGACGCGCGCGAGGTCGTCCAAGGCGTCCGCGAGCGCCGCGTCGCCGAGCGAGTCGAAGCGGTCGCGGCTCGCGCGGACGCCGTCGTCGCCGAGGTCCTCGACGAAGTACTGGCGCAGGGCGACGTCGGAGGACCCGAGGACCCACTCGAGGCTGAGCATGCGCGGCGCCTCGGACCCGCCGGCCGTGGGCCTCGCGCGCGGCAGCGCGGCGTCCGCCGCGCGCGGCGCGGCGCCCGTCTCGAGCGGCAGGTCGGGCATGGGCCGCCCCATCGCCGGCTGGCTCATGACGTAGACCTTGGCGGCGCCCGCGTCCCTGTCGACGCCGAACCCGAAGACGGGCAGCTCGCCGGCCGCGGCGCCGACCGCGTCGAGCCACGCGCCGACGAGCGGCGGCGCGTCCAGCGCGGCCGCGGTGCGCCGCGCGGCGCCCAGAGCCTCGGCCCGCGGCAGGGCCCACTTCGGGCAGGGCAGCTGGAGGAAGACCTACGAAATGCGTCAGGAGCTCTCGAAAGTGCTCCGGGCCCCAGGACTCTGGAAAAAGACGTGGTAGCGCGCCACGGACGACGACCCGTCCGCGCGGAACTTGGCGCTCACGCCCAGGGCCTCGAGCGGGGGCTCGCCGTCGAAGAGCGCGGCCATCTCGCGAAACGGCGCGCCCCAGACGGGCTCCGCCGCGGCGATGCCCGTGGCCGCCTCTAACGCCGCGGGCGTCGCGCGGAGCGCGGAGCGCGCGTCCGCGCCCGCGACCGCGGCCGCGAGCGCGGCCGCGTCGTCGCCGAGCGCGGCGTCGAAGAGGCTCTTCGCGCGGCCCTCGCTCTTCTTGAGGGTGCCCAAGAGCACCCTCGCGCCGGCCTCGTCGCCGCGCGCCGCCGCGGCGTCGACGGCCGCCATGGCCGACGCGTGCTTCGCGAGGGCGCCGTCGACGGCCTCGCGCGCGGCCGGGGGCAGCGCGNGCTCGAGGTCGCGCCGGAGCTTCCGCATGCACAATGCGAGGATGGCACTCGCGCGTTGATACTTGGAAGCCAAAGATGAAGTAGTTCACGGCGACACCTCGAGCCGCGCGTTACCCCCGGCCCCGCTACTCGCAGTCCCGGTCGCGCGGCGGGTGGAGCGCGCGCTGCTCCTTGCGCGCCTCGCTGCAGGTGCAGGGGTAGTGGCGGCAGAACGCGCAGGGCTCCGGCGGCGCCTTGGGCTTGGGCGGCTCGGCGGGCATGCAGACGTTCTTGTGGCGCTCGCGGAAGTCCTTCTTCTGGCAGGCCAGGGAGCAGTAGCGGACCTTCTTGCAGCGGCTGCACGTCATCATCACGCGGTTGCCGTCCTTGGGCGTCATGCTGTAGCAGCAGGCGCAGCGCAGCGAGTCGCGGAGCTTCTGGACGTCCTTGAGCCACATGCGCCACTCGTAGTCCTTGTGCCACTCGTCGGGGATCTCCGGCACGGGCAGCTGGCTGCCGATCTCCTTGGCGAGGTGGCGGCCCTCCTCCCAGTAGGACTTCGACCGCCGCTCCGCGGACGCGCGCTCGCTGTCGCTCATGAGCTCCTTCGTCAGCGACTCGTCGTAGCGCTCCTGGGGCGGCGGCTGGTGGCCCCACTCCATGCCGAGGCGCTGCTCCTTCCAGTCGGGAAAGAGGTGGCGATCCTTGTTGACCCCATACCCGACCTCCTTGGGATCCTTCTTGTGCCGGTCGATCACATGAATCGACTTCGACGGCCCGGGGAGCCGCAGGTTCGGGTTCAGCGAACTCGGCGCGCCCATGTTCGGCGGCATCGCGCCCGGCGGACGCGAAAGTCGTCTAATAGCCACCAGGCGGAGAGGCTGCAACCGGGCAGCACCATTGGGGAAACGTCGCTTCGCCCGCGCAATGGCTCAAGCCGAATCCGCACCAATGCGCCTCCGCGCGCTGCTCGCCACGGTCATCTTCCGCGCCTGCACCGCCGCCAACAGCACCTGGACCACGAGCGGCGTCGTCGAGGCCGGCCACGGCGTCGGCTGGTGCCTGCAGCCCAGCGACGCCGGCGCGAGCGACTGGCGCGCGCGCGTCGTCGTGCGGCGCGTCGCGACGAACTCGAGCGGCCCGCGGTACCGGCTCTACTCCGCGCGGGACCACGTCTACGTGCTCGCCTTCGCGCTCGACGCGTCGCGGGACCTCGCGGTGGACGGCGCGGGCCGGCCGCTCGTCGCGAGCCGCCGCAAGCTCCGCCTCGACGACTTCGACGACGGCGCGCTCGTGCTCGACGCCGGCGGCCTCGGCGCCGGCGCCGCGCTGCACGTCTACGTCGCGTCGAACCGGCTCGAGGGCTCCTCGGCCTACGAGGTCGCCGTCGAGAGCGACGCCGCGCTCGAACGCGCGGCGGACCCCGTCGGCGGCCGCCGCGGCGCGGCCGCGCCGGCGAGGCAGCGCGGCGCGAGCCGCGTCCTCAGCCTCGACGGCGGCGGCGCGCGGGGCGTCGTGCCGCTCGCCGTGCTCGCGGACGTCGAGCGCGAGACGCGCGCGCGCGTCCGCGACAAATTCGACGTCTTCGCGGGCACGTCGACGGGCGCGATCGTCGCCGCGGGCCTCGCCCTCGCGGAGCTCCCCGTCGCCGTCGTCCAGCGGCTCTACGACGACCTCGTGCGCCTCATCTTCGGGTCCAAGGGCCTGAGCCCGAAGTTTCGGGCGGGCCGGCTCCAGGCGATCCTCGAGGCGGTCTTCGGCGCCGACTCGACGCTCCGCGGCGACGGGGGCCGGCGCCTCGTCGTCGTCGCGACGGACGCGTCGACGGCGCGGCTGCGGCCCTTCCTGTTTCGCTCCTTCCCGCCGCCGGAGGCCGACGACGACGACTACCTCGTCGACGCTAGGTCGCACCACTGCCGCGTCGTCGACGCGCTGATGGCGTCGACGGCCGCGCCGCCCTTCTTCCCCGTGCGCCGCTTCGACGTCGACGGGTCGCCGCGGCGCCTGCTGGACGGCGCGCTCGTGGCCAACAACCCGACGCACTTCGCTTTGGCCGAGGCGTCGGCGCTGCGGCGCGGCGACGCGAGGACCGGCGCGCCGGAGCAGACTTTGGACCTCGTCGTGTCCCTGGGCACGGGCGCGGCGCCGGCCAAGGCGCGGAGCTCCGCCGCCGACGCCCGGTCCTTCCTCGGCGCCATCCCCCGGAGCGTGTCCGCGGCGCGCGACTTCGTCGAGGGTCTGGCGAATCTGCTGACGGACACGGACACGACGCACGACCTCGTGAAGCGCACGCTGCGGGAGACGTGGCGCGGCGACGAGCTCCACGAGCGCTACCACCGCCTCGACGCCGTCATCGACGCGCGGCACCTCCGGCTCGACGAGGGCGACGTCGACGTGCTCCGCGACCTCCGCGCGATGGCGCTCGACTTCCTCAAGCGCGACAAGCACGTCGAGTGGAAGGCGCTGCTCCGCGCGTTGAAGCAGGGGCCGGGCAAGAAGAAAGCGCCCCACGTCTACTCCGTCGTCGACCTCGACGTCGTCGCCGCGCCGCCCGCGGCCTCCGCGCTCCGGCCCCTGCGGAAGACGTGCGCGCGCGTCACGGGGCTCCACGGCTTCTTCTCGCGGAAGCACGCGCGCTAAAGTGACGACGTCCGAGTTTAGACCCTACGTGTCACTAGACTCGTACTGTATGTTGGCTCTATAGATCTAGGGCAATTGGGAAGACTCTGTTCCACGGGCGCCACGGGTGGGCGAGCAACATCCCGAAGACGACCGAGGCGGCGTTGCCGACGGAGAATTCGGCATCAGCATCAATATTCGTGACCTCCCAAGGCACACCGTACGCGTTGAACTCACTCTTGAGAATCGCCTGGAGTCGTATTTCCGCGAGACTGCGTCGGGCCTTCTCGCGGCTCCAGGCTTCATGCTCCGCGAGGCGCGCGCCGACGAAGTTCTTCGAGCGATCGCGGTTGGCGTGGGCCACGGCGTAAAGCAGGAATGCTCCATCGAGACTCTTTGGCACACCGATGCCTGCCTCGTAGAGACAACCCAGCTCCCACGCGGCGTCGCAGTCTGTAAACGTGATTTCCCATCCACGCTCGACCGTTATGTCACAAGCCTCATCGTGTGCTGCTCGAGCCGCCCGGCAACACTCATAGAATCTCTGCGCTGCTACCAGCCCCATAGTTGCGTCTTCGGAGTACTCTGCGAGGGCGCTAAAGCATACCCCAAGTGCATAGTGGCAATCGCCCTTGTACGTTTCCATAGTATCAATAGATCGAACGTTACAAAGCTTGAGGTTGACGATGGATTCGGCGGTGTTTCGCGCGCGCTCCACCGCTGATGCACGGTCCGTGGTTAGATCGCCGGGATACAGCACCAGCTCTCCAAGTGCGCGCGCGGCTGACCATGCCGTCCGCTCAAAGTCAAATCGTTTGGCAGTGCCATCAGTGTTTGATCGAGCAGGGCGCGAGCGGGTGACGACGGTCTGGAGGTGAGAACGGGCGATCGCTCGCGACCGGTGGACGCCGAGACCGTCGCGGTAGAGGAGCGCGAGCCGATAGCGCGCGTGGTCGCACGCTGCCGTCACGTCCGAGAAAGCATAGCAAGAGAGCGCGTCCGTGTCGTCGGATGTCCCGTATGCGAGGGCCAAATGGAGCGCGCGGGCCGCGAGCGCTGGAAACCGGCGCCCCATCGAGTTGGCGTCGGCGAACATCGTCCCGAGGACAACCAGCGCCTCGATATTATCAGGGGCGGTCGCAACGCAGATGGTTTTGTAGATTTTGAAAATGTCTGCTAAGGGCGTCTCGTCGGAGATAGACTTCGCTGCCGCCTCGTTCAGATTCGTCCGTGGTGCTAACGACCGGTGCGCCACGCATGTTTTATTGATCGCCAACGCGGGGTGCGATTCCCAAAGATGGAGAAAGGGGAGGAGAGAAGACTTCCACACATCGGCCGGTAGTTTGTCCATGCTTTGCCTCACTCGCCAAAGGCGCCGCGCGGCCGCGCACACTCGCAAAACCGTTGCCAAAACGCCTTTGAGGCCTGGTGCGAATTATTACGACCGCGGGGAATACGCGAAGGATGTCGCCCCGGCCGTGGCCGCGCGCAGCGTCCAGGGCGCGTCGTCCGACGGCGATATCGCGAGGGACGCCATGTGCCACGTCGCGCCGACGCCCGCGTCGCCGGCGGCGACCTTGGCCCAGCAGGCGCGCGAGTCGCGCTGGACGCCCGCGAGGACCGCGGACCCGTAGGGCCCGCCCGCGTTCGCGTCGACGACCGCGCGCGCGTCGCCCGCGGCCGCCGCCGCCTTGCCCCGCGCCATCTCGCCGAGCATCCGAGAATCGACGCTCCGCTCCGCGAAGGCCAGGTCCTCGATCTCGAAGTTGAGGGCGAGCTTGCGGTAGTGCGCATCCGGGAAGAAGTGGTCGACGTACTCGAACATGGCGACGTCGCGGCCGGACGTCTCGAGCATGACGTTGAGGTCGCGCGTCTTCGCCTCGGCGACGAGCAGCGCGCCGACCATCTCGGCGACCGTGCGGTAGCGCGAGAAGATGGCGTCCTTGGCCGCGGCGTAGGCCGCGACGTCCTCGATACCATAAAGACGCCGGAAGTCCTCGTTCGCCGCCGTCGCGATGACGAAGTCGAGCTGGCGGAAGAACGAGGTCGACCCGACGGGCAGGTCGTCCCGGGCGACGTCCGCGCGGGCGCCGCCGGGGCCGACGATGGCTTCGCGGAGCGCGTCGCCGAACCAGGGCTCGTAGATGGACGTCGTCTTCCGGATGCCGTTGACGCCCGTGACGAGCACGACCCACGGCTTGGCGCTCTCGGGCCGCGACTCCGCGGCGGCGACGGCGCCGGCCCAGCCGCCGCCGCCGAGCACCTTCTCGAAGATTCTAGCGAACTCGTCGGAGTCCGCCGCCGGCAGGGCCGCCGCGAGCGCCGCGCCGCCGGCCTCCGTCGCGGCCCAGTCCTTGTGCGAGTTCCCGGCCCGGTCGCGGAGCACGGCGCCGACGGCGTCCGCGCGGCTCGCGTCGAGGCCCACGTTCGCGAGCGACGCGACGACGGAGGCCACCTCGGCCTGGCTGAAGGGCGCGAGCTCGCCCGCCGCCGCCTTCATGGCGCCGAAGGACTCGACTAACTCCTCCGTCGTCACGGCGCGCATCGCCGTCAAAGGTCGCGTGCCGTGCGACGGCGCGCGCAGCGCGGTGGTCGTTGTGCAGAAGAGTGCCAGGAGCGACAGGCGCATAATGCGGTGGTCGACAGGTGCTGGACTTTCAGATGAATAGGGCTGCAAAACGAGCTCTCACATACGCCTCTGCAAGCTCTTCAAACGCGATCGCGCTGAGTTCAAGAAAGTGATGTTGATTCATGCATGTGCATTAATTAACCGCCCGGCATGGGGACGGGCTAGAACAAAGGACCCGGCGCCATAATGGGAGCTCGAGATCCTGGGAGCTAGCAATGTCTGGGGAGGACTTCTCGGCCTGGCTGGCCAAGTGGACGAAGCCGGACGGCGACGGCGGCGAGGCCGCCGATCCGCCGCCCGACGATGCGCCCGACGACGGCTTCCAGCCGACCTGGTCGCCGCGGGCCGTGGAGGTGAGCCTCGCGCGCGCCCTCGGCCGCACGCCGGAGCCGTTGCCTCCCAAGACGCCGAAAACGCCGGAGCCCGAGCCCGCGCCCGCGCCCGCGCCGGAGCCCGCGCCCGAGCCGTCGCCGCCTCCGAAGCTCGAGCCCGACACGCCGCGGTCGTCGCGGCGGCCCGGGGGGTCGACGAAGAAGCTGACGCCCCGGCCGAAGAAGAAGAAGCTGAAGAAGAAGAAGGAGCCCAAGGAGGCGAAGCGCCGCTGGAGCGTCCGCGACCGGCGCGAGTCGGGCTACGCGTCCGAGCCGGGCGACGCGGGCGCTCCGGCGCGCCGCGAGGCGCTCGAGCGGCCCGCGCTCAAGGACGACGACGACGAGAGCCTGCTCAGCTCCGAGGCCGCATCGCCGCCGCGGGAGCTGTCGCTCGACGAGCAGTTCTACGCCGCGTTTCCCGACAAGAGCGCGAAAAACGACGACGCCGAGCCGGCCGAGGACTTCTCGCGGCCGCGGCCCAAGTCGAGCTACCACCGCGCCAGGGTCGCCCTTGCCGCGCCCTGGGGCGCGCGCAGCCCCGCGGCCCTGCCGGCCGTCCTCGAGGAGCTCCGGCACCACTTCTGCCCGAACTGGCGCCTCGAGTTGTTGCGCACGGGGCTCCACGAGGAGATGCGGCGCCGCGACATCGGCATCGGCGACATGTTCGCCCTCGTCGACGAGGACCACTCCCTCTCCCTCGACGCGACGGAGCTCTTCGCCATGGCCCAGCGCCTCGGCTGCGACACGCGCGTGTCGGACACGGACAAGCTCATCGACGACCACGGCGACAGCGACGAGGGCGAGATGACCATCGAGCAGTTCGTCTACTGGTTCCACGAGGGCTCGGCCCAGCAGGGCCACGGGCCCGGCGCGAACCCGCCGCCGGCGTCGCCGACGCGGGGCTCCCGCCGGTCGACGCGGAAGCGCGCGCGCAAGTCCATGACGGCCAAGGCGCGGCGCAGCGACGCCCTCGACGCCTACGCCGACAGCGTCATCTCCCACGTGCCCTTCGACGACATGAGCGACGGCGACATGCTCGCCGTCGAGGCGACGCTCTTCGACGGCGCCGTCCGCGACGTCATCGCCACGTTCTGGAAGCTCACGGACGAGGACGGGTCGGGCGCGCTCAGCAACGACGAGTACACGGCGCTCAGCGTGCAGATGCAGCGCGCCATCCACGAGGCCGAGAGCCCCGGCGAGCCCTTCGACGCCGCCGCCGCGGACGAGAACGCGGCGAACGACTGGAACGAGGACCGCCACGGCAAGGACATCGTCGACCTGCGCGGCTTCCACCTCTCCATGCTCCAGCTCGCCGACGCCTGGGCCGACGAGGCGACCGTCGCGGCCGCGCGCGCGGCGGCGAAGAAGGCCGCGGCCGCGCGCCTGCCGGTCGGGCCCGCGGCGCGCGCCGCGGGCGTCGCCGCGACGCTCGCCAAGCTGCTGGACACGGTGTCCATCGTCGACCGCACGGGGAAGCGCGTGTGGCGCTGGAATCTGCGGGGCGACGCGTCGCCGGAGAAGCCCGCGACGCCGCCCCCGGCCGTCGCGCGCCTCGGGACGCCGCCGAAGAAGGCGGCACCCCCGGTCGCCGCCGCGGCGCCGTCGCCGGAGACGCCGCCGCGGACGGCGACGCCCGAGCCGTCGCCGGAGAAGCCCTGGACGCCCGACACGACGCCGCCGCTGTCGCCGCCGAAGGTCGCGTCGCACGCGAAGCCGCCGCCGCCGCGCGCGCCGGACCCCCACGCCCTCGAGAAGCTCATGATGGACGCCCTCAAGCCGACGCGGTCCCAGGCCGACGACGGCGAGGAGGACCAGCGCCGCTACCGCGAGGCCGCGGAGGCGTCGCCGCGCGAGCGCATCCCGCGGCTCGAGCCCCGGCGGACGCCCGGCGAGCCCGCGGCGGAGGAGGCCATGCTCGCCTACGCCGACGCGGCCAAGGTCGCCGCGCCGCCCAAGGCCGTCGTCGCCGTCACCGTCGCGCGGTCGCCGCGGCCCGAGCGCGCCCCGCAGCCGCGCGCGTCCGAGGGCATGATCTTCCACCGCGACGTGCGCGAGGTCGGCCTCGCCGTCGCCTACGAGCACGACGGCGACTTCGCCGCGCTCCTCGAGGCGGCGGAGGCGCGGGACCGCGAGGCCGCGGCCGCGCGCGACGCGCGGCTCCGCGCGAACCGCGCCATCATGGCCGCGGCGGGCCTCTACGCCGACGACGACGGCGCCTTCGAGCCGAGCCCGCGCGCGAGCCGGCGCCGCGACCCGGCGGAGAAGTTCGGGCCCCGCGAGAGCGCGACGCGGCCCGCCGCGGAGCCGCCGCGGCCGACGCTCACGCCGGGCCCGCCGCGGCGCCGCAAGCCGCGGCGCCAGCGGAACCCCGTGTCCTTCGCCGCGGACGTCGGCGACCCGGCGCCGCGCTCCGAGCTCGACCGCCTGCTCGCGGAGCCCGCGGTGTCGCGCGGCGCGGACGCCTTCGGCCTCGGCGCGACGTCGCGGCGGGAGCGGGAGGAGCCCGCGCCCGACGACACGCTCGACGCGCTCCTCGCGGGCCTCCGCGGCGACGACGGCTCCGTGTCGTCGCTGTCGACGGCGGCGACGCCGCCGCGGCCCGCGCGGTGGACGCAGGTCGCCAAGGCCGTCGACGACGACCCCTCGCCGCTGCTCTCGGCGACGACGGGCGCGCCCGCGCGCAAGCCCGTGCCCCTGTCGTCGCGCCGCCACACGACCCACGACCTCGCCGAGCCCGTCCTCAACATCACCTACACGCTCCCGAACCGCCCGTCCGCGAAGCGGCGCCGCGGCGGGCCGTCGGTGGCCGCGCCGGCGGGGCGGAGGGCCGAGGCCCAGGCCCACGCGCGCGGCCGCTTCGGCAACGTGGCGCGCATGACCGCGCGGAATTATTAGCTGGTGGCGCGCGGGAAGCGGACGGGCGGCGACGCCGCGAGCAGCTGGCAGAACCAGTGCCAGCTATCCTCGCCGCCGTCCTCTTCGAAACGCCTTTCGTCAATGTTGGTAATACCAAGCTCTAGTCTGGACCAATAGGCATGGATCTCAATCAGGGAATTGCAAGAAAAGAGGTCATAGGATTGGTCTTTGTCGTACGACGCATCCCAATCATGGTTTTCGTATTGACCCAGCCAAAGCCTTGAACGAATGAGGGAATTGCGCCCGCCACTTGTGACGTTGACCTCGACTTCAACAGGAAACTCCGGGGCACCCTCCCTTCCCGGTACCGGATTAAGATTGGGGATTCTGAAGAATTGGCGGAAGATATTGTCCATGTGGTCTGTATCTTTGCAGCCTGCATGATCACCGTCTAGCCGATGGATGAAATCACCGTACACGACGAACATCTCTAACTTAAGCTTTCGGTTGAAATTGTTCAGTATTTTCTCCTTGATCCCGGTGATGGGTGGTCGCGTGGCGTCATCGTTGATGCGCGCTGTGATTGAATGAGGCAGGCCCAATGCGTCATCGAGCAGTGAATTTTTTTCTTCGACAGCTGTTGGTTCAAAGGGTATCTCGAACCTCCAGTCTATACTACCATCCTCGGAGAGGCTTTCTGGGACTGGAGCAGTAAGTGTGAATTGAGGCGCATGCGCCACTCGCGATTTTGCACGACGCAAAAGCTGAACGGCAAGCATCACGTCGCCGCGAAGTGGCACCGCCCGCCCTTGCGCATCGCGTGGGGCAGGGGTTATTCGTGGCCGTTGCGGCATCGCCGCCGCGAGCAGCGACTTCACGAGCCCGCGCGCGTCCGCCGGCTTGTCGAAGCCCGGTAGCTTGGCGAGGCACGGGTAGCGCCGCGCGAAGACCTCCGTCCAGGTCGCGTTGTTCAGCGCCGCCTCTCTGAGCGCGCGGCACACGCTGGCCACTGGAGCCACGCCCGTCGGCACGAGGAAGGGCACAGCCAGCTCGAGCGTGAGAAGCGAGGAGGGCATCGGAGCGCGAAGGCTCGACGCACTAGATGAAGGGACGCGCGCGACGCGCAGACGAGCCACGGCGAGGATAGGCGCGCGGATCAGAGGTCCATGCCGGTCGAGGCTGATGTTGACCTCGAGATGAACCCATCGAGCAGCCGACAACAGCTTCGTGCTGGCCGGCAGCGCCGACCGGGGGCTGCGCATGGTGGGCGCGGGCCAGGCCTAGACTCCAAACACCATGGGCGTCATCACCATGGGCGGCCTCACGGCGCAGCCGTCGAGCCGCCTTCAGCACGTCGCGTCCATGGGCGCCAGTTCCATGGGCGCGGAGAAGGCCAAGGCCGAGAAGAAGGAGCGGCGGCGCAGCTCCGTGAAGAAGGCGCGCTTCGCCGAGGAGGCGCCGCCGCCCGCGCCGGCGATGGAACCGCCGAAGCCTCCGCAGGGCGGCGGCCTCGCGGGGTCGACGTTCAAGAGCCGCATGCGCGACCGCGAGACGCGGCAGGAGCGGGCGCGCATCGCGCAGAACGCGGAGACGGAGACGCCCATCCACACGCTCCTCGAGGACAAGAGCAAGCAGACGGTCCAGTTCCCGCCGGGCACGCCGAAGAACTACACGCCGCCCGCGACGGCCGCGAACGGCATCCCGCAGACGTTCGCGTCGCGCCAGATCCGCCGCGCGGGCCGCGCGAAGCGCGAGATCTTCGAGGCCGCGGAGCGCGACGGCCGGGCGCACGGCCCCTTCTGCGCGGCCCAGCGGCGGAACACGGCCTTCGGCCTGCGGGAGGGCCACCTCGGCGTCCAGTGGAACCGGCGGCTCCAGCGGCGCGCGAAGAAGGAGCGGGGCCTCGGCGCCGTGGCCCCGAGCGTCCGCGAGGCGGCCCTCGAGGCGGCGCTGGACGGCCGCGACGGGCCGAGCCAGGGGCGGCCGGCCGTCGGCGAGCCGCGCGACGAGCCGAACGAGGCCCGGTCCTTCGCGAGCCCGCACGCGCGGTCCCTCGCGGCCGTCGCCGCGGGCCACCGGGGCAGCGACGCGGCCTGCGCCGTCTGGCGCGCCCTGTGGACGGCGCGGCGGCGCCGGGGCCACCAGGAGAAGCAGGAGCGCGGCGGCACGCTGCCCGAGTTCGACGGCTTCGTCGTGTCGGACGCGGTGCTCTACGAGCACGGCGCGCCGAAGAAGTGGCTCTTCAGCGACGCGCTGACGGGCAAGCTCCTGCGCAAGGCGCCGGGCAACGTCGCCTTCGACGCGATCCGCGCGCGGTGCGCGCGCGTCGGCGCCGCGCCGCCGCGGCGCCACGAGGCGCCCGACGCGCGCGCGGCCGCGGGCGTCGCGCTGCTGCTCTACGAGGGCAGCGAGCTCAAGGCGTTGAGCGCGGCGCCGGAGGAGTGGGAGGCCGTGCAGCACGACTCGACCATCGTCGCGGTCGTCGCGTCCGTGCCGGGCGTCCGCGTGCAGCACAGCTGGCGCCACGACACGCCCAAGACCAAGGCCTTGATCGAGTCGAAGCGCGCCCACGAGCGCGGCGCCCACGCGGACCGGGGCGGCGAGACGCGCTACGCGCCCCTGCGGTCCAGCGTCGTCAAGAAGCATTTGGACGTCGCGGTGCGGCATTTAGTGAGAGCGGTCGAGGCGGGCGCGGGCGTCCGCGTGCGGAGCCTGACGACGGTCTGGGCCCTGGACGAGCGGCGGTCGACGGCCGTCGCCGAGCCCACGGACGAGTACGTCGCGTCGGGCGACGCGCCGCGGCTGCCCGCGCCGCCGCTGCAATTCGAGCGCGCGGTCGACGTCGAGTTCCTCCAGCCCCTGCACCGCTCCAAGGGCTCCGTCGCCGGCGACAGCGACGCGGGAGGCGGCAGCGTCGTCGACGCGAGCCCGTCCCAGGTGCTCTTCGGGCCCGCGGTCCACTGCCACGCGTGCCCCGGCGGTCTGTGCGGCTGGCGCGCGGCCAAGGAGAAGGAGGAGGACGACAGGGAGCGCGACGACGACGACGCGGCCGAGGGCGACGAGGAGAAGAAGCCGGCGAAAGAAAGCGGGCGCATGATGCTCGCGCGGTCGGCCATCGAGTCCGCGGCGCGCGAGGCCGCGACGGGCGACGCGCTCGACTACTGGCCGCAGAACCTGGTCGCCTGGTGCCTCGCGGAGCGGGCGACGCGGGGCGACGGGTCGCCGGGGAAGCGCTGCCGGGCCATCGTCGACGTCGCCTGGACGACGCCGTCCGTGGGGCTCGCGTTCCCCAAGGCGAACACCGTCGTCGCGCCGGGCCAGATCTTGGCCGTCACCTGGGTCTGCCGGGGCCCGCCGCCGAAGACGATCAGCATCGACCTCCACCTCGTGCCCGACGCCGTGGACGGCGAGCGGGAGATCATCGAGGACGACTTCCTCGTGTCGCACCGGGTTTTGGCCGTCGCGGCCGACGGCGCCGCGGGCCACTTCGACTGGTTCGTGCCGCTGGACGTCAACGGCAGCAACACGCGGGCCTACTGGCGCCTGACGCTGGCCGTCCACGGCGAGGACGGCGACCCGGACGGCGCGCCGTCGCCGGGGCGCGCCGCGCAGCGCCTGCCCGCGCCCGGCGACGGCGGCGGCGCCGATTTGGTCGCCGTCGCGTCGCCGCGCTTCGCCATCGCCAAGGCGCGCGACTTCAGCTTCGGCGAGACGCCGCCGGACGCGCGGGCGTCGAAGCTCGACGTCGACGTCGCCCACGCGATCCTGCAGATCAACGACGCGCGGCGCGTGGCTCTGGTCGACGACACGAAGGTCCGGCGCTGGGACAACGTGCTCGTCTGCGGCGACTGCTACGAGGCCTACGCGGAGCTCGCCCAGCGGCGCGCGCGCTGGATCGCGCCCCACCTCGTGCGGCGGCGCAAGCAGCTCCACGACGCGGCGCTGCTCTGCCTCGAGGACTCGCGCGCGTTGTCGCCCGACGAGGGCCGGCGCGCGCGGCTCGCGGAGCGCCGCGAGCGGCGCAAGGAGACGCTGGCGCTCCTGAGCGCGCCCAAGGCGACGCCCCGGACCAAGGTCCGCGACCGCCAGCTCGCGGCGTCGCGGAGCGAGCCGCGGCTCAAGGGCGCGAGTCGGCCGCTGCCGCGCGTCGCGACGGACGACGTCCGCGGGTCCGTCTTCGTCAAGAACCTGCCGGGGGCCGCGAGCAAGCTCCGGGCGGAGACGGAGGCCTTCGTCGAGGGCGGCAAGGAGCAGTACACGCGCCAGGAGCAGCTCCTGCGCTGGGCGCGCCAGGAGCAGGGCCTCCCGCCGACGCCGCCGCGCGACGACTACGACGAGCCGCCGCCGGCGCGGCCCCTGCCGCCCATGACGCCCACGGGCAAGCTCGGCAGCGCGCTCCTCGGCGCCCTCGAGCCCGACGCGCGCGCGGCCGACGACGCGTCGACGGCCGCCGCGTCGTCCGCCGCGGTCTCCGAAGAGCCGCGGCGCCGCGAGCCCCGGAAAAACAAGCGCGGCAAGCGCAAGCCGAAGCGCGACTCGAGCCGGTCCTACGGCGACCTGCTCCACCCCTGGCAGCGCCTGCTCCGGGACCAGCTCGCGCTCCAGGAGACGTTCGCGTCCGAGGACGACGACCAGCCCATGGATCCGCTCCTGGCGTCGCTCATGACGCCCGGCGTCACGCCGGGCATGCTCTCGACGGCGGGCTCGGCCATGACGCCCGGGCCCTACACGGCGGGCACGTCGGCCTACACGGCGTCCGCCTACGCGGCCGGCTCGTCCGCGTACACCGCCGGCTCGTCCATGACGCCCGGGCCCTACACCGCCGGCTCGTCCATGACGCCCGGGCCCTACACCGCCGGCTCCTCCATGACGCCGGGCTTCACGGCCCAGTCCTACGCGGAGGACTCGGAAGATTATGCGTAAAAATGTTCACCTTAGAAGTTCAACTTGCACTGAACTTGACTCGGAGCTCTCCGACAGCTCAGATCGCGTGATGGCTCGCGCTTCTACTTCAGCCCGCTCGATGCTGCTGCCGTTGCTGCTCTGCGGCTCGGCCGGCGCCCTGCGCGTGCCGCGCCGCGCCGCGCTGCGCAACCTCGCCGCCGCCGGCGTCGCGCCGCTCGTCGCGGCGCCGCCGGCCGGCGCCGCGCCGGCGGAGGTCTTCGCGCCGCCCGCGGCGAGCCTCCGGGGCCGCACGATCGTCATCACGGGCGCCAACACGGGCCTGGGCCTCGAGTCCGCGGCGCGCCTCGCCGAGGCCGGCGCGGACGTCGTCGCGACGGCGCGGACGGCCGGCAAGGCCGCGTACGCCGTCGACGAGGTCGCGCGGCGGACCGGCAAGACGATCCGCGCGGTCGAGCTCGACCTCGGCGACCTGAAGAGCGTGTCGTCGTTCCCGGCGCGCCTGCCCAAGGACGTCACGAAGGTCGACGTGCTCATGGAGAACGCGGGCGTCATGGCCATCCCCGACAAGCTGTCGACGCGCGACGGCTTCGAGCGGCAGATCGGCGTCAACCACCTGGGCCACTTCGCGCTCACGGCGGCGATGATGCCGCTGCTGGAGAAGGCGCCGACCTTCCGCGTCATCGCCGTGAGCAGCTCGGCGAACTTCGGGGCGAGCAAGGACGCGATCGGCAAGGCCATCGCCGACGACCTCGACCCGAAGGAGTACAGCCAGTGGGGCAACTACTGCCTCTCCAAGGCCTTCAACGTCCTCTTCGCCGACGAGCTCCAGCGCCGCTTCGAGGCCAAGGGGCTCAAGGGCAGCGCCGTGTCGCTCCACCCCGGCGCGGTGCAGACGGATTTGGCGCGCTACCTCATCTCCGGCACCGAAAAGGCCGAGGCGGGCGTCGCGCTCGCGGACACCTACGCCACCATGAACGGGTTCCAGAAGCAGCTCATGGTGGGGCTCTCGAACTTCGTGCTCCCCATCCCGCTCGGCGCGAACACGCAGGTCTACCTCGCGGCGAGCCCGAACCTCGCGGCGGACGGCGGCCTCTACTTCGACTCCATGAAGCCGGCGAAGCCGGGGCCGGCGACGGGCGACGCGGACCTCGCCGCCAAGCTCTGGGCCGCCTCCGAGCGCCTGACGAAGGTCAAGCTGGCGATCTAATTTGAGCCTTGATTCTACGGGTGTATGGGGCAACATGGACTAGATGCACAGCAACAAAAAAATCGGGCAAAACCTCTCGTTAGGCTGCAGCCGCGGCCGGCGGCGGCGCGCGACCGAGCCAGTGAGCACACCGGTGGCCGTCGCCGCACGTCTCGCGACGTAGACGATGCCCATGTACTACGGCGAGGAGCCGGAACCCGGCGAGTCGGAGGACGAGTGCTACGCGCCCCTGGACACGCAGCGCGCCTACACGCGGAGCAGCGTCGAGCGGCGGCGCACGGTCTGGGAGGACATCGAGGCCTTCGAGGCGACGCGGACGCGCACGCTCATGCAGCCCAAGCACCGGGGCCTGGGCCCCTCCGTGCGGCCGCGCGCGGGCGCGGAGGCCGTCGTGAGCTTCGTCGCCAAACCGGCCGGCGGCGGCGCGAGCGAGGTCGGCGGGCGGCGCGCCGTCGTCGTCGCGGGCGACGCCGAGGCCGGCGACGAGCCCTGGAAGGCCGCGCTGCGGCAAGAGCTGCTGCACATGCGCCGCGGCGAGCGCTGCGAGGTCGACGCGGCCGACGGTTTAGCGGTCGACGCGTGCCTCCATTGCGTGCGCGTGGAGCGGAAGCTCGCGCCGCGGCCGGACGGCCCCTGGCCCGCGGCGGGCGAGGTCAACGCGAAGCGCTTCGCGGCGCCGAAGCGCAACGGCGCGAAGCCCGCCTTCGGCGACGCCGTCGAGGCGAAAATCGTCGTCGTCGGCGCCGCGGACGCGCGCGACGACGACGCGCTCTTCGCGGCGCTCGACGGCGCGGACACGCGATCCCTCGTGCTCGGCCGCGGCGACGTCGCCGAGGGTCTGGAGACGGCGCTGCTCGCCATGCGCGTCGGCGAGGCGTCCGTCGCCACGGCGTTCGGAGATTACGCGAACGACCCGAACACTCCCGCGGCCCCGCCCCCCGAGGCCGAGGCGAGCGGCGGCGTCGACGACGCGGCGGCGCTCCTCGCGGCGCCGCGCGCGGGCCCGCCGGCGCGCGTCTGGCTCCGGGCCGCGCTGCGCCTCGACGCCGGGAGGCGCGACCCGAGGACCCCGCGGCGGCCAAAACGTACGGCGCGGAGCTCGCGGCGCGCGGCCGCTGGCGCCTCGCCGAGGCCGCGTGGTCCCGGGGGGCGCGCGCGGCCCAGCGGCGCCTCGTCGACGAGGACGACGGCGACGCGCGGCGGTCCGCGGCCGAGTTGCTCGCGAGGTTGCTGCTGAACGTCGGCCTCGCCGCGGGCAAGCGGCCCGGCGGCGGCAAGGACGAGGTCCGCGCGCTCACGGCGGCCGTCGAGTGCCTGGGCACGCTGAGTCTCGCCCACGACCCGGACAGCGACGACGACGCCGCGCCGGAGGAGGGTTTCGTCGACGCGCGCGCGGCGCTGTTGGCCGTCAAGGCGCGCGTCCGCCGCGCGGCCGCGCGGACGCGCCTCGGCGACGCCGCCGCGGCGCTCGCGGACCTCGACGCCGCCGACGCCGGCGCCGCCGCGGCGCTCGCGCGGGACCCGGCCGACGCGGCCGCGAAGGCGCTCGCGCGCGACGCCGCCGTCCAGCGGCGAGCCGCGCGCGACGCCGCCGCGAAGCGCCGCCGCGCGGACAGGGTCCAGTTCAAGGCGGCGAACCTCTTCAAGGGCGACAAGCCCGCCTACGCGCCGCCGCCGGAGGAGCCGCCGGAGGCGCCGCCCTTCGAGCTGCCGACGTACGACCCGGACGACCCGGACGCCGCGAAGTTCGCGGCCAGCTTCCGGCCCTACGTCGACGAGCTCGACCGGGCGACGAAGCAGCACGAGAAGGGCGAGTTGTCCTCGGCGGACTTCGCGAAGATCATCGCCAAGGGGCCGGGCGGGTAGGGCTAGGAGCGTTGTTTTGGAGTCCTTTTTGGCTCGGCTTAGCCCAGGCTTGCGAGTGTGCACGATGCAGACGCGGGTCGCGGAAGCGGACGACGATGGCGAACTCCGTCGAACAAACCGGGCGTGTACCCCCGCGGATGGCCCATCTCCTTCGCGTGTGCGTCGCGGCGCTGCTCGTGACGCCCCACATGGCGGCTTCGCAATACACACACATCGGTCGACCTTCGCTCCCCTACGAAGAGCGGAAAGCGGTGATCGAATCTCTGGAAGTCATCATGGGCCAGGGACCGGTGGGCTACGCTCTCCCAGGCGGAGCCGACGGAGCCATCGACGATCAGGCGGTCGCACTCCTGTACATGGCCTGCGTCCTGGGCTCCGAGCCGCAAGCGCGGCGCGCGCTCGACAACGGCGCGGACGTGAACAACCCCGGCCTTTCGCCGCTCCACGTCGCCGCCTGGTACGGCTACACGGACGTCGCCCTCACGCTCGTCCAACGAGGTGCGACCCTTTGGCGACGCACCGAAAAAAGGTTCACCGCGCTGATGCTGGCCGCGATGAACAACCACACCGACTCCGTGAAGATGCTCCTCCAAAACGGCGCTGAGGTCGTCCCCCGCGACGTTCACGACCTCTCGGTCACGCGCAAGAAAGTCGCCAAGGACGTCCTGGACATCCTGCACGAAGCGGCCGGCATGAACCTCCCGCGCAAGGAGACGAAGAGGCGCCGTCGGGCCGCCAAGCCCGTCCCGCCCAAGGAGACGACGAGGCCCCGTCCGGCCACCGAGCCCGTTCCCGGCGACGTTCGACACCTCTCGGGAAACATTCTCGTCGAATACGTCGCGCACTTCGTTATCGTCGTCCTGTTTGGGATCATCGCCTTCGCCTTCGTCAGCATCGGCCACTTCTACCTGGTCGCGACCGTCCTGTTCACGCCCTTGCTGGTGGTCGCCGGCTTCGTGGCTGGCTACGGCGCGCTCATCAGCTTCGTCCTCGTCGTTGGCGGATCGTGCCAGGTCGCGCTGTGGAGGTGGGGCGACGAGTGGGCCGAGGCGCGGGCCGCGAGGGCGGAACGCGATCTGCTGAAGGGCGACGCGCCCGCCCCGGCGCGGGACAGGGGCGACCGCGGCGCGGCCCGCCGGGGCGCCCGCGCCGCCCGGCGGCCGCGGCCGCGGAAGGTCAAAGTCGCGCCCGAGGCCTCCGAGCCCGAGCCCGCCCCGCCGACCCGCACCGAGGCCGCCCGCGCCGAGGAGTCCGAGGGCGCCGAGGAGGTCGACCCCACGGTCCGCGCGCTGCTCGCGTCGCTCGGCCTCTCGTCGTTCGAGGCGACGTTCGCGGAGCACCTGATCGACGCGGACGCGCTGCCGCTGATGACGGTCGAGGACCTCGTCGAGGAGATGGGCATCCCCGTCACCGTGGCCGCGTCCATCGTCGAGGCCACGCGCGCGGTGTCCGAGGCCTCCGAGCCCGAGCCCGAGCCGGAACCCGACTCGGAGCCCGAGCCGGAGACGACGGAGCCCGTGCTCGAGCCCGAGGCCGAGGCCGCGCCCGCGCCGGAGCCCTCGGCGCCCGAGCCCGCGGCGGAGCCCGCGTCGGAGCCCGAGCCCGCGCCGGCCCCGCCGGCGGCCCCGCCGGCGCCCGCCGCGGCGCCCGTCGCCGCGGCCCCGGCGCCCCCGGTCGCCGACGCGGGCGACGCGCGCCGCACGGGCGTGTGCCAATCGTACGTTCCCATGAAGAAGTACGGCTTCATCAAGCCCGACGAGGCCGGCGGCTCCGACATCTTCGTACACGCCAACGACATCCGCGAGGGCGCGGTCATCAGCGAGGGCGACCTCGTCGAGTACGGCGTCGCGCCCTACAAGGACCGCGTCAAGGCCGTCGACGTCACGAAGCTCGACAAACCCCGCGCCGCCGGCGCCAAGGGCGCCGCGCCCGCGCGCGCGGCCGCGGGCCCGCCGCCGGGCGCCGCCCCGCCGGTGCCCGAGCCCGGGGCGGAGCCCGAGCCGGAGCCGGAGTCCCCAGCGCCCGAGCCCGCGCCGGAGCCGGAGCCCCCGGTGCCCGAGCCCGCGCAGGAGCCGGAGCCCCCGGCGCCCGAGCCCGAGTTTTCGGCGCCCGCCGCGGAGCCCCCGGCGCCCGAGCCCGAGTTTTCGGCGATCCACGCGGCGCGCATGGCCCACTCGAAGCTCGCCGTCGACGAGGTCATGGACGACGCCGCGCGGCACCAGGCCGCCCTCGAGGCCGAGCTCGCGGACCACCGCGCGGAGCTCGAGCGCCTGCGGATCCGGCGGGACGAGGTCCCCGAGCGGCTGACGTGCCCGCTGACACTCGAATTGATGAAGCAGCCCGTGATCGCTTGCGACGGTCACACGTACGAGCGCTGCGCCATCCAGCAGTGGCTCGAGCGCGCGAAGACGTCGCCGGTCACGAACGAGCGGTTGCGCACGCCCGACCTGATCCCGAACCACGCGATGAAGGCGATGATCGCCGAGTTCCTCGACCACTCGCGGACGACCCTGTGAATCACACCTGCCCTACTTGTATTAAAAAAACTGCCTACTTCTGCTTGAGCTCGCCGATGAGCGCGTCGACGGCCTTGGCCGTGGCCTCGTAGAGCTCGTGCGCGCCGTTGATGAGGAGCGCGGCCCAGGGCGGCGCGTCGGCCGTGGCCTGGTTGCCGTCGAACCACTTGGGGTCGATGCCTTTGTAGCCGAGCTGGTACATGTAGGCGACGTTCGTGTCCGCGCCCGGCTCGTACGTGGTCTCGTGGCTCACGTTGTAGAGCCGGACGGTGCCCTCGAGCGACCGCGGCCGGTCCCTCGCCTTGACCGAGTCGTCGGGCGACAGGTCGAAGTCCTGGGGCGGCTCGGCGATCCACGTCGCGTGGACGTCGATGTCGTAGTAGAGCGCGCGCTTGCCCTTCTTGACCGTGACGGACGCGGACACGGCGGACTGCCGCTTCAGGGCCTCGCCGACGCGGACGGACGCGCCGCGGCCCAGGTCGACCTCGACGTCCTCCAGGAGCTGCGCCGCGCGCGTCATCGCCCAGCGGCTGTGGTCCTTCTCCTCGAGGTAGCCCACGGACGCGCCGGGCGTCGCGGGGCCGCCCTTGGGCTTCGGCTTCGCGTCCCCCAACTTCTCGCCGCCCGCGCGCTTCGCGGCGATGGACGCCTCCTCGGCCTTGCGCTTCGCGCGCTCCTTGAGCTCCTTCTCCTCGAACTTCTTGAGCTTGTCGAAGCGCAGCAGCTCGCGGCGGAGCGTCTGCTTCTCCGCGGGCGGCGCGTCGTCGTCGTCCGCGCGGCGCCGCGCGTCCTTGATGTCCGCGTAGGCCTTGGCGTGCTGGTGGAGCAGCTCGCGCGCGAGGGCCCGGCGGTACAGGGCCTTGCGCCGCGTCGCGCCGTCGAGGAGCTTGAGGCGCAGCATGGGGTGCGTCTCGTCGACGGCCTCGAGGTCGCCGTTCTCGACGGCCTTGCGCATCTCGTCGCGCGCCTCGAGCATGCGCGCGTAGGCGAAGTCGCAGTGCTTGATGGCCCGCGACGCCGCCTGCTCCGCGCGCGTCGCGAAGTTCAACTTGAGCAGCGCCATGGCCATGTTGCAGTAGATCGCGCCGGAGAAGTCGACGTCCTCGACGATGCCCTGGTCCCGGTTGAAGCGCAGCGACCGCGTCCAGTAGGCTAACGCGCCCGCGTAGTCCTTGGCGGCGAACTTGTCGTTGCCGGCGGCCTTGGCCGCCTCGCGGTCCTCGCACTTCTCCGCGGCGACCATGTCCTCGAGGAGCAGCGGCGACCGCTTCGCGATGTCGCCGAGGCGCTCGGCCTTCTGCAGGTCCGACTCCTCGACGGTCAGGGTCATGCCCGCGCCGGCCATGGAGCACTGCGTGAGCCGCGGGTCGTTGAGCATGGTCCGCGTCAGCGCGGAGATCTCCTCCGGCGTCTTCGCGACCAACGCCTTGGACCGGATGTCCCGCAGGCGCTTGCAGAAGTTGGCGTCGGTGACGTGCTGGCGCAGCATGGGATCCTGCAGGCACCGCTCCACGGGGCCCACCTCCGGGTGCGTGAAGAACTTGAGGAGGCCGCCGGCGGGGTCCATCTCCTCGTGGGGGCCGTGCTTCTCCGGCTCCGGCGCCGGCGCCGGCGCCTCCGGCTCCGGCGTCGACGGCATGCAGACGCCGTTCGGCGAGAAGGCCATGGCGCTCTGGCGGCCTCGCTGCCGGACAGCGCGTGTGGTGGCCTCGCTGTGCTCGAGATCTCCGTCGGAGACGATCGATCGATATCGGTGGACGCCGCGCGCCGGCGACGGCCGGCGTCCAAGTCGGCGTCCGCACCAGGGTCCGCACCCGTCTCCCCGTGCCCCACACACCGAGACCAGACGACGGAGGGGCTGTATCCGGTGGGAGGTCTGTTTTTTTCTGGCTTGGTGCTCGCTTCCGGTCCGCGCGCGCGGCCGCGTCCGCTTCAGGGCGCGGGCGGGGGCGCGTCGGGCCCCGGCGTGGGGAAGAACTCCGCGGGGTGCTCGCGGTTGTCCGACGTGCCCTTGGCGTCCGGGTTGTTGTCGTTCTCCTCGGCCTTGGAGACGTCGTCGGGCTGGGCCGCCGCGAGCGCGGCGGCGACGGGCGCGGCGGCGGGCGCGGCGCCGCCGTCGCCGGACGTGTCCATGTCGTCGGCCTGCGACTTGATCTGGACGCCCGGCACGGCCTCGACGTCCTTGAGCACGCCGAAGAGCTGGGTCTTGATGTGTTCCAGGTACTCCGTCGAGTTCAAGTTCTCCATGTTGGACACGGGCATGTGGAGCCGGTAGTCCGGGCCGTAGTACTCGAAGTAGTCGTTGTAGGGCAGCACGTCCTTGACCTCCGTGCCGAGGAGCACGGACGTCTCGTAGGTCCAGACGCGGGGCACGTTGCGCAGCGTGTAGCCGCCGCCGCCGAGCACGAGCATGGGCACGCCGAACGTCATGACGTACTTGACGCAGTCCGCGTGGCCCTTGAGGCTCAGGTTGAAGCAGCCCAGGCGGTCCCCGGAGAGGGAGTCGGCGCCGCACTGGAGCACCACGGCCCCCGGCGCGAAGACCTCCATGATCTTGCCGATGATGGGCTCGAAGATGGACTTGAAACTCGCGTCGTCCATGCCGTCGTGGAGCGGGAAGTTGATCGCGTAGTTCTTGCCCTCGTCGTAGCCGACGTCGTGCGCGTCGCCCGTTCCCGGGAAGTACTCGCCGAACTTGTGGAAGGACACGGTCATGACGCGGTTCGTCGTGTAGAAGGCCTCCTCGACGCCGTCGCCGTGGTGGATGTCGATGTCGATGTAGAGCACGCGCTGGTGCCGCTTGAGCAATTCCAGGATCCCGAGCACGCAGTCGTTGACGTAGCAGAAGCCCGACGCCTCCGACTTCTTCGCGTGGTGCAGGCCGCCGGCCCAGTTGATGACGACGTCGCTCCACTGCTGGTTGAGCCGCACCGCGCCGCCGATGGACCCGGACGTGTAGAGCTGGCAGAACTCGAAGAGCCCGTCGAAGACGGGGCAGTCCTCGCCGACGTTGAAGCGCTGCAGCTGGCGTAGGTACTCGTGCATGTTGTCCGGCGTGATGATGCGCAGGAAGTTGATGTAGTCGTCGCTGTGGAACCGCGTCATCAGCGCCGCGTTCACGGGCTTCGGCCGGAAGACCTCCATCATCCGGTACAGGCCGTAGTTCACGACGAGGTTGTGCGTCATGCGCACGCGGTGGGGCTTCATGGGGTGGCCCTGGCCGTAGTGGAAGTTCCCGATCTCCGCGTCGTAGAAGTACCTGCGCGCGCGTTCGGGTCAGATCGCGGGTCCGGGGTGTTCCGCCGCGCGACGCGCGCGCGCGCGCTCGGCCGGCGTCGGGGCGTTGCGACCGCGGCGGGGGTCGTCCGCGGCGGGCGCGGCGGCCCTTTTTCGCATCGCGGCGCGGCGCGGGGACCGGGCGCGCGCGTTCCCCAGCCAGGGGCCTGCCCCTCGCCGGTGCAACTCCAATCGGACGCCGCTTCGCACGCCACGCGACGCGACTGGCCACTCGACGCCGACATGATGGCAGCGCTCGGTCCCCCAGTTGCCGCGGCGGCGTCACGCGTCTCGCCCGGACGTGGGCGGCAAAGAGTGTATGTCGCCGCGACCGACCGAGTCCGCGCCCTTGTCGATCGACTTTCTCTCTCTCTCTCTGGAGCCGCAATCACGGTGCTGTTTGCGCTGTTGGACTTGCCAGCAAGTGCTGTTGGCCCGCGTCGGCGGCCACGCCGACGATTACTTCCACTTTTACTTCCGCCGTCTCCGACGATGTCACAGGGCGATTACGCGGGCTTGGGGGATGGCGGAGGCGCCTCGGGCGGCGGCTCCTCGGCGACGGGGGATAGGAGCGGGGTGGTTTCGTGCGACGAGAGCTAGATGTCCATGGGCGCCGGCGGCGGCGGCGCATCGGGCCGCGGCGCGAACTCCGCCGGGTGCTCGCGCTTGATCGCGCCCGTCTTCAGGTCCAGCGCCGGCGGCTTGGCGTCCGGGTCCTGGGCGCTGTCGTCGACCTCGCGGAGCTTCGAGTTCCAGTCCGGCGGCACGTCGTGGATCTGGAGCGACGGCGCGCCCTTGAGGCCGTTGAGCATCTCGAGGAGCTCGTCGCGCGTCGCCGCGAGGCTCTCGCGCGTGTTCGCGTTCTCGAGGTTCGGGTTCTTCGTGAGGTGGAGCTTGAAGTCCGGCGAGTAGTACTCGAAGTAGTCGTTGTAGGGGATGTCCTCGCCGACGGGCGTGTCCAGGAGCACGGACGTCTCGTAGGCCCAGCACCGCGCGACATTCCGGATCGTGTAGCCCCCGCCGCCGAGCACGAGCAGCGGCACGCCGAAGCCCTTGACGAAGCGCACGCAGTCGCCGTGGCCCTCGAGCGTCAGGTTGAAGCAGCCCAGCCGGTCGCCCGTCAGGGAGTCCGCGCCGCACTGGAGCACGACGGCCGTCGGCCGGTAGACGTCCATGATCTTCTGGATCACGGGCTTGAAGACCTGGCCGTAGCTCACGTCCTCCATGCCCTCCTTGAGGGGGAAGTTCACGGAATAGTACTTGCCCTTCTTCGCGCCGACGTCCGCGACGTTGCCCGTGCCGGGGAAGAAGTCGCCGTACTTGTGGAAGCTGCACGTCATGACGCGGTCCGTGCAGTAGAAGGCCTCCTCGACGCCGTCGCCGTGGTGGATGTCGATGTCGATGTAGAGCACGCGCGCGTGGTACTTCAATAGCTCCAGGATCGCCAGCACGATGTCGTTGATGTAGCAGAAGCCCGACGCCTCGGACTTTTTGGCGTGATGTAAACCGCCGGACCAGTTGATCGCGATGTCCGTGGCCCCGTGGTTCAGCTTCACGGCGCCGTCGATGGACGCGCCGGACGCGATCTGCTGGAACTCGAAGAGGCCGTCGTAGACGGGGCAGTCCGTGCACTCGCCGACGTTGAACCGCGTCATCTGCGTCACGAACGGCCGCACCTACGAGTTGACGTTTTTCGACGCGCGAAACACGCACCCACGGGACGCGGGGGTCCCCGACGTTGTCCGGCGACACGCGCTGGAGGAAGGCGACGTAGTCGTCGCTGTGGAACCGCGTCATCTCCGCCGCCGACGCGAGGTGCGGCCGGTAGACATCGAGCTTCCGGTACAAACCGCTCGACAGGATGAGGTGGTGCGTCAGCTTCAAGCGGTGCGGCTTCATCGGGTGGCCCGGCCCGTAGTAGAAGTGGCCCACGTCCGTGTCGTAAAAGTACTGCGCGCGCGGTGCGGGTCGGGCGGTGCGGCGGCGGGGGCGGGGTGTGGCGGCGAAACCGCGCGCGCGCGGCGACGTACCGACACGCGCTGTTTGACCATGGCGGCGACAAAGCTCCCGCTGCTCCCGATGCGCCCCTCGCGGGTCGCACGGGCAGCAGCGCGTCGACGGCGCGGACAGGCGGCGGCGCGGCGCCGGAGAGCGACGAGAGTCGGCCGCCGAGCCGCCGATCGCGTCGTCGCGCGCCGCGCGCACCGCCGCAGCGATCGCCGCGCAACGCGCGCACGCCTGTGAACGACCGCAGCGCTCGCAGATCTCGCTGCGCAACGCGCGCACGTCTGCGCGCCGCAGCAGCGCTCGCCGCGCACGCAAACGACCGCGCCGCCATGGAGCTGCCGCCGCCGCCGGCGTGGTTCGACCGCGACGACCTCGTGCCGCCGCCGCCGCCGACGAACGCGAACCTGCGGTCCTTCGGGTCGCCGGACTTCGACGAGGCCTTCTGGGACGCGCGGCCGCCCGCGGAGCTCTGCGGCGAGATCAAGGCGCTCAACCGCGCGGCCGTGCTCCAGTTCTGCGGTGTCATGCGCCTCGTCGCCGAGGACGGCGAGAGCGACAACGGCGACGTCTCGAAGCTCATGGGCGAGCTCGACGAGAAGTTCGCCGCCATGCAGAAGCTCGCCGGGACGCTGCGCGTCTCGCAGGCCCGGGAAGAGCTCCTGCGGCACCTGCGGAACGAGACCGCGCAGCGCGTCGAGGCCGCGCGGCTGATGCGGGCGAAGGCGGCGAAGGCGCGCGGCGAGGTCGCCGCGCTGCTCGCGGCGCCCGACGAGCCCCTGCCGACGGACCCGGCCTACAGCGAGGAGAACCGCAAGGCGAAGGTGGAGCGGACGTACGACGCGTTCCTCGCGCACGAGGCGGCGGAACGGGCCAAGGCGAAGCTCGAGGGCCGGCCGCCGCCGAACCAGCCGCCCTGGGACGCCCCGCGCCGGCCGCCGGGCCCGCCGGACGCGGCGGCGGAGGCCGCCATCCGCGACATCCTCGAGGCCTTCAACGAGGCCCAGAGCGACGGCGCTGGCAGTTAAGAACGACCAGTTCAGACCTACGCGTGGATGGAGAGCATCGCGTGGTAGACCGGAACGACGCCGATGAGCAATCCGACGCCGAGGTGGAGGCCGAGCGTCGGCGCGGCCTCGCGGTGGAAGGGCCAGCGGAGGTCGCTCCGGTCCCCGACGAGCCGTAGGAGGATGACCGCGGCGACGACGGGCCCGAAGGCGAGGGCCGCGGCGGCGGCGCGCGCGCGGTGGAGCGGCCGCGGGGCGGCGGCCTCGCGCGCGGCGCCGAGGAAGAGGACCGCGACGAAGATCATATACCCGTAGAAGCCCCTGAGGCTCTTCGGCATCGGCGGGTACGTCGCGTCCTCCGCCGCCCGCGCCACCGTGCCGTCCTTCGCCGGCGCGGCCTTGGCGGCCGCGTCGCCCGCGCCCCGGTACGTCTTCGACGAGCCGTGGAGGCAGTCGCGGAACGTGCCGAAGAGGTGGTCCAGCGGGAACGACGCGCTGCCGTAGTTGCATTCGAATCTTCGGTGGTGCAGCATGTGGAACTGGTCCGACTGCAGGTGGTCCTCCCAGCCGCTGTGCGACGCCGCGGGCGACAGCAGCAGGTGCACGCCGTTCCACCAGAAGACGAACGGATGCGCGCGGCAGTAGAGCGACGGGCCGACGCAGGAGAAATAAAAAAGATGTTCGACGGGATGCATGCATAGACCGGCGAAGGGCTCGATGTCGATGTTGCGGTGGTGGAGCGAGTGGACGAACTTGTAGAGCGGCTTCACGTGGATCAGGCGATGCGCGAAGTAGAAGTGGGCGCCCCGGTAGAGCGGGATCGCGACGATCCAGAGCGCGAGCCGCACGTATGCGCCGGAGCTATCCAGCGCGTGGGTCGGCAGCGTCCCCCGCGCCGCGCCGCGCATGTAGACGCATTCCCAGGCCGTCCACTGGACCACCGCGAGGACGCTGTACCACACGTTGTGGAGCATTCGAGAGGCGTCCGGGAAGACGTTGGGCATAAATTTGCGGTCGCTGCACCCCCAGACGTAGAGCGCCGCGTGCCAGAAACCCACGTAGCCAAACGTCGTGACGAAGTTGACGGCCAAACGCCGAAGCATCCAGCCGCGCCGCCACTCGCTCGCCGCGGCGAGGTCGTACGGGCACGCGCACCACACGACCGCGGCGATGGAGAGCCAGACGAAGTTTGGGCTGTAGAACACATGCGCGCAGCGTGCGACGTTGGCGGCCCAGGCGCGCCAGGTCGGCGGCACCTGCTTCGATTCGCCCGGCCGCTTCGACAAGTCAACCCAGCCCGGCGCTTTGAAGAATGATCCGTCCGTCGTGCCGGCGAATCCGCCGCCGGCGCCCGACATTGTATGCACGCTGCTCCGCCGATCGGATCCGACCGCGATGCAGCCCCAGATTGCGACCTCGACTACAACACTTACTACAACCAACAGCACCGTGAAGTTCACGAAAAACTTCAACCCCGAATTTTTACGCCTCGGCCTGGACGATCTGGACGCGGTTCCCCTCGAGCTTGACGGCGCCCGTCGCGACGAGGGCGAGGAGCTCCGCGTTCCACCGCGCGTGGTCCGCCGTGTAGCGCGCGTGCCGCTCGGCCTGGTAGGCCGCGAGCGCCGCCGCGTGGTCGCCCTTCGCGTCGCGCCGCGGCTCGAGGACGCGCGCGGAGACCCAGCCGCGGCCCGCGACCCAGAGGCGGTCGACGCCCTCGGAGCTCGTCGCCTCGCGGACCGCGACGACGTCCTCGCCGGGCCGGAGCACGCCGACGAGCGCGCCCGTCTGTTCGACGTGGTCGCGGACGAGCGCGCCCTTGGCCCCGCGGACGCGGAAGCGGCCGCCGCCGTCGCGCGGCAGCTTCGGGAGCGCCGCGCAGGGCGCGATGACCGTCGGCGGCCGCGGCGCCTCGCCCGCGAGCTCGGGCCGCGCGGGCCCGTCGTGCACGGCGACCGCCGCCGTCGCGGGCGCGGCGACCGCCGCCGTCGCGGGCGCGGCGACCGCCGCCGTCGCGGGCGCGGCGACCGCCGCCGTCGCTCGCACGGCGGCGTACAGATTCAGCGACGCGCGGAGCCGCGGGGGCAGCCCGGGGCAGCGCGCGGGCACGCCGCCGAGGACCGCCGCGAGCTCGCTGAACGACGACTGGAACGTGCCGAGGATCGAGGTGCAGCGCGCGAGGAGGTAGAGGTCGGCCAACGCGTCGACGGACGACGTGTGGCGCACGACCTTGAGGCAGGCGTGGGGCGTCGCGAAGCGCTTGTCGAGCACGACGAGGCGGCCGTCGTCCGCCGCGGCGCGGAACGTCGCCAGGACGCGGTCGACGGTCCCCCGCGCGTCCGCGGCGAGGAAGACGACGGGGTGTCCGGGGTCCGGCGCCGCGCCCCGCAGCAGCGCGCCGATCTCGGCCTCGAAGCGGTCGACCGTCGACGCGTAGGCCGCGAAGCCGTCGTGGAACCTGGCAGGAAAAGAGTGCGAAATTCCCAACTTTGGAGGCTTCTATCTCGGTTATTTTCCGCTCGTTTCGGCTAATTTTTGGACGGACGATTATCTCTCGGAGCGCCCTCGAAGCGTGGATCCGTTCTCTGGAACGATTGCGCGCGGAACACTCATGTTGAAGCGAACTTGAATCACCCTGTTCCTGCCCCGTCGTGGAACGTCTCGTGGTCCGTGCCCCGGACGTGGACGCCGACCGTGCGCCGCGACAGGTCCAGGAGCCCCCAGGGTCCCAGCGACAGGAACCCGTTGACGGCGCCGCGCACGGCCGCGGACGGCGCGAGGCGCCCGAGGCAGCGCCGCGCCGCCGCGTCGAAACTCGCAAAGTCGGGCGCGCCGGCCTCCGTGGACAGCAGGAAGGTCCACGGCGCGGTCCAGAAGTGAGACGCGCGCTTCGTGTCGAAGACCCAGCAGTCCGGCGCGTCCCGCAGCTCCTGGACGCGCGCGCCGTCGACGACCGCGAGGCCGTCGGCATCGTCGTAGAGCTCCGAGAACGCGCCCTGGCAGGCGATCTCGCCCTCCCAGAGCAGCTCGAAGGCCGCGCCGTAGTGGTCCGCGAGCGCCCAGAGGCCGCCGAGCCCCGCGAGCCGGTTGCAGAGGCCGTTGTGCGCGACGAAGGCGACGACGCGCGGCGGCCCGGGCGGCCGGAAGGCGCCCGGCTCCCGCGCGAGCCAGGCGACGGCGTCGCCCCAGGAGTCCTCGCCCTCGGCGCCCCACCGCCCGCGCTCGTCGGGCAGCGCCGGCAGGTCGACGACGACCATCGTTTTAAGGCTACCGGATCGAGAGGCTGCCCATCGTCTGCTCTCCCAGATCAAGTTGCCTTCAACGACAAAGCGACCCACGAACCCACCCTCCGAGGCACAGGAGACAAGCGCCCGAGCTAAGGCGGCGGCGACCGGCGCGCGCCGCGCCCTATTTTCGGAGGTTGTTGAGCCTGGCCTCGAGGTCGGAGACGGTGGACGCGTCCGCGCCGCCGCCGCCGCCGCCGCCCGCGTCGGCGACGGCGACGGGCGCGGCGGGGACGTCGGCGGCCTGGGGCTGGTTCGGGGCGAGGGTCGGCGCCGCGGGGACCGTGTCGCCGAAGGAGATGCCGATCTCGTCGAGGACGGCGCCGACGATCTTCTCCTCCTCCTCCTCGTCGCCGTCCTGCTCCATGGCGTCGTCGAGCATGTCGCCCATCATCTCCTGGGTCATCTCGGCGCGCTCGTTCTCGAGCTGGAAGTTCATCATGATCTTCTGCACCGCGGGCACGTTCACCGTCTTGTTCATCTTGATCATCGCCTGCGTGACGGACTTCATGGCCGACGCCATGGCCTCCTGCGACTTCACCGTCTGGAGCTTGAGGCTCACGGCGCCGAGGTGGCTCCGGAGCTCGATGAATTTCGTGATGTAGGTCCGCGTGCGCACGAGGTCCTTGGCCATGATCTTCACGCTCCCCATCTGCCCCTGGCCCGCGTACTTCTTGATGTCCGCGATGAGCTTCTGCTCCTGCTTCTCGAGGTTCGCGCGCTCGCGGTCGAGCTCGCGCATGGCCTTGTTGATCTCCCGCTTGTTCTTCCGCAGCACCTCCTTGAGCGGCACCTTGCGGCCCCAGGTGTTCCCCATGGCGTGCGGCGGCGCGCGCGGCCGCGGCGAAGCGGCGCGGCCGCCGGCGGTGGTGGCGAGCGGTGGTGAGCGGCCGCGGCGCGTCGACGGGCGATGCGACGGGCGCGCGCGAGCCAAGTGGTCGAGTCCTTGTGGAGAGCCGGCCTCTCGTGGAATGAGCTCGAGCTGCGCGCGCCGAGACTTTTTGCCGCTGCGGCGTGCCTGCGGCATCGCTGACCTTGCAGCACCCATGCCTGCATCACCGATGACCGCCGGTGACCTTACACCGCGAGCCCCGCCACGCCCGCCGCGGGCGGCTCGTCCGCGAAGACGACGTCGAACGCGTCCGCGGGGATGTCCCCGCCGTCCCAGTCGCCGGGGGGTACGTCCCCCAGCATCATGCGCTGCGCGAGGCGCCCGAGCTCGTCGGAGCTCTTCGCCGCGTAGCCGTTGCAGCCGACGCAGCAGCCGAGGGATTCGTCGAATTTGTGGACGTAGGGGCGGGACGTCGGCGTCTTCGGGATGACGCACCGGTCCGTCGCGTCGCCGACGGTGGCGGGCGCGTCGCGGACCGCGCGCTTCGCGACGAGCGCGAGCTCGCAGCGCGCGAAGGAGTCGAGGCGCTCCTCGACGTAGCGGTCCTCGTACCACTTGGCCGCCGCCTCGCGGTCCTTCAACGCCCGTTCGAAGAACGCGCCGTGGCCGACCTTGATCGACAGGCCGCCGTCGCCGTAGTCGAGCGGCGGCAGCACGTAGCAGCTGTCGAACTGGGCCCACGCCGTGCCGTAGGGGGCCGCGCCGCCTTTCACGATGATCGCCGGCATGTCGCCGAGCGCCGCGGCCGCGTCCGCCGGCGCGAACGCGCGGCGCCGCACGGTCTGCGTCGTCAGCTCCAGCGCCACGCGCCGGGGGAGCAGCGGCTTGAAGTTCGTGAAGGCGTTCGTGCAGACGAGGCACGTCTTGGCCCTCACCGCGCGCCCGTCCGAGAGCCTCACCTTCACGAGCCCGTCCTCGCGCGCCGTCGCCTCCGCGGCGGCGTCGTAGTGGACGACGCCCGCCTGTGCGCCGAGCGCCGCCTGCGCCAGGAGCAGGCGCCGCGGGCTCACGACGCCCGCGCCCGTCTTCGCGCCGCTCTCGAAGAGCGCGGCGTATCGCGGCCGCGGGCCCTCGCCCTCGTCGCTCGCGGGCGCGCCGTCGACCTTGAAGTCCTGGAGCAGCGTGCAGTCGAGGCGCAGCCTCGGCCACTTGGCGCGCAGCTGGTCCTCGTCGAGGGCCTCGAGCTCCAGGCGTCGCGACGCGGCCGTCGCGGCGACGGCCGCGAGGTAGGGCCCGCCGGCCCGGCCCACCGCGAGGCAGCCCACGGCGTCGTGGAACCGGATGCCCGACCGCGCCTCGATGTCCGCGTAGCGGTCCATGGACCGCGACGCCAGCGCCGCCCAGGTCGGGTCCACGTCGAGGCGCCGGGTGATGCGGCCCTCGTCGTTGTGGCAGCCGTAGACGCCGACCTCGGGCTGCGATTGCTCCGTGGGGCCCACGATCGCGACGCGGTGGCCGGCCTCGGCGGCGTGGCGCGCCGCGGCGCTCCCGACGAGCCCGCGGCCCACGACGACGAGGTCGTAGGGGGCGTCGGAGAGGGCTGCCATCTTCGAGAAGCACGCTTCGCGCACAGGTGCTGAGGTGCATGAGCCGTGCATGGTGCAGAAATCCTTGATTAGCCCTGGCTAGGTGACGATTGCCGCCGCCACAGCCGGCCGCGAGGTGCTCGCGGCGTCGTCTTTGAGCGTCGACCCGTCGGCCTCGCGGCGGGTTGAGGCCCCGCCATGTCCTCCAGGAAGGACAAGGACAAGAGCGGCGGCGATGGGCGCTTCTTCTCGACGACCAAGAAGGGCGAGACGCAGGAGCTGCGCACCGAGCTCCAGTCGGCGCGTTTGCGGCGTCGAAAATCGTCGCACCGTCGCGCGTGGGACCGCGCGCGCCCGCCGTCGCGCCTGCGTGCCACAAGCCGGTCGCCGTCCGTTAAAAAGTGACACAGCCGCGCGCGCGCGCGCGCCGCCGGTCCGCATCTCGATACGAACGCAGGCGTCGCGGGACAAGAAGATCGACGCCGTGAAGAAGGTCATCGCGAACATGACCGTGGGCAAGGACGTGTCCATGCTCTTCACGGACGTGCTGAACTGCATCCAGACGGGCAACATCGAGCTCAAGAAGCTCGTCTACCTCTACCTCATCAACTACGCGCGGACGCACCCCGACATGGCGCTCCTCGCGGTCAACACCTTCGTCAAGGACGCCGCGGACCCGAACCCGCTCGTGCGCGCCCTGGCGATCCGCACCATGGGCTGCATCCGCGTCGAGCGCATCACGGAGTATTTGTGCGAGCCCTTGGCGGCGTGCGTCAAGGACGGCGACCCCTACGTGCGCAAGACGGCGGCGCTCTGCGTGGCGAAGCTCTACGACATCCAGCCCGAGTTGGTCGTCGACCGGGGCTTCGTCGACGCCCTGCGGGACCTCGTCGCGGACCCGAACCCGACGGTCGTCGCGAACGCCGTCGCCGCGCTGACGGAGATCTCCGAGGCGTCGAACGACGACGACGTCATGAAGATGTCGACGTCCGTGCTCCAGAAGCTGCTGGCGGCGCTGAACGAGTGCACGGAGTGGGGCCAGGTGTCCATCCTGGACGCGCTGGCCAAGTACGTGCCCGCGGAGGCCAAGGACGCGGAGAACATCGTCGAGCGCGTGCTCCCGCGGCTGCAGCACGCGAACAGCGCCGTCGTCATGAGCGCCGTCAAGGTCATCCTCCAGTACATGTACGCGGCCATGGACGTCGAGTCCGAGCTCTGCGCGGGCTACCGGAAGAAGCTCGCGCCGCCGCTCGTGACGCTCGTCAACGGCGAGCCCGAGATGTGCTACGTCGCGCTGCGCAACATCAACCTGATCGTCCAGCGGGACCGGCGCATCCTCGAGAACGAGATCAAGGTCTTCTTCTGCAAGTACAACGACCCCATCTACGTCAAACTGGAGAAGCTCGAGATCATGATTCGTTTGGTGTCGGAGAAGAACGTGGACCAGGTGCTGCTGGAGTTCAAGGAGTACGCCCAGGAGGTCGACATCGACTTCGTGCGCCGCGCCGTGCGCGCCATCGGCCGCTGCGCCGTCAAGCTCGACAAGGCCGCGCAGCGCTGCGTGAACGTGCTCCTCGAGCTGATCCAGACGAAGGTGAACTACGTCGTCATGGAGGCCGTCGTCGTCGTCAAGGACATCTTCCGCAAGTACCCGAACCGCTACGAGAGCGTCATCGGCACGCTCTGCGAGAATTTGGAGTCGCTGGACGAGCCGGACGCGAAGGCGTCGATGATCTGGATCATCGGCGAGTACGCGGACCAGATCGAGAACGCGGACGAGCTGCTGGAGACGTTCCTCGAGTCCTTCGCCGAGGAGGAGCACGCCGTGCAGCTCCAGCTGCTGACGGCGACGGTGAAGCTCTTCCTGAAGCAGCCCAACGAGGGCAAGGCGCAGGAGATGGTCCAGTCGACCCTGGACAAGGCGACGACGACGTCCGACAACCCGGACCTGCGGGACCGGGGCTTCATCTACTGGCGCCTCCTGAGCACGAACCCGGACTGCGCCAAGGCCGTCGTGCTGGGCGAGAAGCCGGCGATCCAGGACGACACGGACGCGCTCGACGACGACACGTTGGAAGATTTGCTCTCGAAGCTCGCGACGCTCGCGTCCGTGTACCACAAGCCCCCGGCGGCCTTCGTGCTGGACGGCGACGCTGCCAAGGACGCGGCGGAGGGCGAGGAGGAGGAGGCCTACGACGACTTCGACGACGCGGACGGCGGCGGCGGCGGCGGCGACGAGCCGCCGCCCGCGGGCGACGACGACCTCTCCGGCGGCATCCTCGGCGGCGGCGGCGGCGGCGGCGCGGGGTCCGGCGAGATCGACCTGCTCGACATGGGCGTCCTCGGCCTCGACGCCGCGCCGCCGCCGGCCGCGCCCGCGGCGCCGGCTTTGGGCGGCGGCGACCTCCTCGGCGGCGGCGGCGTCCTCGACGCGTTCGCGGCGCCGCCGGCGGCGCCGACGCCGCCCGCGGCGCCCGTGGCGCGGCCCAAGGTGCTGCTCGTCCAGCCGGGCCCGGCGAGCGGCGGCGTCGGCCTCAAGGCGTCCGTCGGCCCCGGCGCGGCCGGCCTGAGCTTCGACGTCGAGGTGCAGAACGGGTCGCCGCAGCCGCTGCGCATGCTCCAGGTCCAGTGCAACAAGTCGCCCTTCGGCATCGCGCCCCAGGGCACGCCGGCGCTCCAGTTCGCCCCGCCCGTGCTCCCCGGCGGCCAGGGCGCCGCGAGCCTGCCGCTCGCCGCGGGCGTCGGCGCGATGCTCGCGCCGTACCAGGGCCCCGCGGCGAACGCGCCGCCCCACGTCGTGCCGCTCCAGATCGCCTTCAAGAACGCGGACACGGGCGCCGTCTTCTACGGCGCCGCGCCCGTCGACTTCGACGCGCTCTGGGCACCCGACGGCGCCATGGACCGCGGCGCGTTCATCGCCAACTGGAAGGCCATCGACGACTCGCTCGAGACGTCGTCGACGGTGCCCGACCTCCCGACGGGCGCGTCCATCGAGGCCGCCAGCGCCAAGCTCTCCGCGCGCAACGCGCACTACGTCGCGCGGCGCGCCGTGCCCAACCAGCCCGCGGGCACCGAGGTCGCGTACTTCTCGATCAAGACGGCCGGCGGCGCGCACACGTTCCTCGTCGAGCTCACCTTCAAGCAGGGCCTCAACGCCTGCAAGGTCTGCGTCAAGACCTCGTCCCAGCCCTTCGCCAACCTCGCCAAGGCCGCCGTCGAGCGCATCCTCCGCGCGCCGTAGCGCGCCCTCGGGCGCGCCGCCCGCGCGCGGCCGGCGCCGACGCCGCGCGATCCGCGCCCAACCGTCGAGGGGCCTCGTTTAAGATCCGGGTCCCGCGGTTCGCTAGGCGTGGTTGTGGGGGGGCGGGGGGCGGCGGCGACGAGGGCTGCTGCGCCGGAACTGTGGCGGCGGACGGCGTCGACGAGGCTTCGACGGACTTGTCGACGGCGTTCAACTGCGTGAACGCAGCCTCCTACGTCGTCGATCAGTCGTCGATCATCAATCCGCCTTGCACGATGATGTTGCGCGCGCTTCTTGCAACCTTCGCGGCCACCGCCGGCGCCCTCGTGGCGCCGAGCGCCCGGTCGGCGCGCGCCGCGCCGCGGATGGCGGTGAGCTCACCCCAGTCGAACTACAAGATCACGCTCCTGCCCGGCGACGGCATCGGTCCCGAGATCACGGCGGCGACGGTCAAGGCGCTCAACGCCGCCGGCGCGACCAAGGGCGTGTCCTTCGAGTACGACGAGCAGCTCCTCGGCGGCTGCGCCATCGACGCCGCCGGCACGCCTTGGCCCGAGGCGACGCTCAAGTCGTGCCAGGCGGCCGACAGCATCCTCATGGCGGCGATCGGCGGTCCCAAGTGGGACGGCAACCCGCGGGAGCTGCGGCCCGAGACGGGCCTGCTGGCCATGCGCCAGGAGCTGGGCCTCTTCGCGAACCTGCGTCCCGCCAAGGCCATCCCCCAGCTCCTCGAGGCGTCGTCCCTAAAACCGGAGATCGTCGAGGGCGTCGACATCATGGTCGTCCGCGAGCTCTGCGGCGACGTCTACTTCGGCAAGCCCGCGGGCATCTTCGTCAACGACGAGGGCCACCGCGTGGGCCAGAACAACATGATCTACAGCGAGCCGGAGATCGAGCGCATCGCGCGCGTCGCCATGGACGTCGCGGCGAAGCGCGGCGGCAAGTGCTGCTCCATCGACAAGGCCAACGTGCTGGATGTGTCCCAGCTCTGGAAGGAGGTGGTGATTCGCGTCCACGGCGAGTCGTGGGCGGACACCGTGGAGCTGAGCCACATGTACGTCGACAACGCGGCCATGCAGCTCGTGCGCTGGCCGAAGCAGTTCGACACGATCGTCTGCGGCAACATCTTCGGCGACATCCTCAGCGACGAGGCGTCCATGCTCGTCGGCTCCCTCGGCATGCTGCCATCTGCGTCCCTCCCCTCCGAGGGGCCCGGCGTCTTCGAGCCCATCCACGGCTCCGCGCCGGACATCGCGGGCACCGACGCCGCGAACCCGCTCGCGATGATCCTCTCCGCGGCCATGATGTGCACCTACGACCTCGCCCAGCCCGAGCTCGGCCAGCTCCTCGAGGACGCCGTCGAGGCCGTCCTCGACGACGGCCTCCGCACGAAGGACATCGTCTCCGAGGGCGCGACGGACCAGACGCTCGTCGGGTGCGTGGCCATGGGCGACGCCGTCGCCGCCAAGGTCGAGGCCCTCGCCAAGGTCCTCGCGTGAGTCGTCCTAAAGGATCACGAAGCTTGCTTTAGGCGAGGCCCACGTAGGTCTCGAGGACGTAGACGAGCGCGATGGTCGCGGGGAAGAGCGACAGCACCGCGAGCGCCGTCTTCGGCGTGTGGACGGGCCGCGTCGCGACGGCGAAGACGCAGGCCTCCGCGGCGAGGATCGCGAGCGTCTCCGCCGTGTACTTCCAGTAGAGCTTCTGGAAGTAGATGATGGCGAGGAAGACGAGGAGGCAGTACGTGTTGTTCATGACCGCCGCGCCCAGGAGCTGCTCGTAGGCGACGACCATGGACTTCTGCGTCTTCTTGAGCGCGAAGGTGTAGGACGCGAGGACCTCGCTCCCGTTCGTGATGATGGGCGCGACGACGAAGGACACGTAGAAGGCGTTGACGCCCGACCGCGCGCCGGCCTCGTTGAGCACGTCGACGACTGGGTCCGAGAACGTGAGCACCAGGGCCGTCCCCAGGCCGCAGAGCTTCATCGCCGCGCGGCGGATCGCCGCCTGCTGGTCCTCGATGGACTTGTACTTGTCCGCCACGAACTCGTCGGGCACCTCCTCGTCCTCGTCGTCGTCGTCGTCGGCGACGGGCGCCGGCGACGGCGCGCGCCGCGCCGCGGACGTCTGGCGCTGCAGCGAGGACCCCCCCGCGGCCTCGTCGCGCTTCTTCGCCGCGGCGTAGAGGACCATGCCGCGGCAGAACTCGGGGAAGTCGACGACGCCGTCGCGGTTGCAGTCGAAGTGCGCGAAGGTCGCCTCGAGGGATTTCGCGTCCTTGGGCTCGTTCATGTCCTCGAAGACCTTCGACAGCTCCTTGAGGCTGAGCACTCCGGAGCCGTCGGCGTCGTAGCGCGCGTAGAAGGGCAGGAGCACGGACTTGACCAGCGAGCTCACGGGGGCGCCGGACGACGGCGCCTCGGCGTCGACGAGCGGGCTCCGCGCGTCGTGTTTCTCGGCCGCGAGGTGCGGCTCGAGCGCCGCGATGATGCCCAGGCCCCGGCCCCGGACGGAACGGACCGCGGCGGCGGACGTGCGGCTCTCGAGGACGGGGTGCCCGGCGAAGGCCGCCCGGTACTGCGTCCGCAGGTACGCGAGGAAGCCGAGCAGCGCGCAGACGAGCGCCGTCAGCGCCCAGCCGGACTCCGCGAGCGACAGAGCCGCGACGTCGTCGCCGAGGCGCGCCGCGGCGAGCAGCGCGCCGACCTCGATGATGACGTAGGGCAGGGCCGTGAGCGCCATCCAGCGCGCCATCGTGCGCACGGCCGGCGCGCCCGCGGCGCCCACGGACACCGCGGAGTTCCAGACGTTGCCCTCGCTGAGCCGCGGCGCGGGGCCGTACCTGGGCCGGCCGCGGTCGTCCGCGTCGACGCGGCCGCCCCAGATCGCCAGGGCCCAGGGGATCGTGATGAGCATGACCGTCGACCCGGCGAGCGCGCCGACGCCGACGTCCAGGTTCTCCTGCGCGTCGGGGCCTAAACCGCTGAAAAGCACGAGCGCGCCGTCGGGCACCGCGCCGAGCACGGGCAGGATGCAGGACCCCACGAGCTTGCTGTAGGGCGTCAGCATGAGCAATTCCGCGCCATCGGAGATCATGGAGCAGCCGATGTACATGAGGTAGGCGTAGGCGGCGAAGAGCTGGAGGATCTGGATCGACGAGCACTCCTCGGGATCGATGAAGAAGCCCATGGTTCCCGGCGAGGCTCGGGCGTCGAGCGAGCGTCGGGCGAGGGGCGCGGGGGCGTTTTTCTGTACGCGCGAGCGGCGGACGGCGCCGGGACGAACGGCAAGAGCTCGGGATAGAAACAGCTCGAGGAGGAGCGATTCGATCTCACGAGGCTGATGTCAACAGCATGTTGGACTAGTTATTGAAGGGGATGCGCCGTGTTGACCTCGAAACGCCAAGCTCTCAGGACGATGGAGAAGTTCCTAAGCGGGAGCTAGGAAACGGAGCGAGACGATGGGAGAAGAATGCCCCGTGTGCTTCGCCGTCGGGGGCAAGAGCTGCCGGCTGGCGCCGTGCATGCACAGCCTCTGTTTGGGCTGCGCGAAGAGAATAAGGCGCTGCCCCCTGTGCCGCTCCGCCATCGTGGACCGCGTGCAGACGCTCCAGCCCAAACGACTGGACGAGCTCTGCTGCGAGGCCATGAGCCGGCGCATGGAACTTGCCTCGCCGGCGGTGCTCGCGAAGTGCTCCGACAAGCTCAAGTGCCGCATCATGAAGGGCATCGGCAACCGGCGGCTCCTCTACGGCGACCTCTTCCGCGCGCTCGCGGCGGGCAACGCGCTCCTCGCGGACTGGGATCTGCGCTACGCCGTGAACCTGCGGTCCGCGGACGTGATCTCCGTGCTGGACGACGTCCGCGCGACGGCCGTGACGCTGGACCTCACGGCCTGCGAGTGCCTCGACGACCGGGCGTTCCGGCGGATCTTCGAGGCGCCCCTGCCGCACCTCCAGAAGCTCTGCGTCGACTCGCTGGACGAGGTGCGCGGCGACGCGCTGGCGGAGTTCGGCGCGGCGCACCTGCCGAAGCTGCGGACGTTCTCGAGCGTCGGCTGCAAGCGGCTGCGGCAGCCCGCCTTCGCGGCGATCATGGGCCTGCCGGAGCTGCGGACGCTCGACGCCGGCCAGTGCTCCGGCTTCGCCTTCTGGTCGCCGCCGACGCTGCCGCGGCTGGACGGCGCCGCGCGCGAGCCTCGGCGGTGCACGTTCCCGCCGCGGGAGACGCTCGTGCGCTTATCGCTGGCGTCGTGCACGCGCGTGACCACGGCGTCGCTCGTCGACTTTCTGGAACGGGGCGCGCCCGCGCTCCGCCACCTCGACGTGTCCCACACGGAGGTCGAGGCCGACGACGTGCTGCGCGCCGTCGCGCGCCACGCGCCCTGCCTCGAGGACCTGAACCTCTGCCGCACGGCCGAGGAGAGCTGCACGGACGCGGGCATCGACGCGCTGGCGAGCTCGCGGTGCGCGGTGCACCTCAAGGCGCTCAACCTCGACGGCGCGGACGACATCACGGACCGGGCCTTGGTCGCGCTGCGGAAGGCGTGCAAGGCCCTGCGGTCGCTCTACGTGTCCGAGTGCCGGGGGCTCTCCGAGGCGGGGCTGACGACCATGGCGCGCGAGCTGCCGCGGCTCTCGTCCATGTCCATGCGCAACACGGCGATCTCGCGGTCGGGCCAGTTCCGCCTCGTCGGGCTCCTCCACTCGCGGCCCGCGCGGGGGACGTCGCCTCGATAGTTACTTGTAGTACCAGCCCGGCGGGATCGCCGCGAAGGCGAGGAGGACGAAGGCGACGGTGGCGACGTCGCCGAGGACGCCGGCCGCGCCCGGCGCCTCGCGCCGCGGCGGCGGCGCCTCGGGCAGCGGGCGCCGCGCCAGATACACGAACGCCGCGGCGGCGAGGGCCCAGCAGACGCCGAGGACGCGCGTGTTCGTCCGCGCGCGCGACGCGTACTGCCGCGCGGACACCGGCGGCGGGAAGTAGGGGTGGTCCTGCTGCAGCCAGACGCCGAGGTCGCGCAGCTCCTGGTCGAGCGCCGCGATCTCCTCGAGGTCCTCCTTCGTCCGGACGTAGTCGTGCACGGGTCGCTTCGCCAACCGCCGCCGCCGCGGGGGCTCCCAGCGCTCGCACTTGCTCTCGAAGAAGCGCCGCCCCTCGGCCGTGAGCGCGACCTCGCCCGTGGCGTTGAAGCGCGCCTCGTCGAAGTGGGTCCGCAGGCTCTCGTAGACGCCGCGGTGGCCGCCGTCGGCCGCCTCGCCCTGGCCCGCGTAGATCGCGATCTTTCGCTGCAGGAGGCCGAAGAAGCCGCCGCGGCCGCCGACGAAGGCGTAGTGCGCGAAGCCCGGCACGGCGCGGTCGTGGAAGGTCTCCCGGCCCGCGCGCGCCGCGCGCTCGAGGCGCTTGTGCGCCTTGGGGCCCTCCGCCGAGTGGTCGTGCGCGCCCCAGAACTGCCGCGTCGCGCCGTCGGCGTCCGCGACGCGGAAGAGCGTCTGCTTGATGACCCAGGCGCGGCCCCGGAGCCCGCGGCACTCGCCGGGGAACTGGTCGCCGAGCGCGCGGCCCGCGGACGCCTCCGGGAACGTGAGGTCCGCGCCGACGCGGTCGACCATGCGGCCGACGAAGCGGTCCTCGCCCTCGGCGACGCGCGCGTCCACGTCGTCGTACTCGAAGAACTCGTCGACGTCCGGCGCGAGGGCCCAGGCATCGCCGGGCAGCGTCCGCAGCCAGTCGTTGAGCAGCGCCGTCCGCGTCGCGGACGAGTAGCGCGCGGCGGCCGCCGCGACGGACACGCCGCGGCGCGCGAGCGACGCCCGGAGCGCGTCGGCGGCCGGGCCGTCGTCGACGACGGCGCGCATGCGCGCCGGGTCGACGCCGAGGGCCGCGTAGTGGTCCACGAAGTGGTCCGAGAGCGTCAGCGTCGTCGGCGTCGACGCCATCATGGTCCAGAGGTAGGGCCGCAGGCCGCAGAGCTCGCCGCGGCAGTCGCGCTCCGCGGCACTCGCCGCGAGGAGGAGCAGGAGCGCGCCGCGCGGCATGGTCACGTCGCGCGTTCGCGTCGCTCAAGGCGTGCGCGTCGCGCCCATCGACCGCCTCGGCTGGTGAATGTTGAGCGTCATCTTGAGGTGCTCGAGCCGCCGATGGGCGTCAGTGCCCCGATCAACGTACATCTAGGTGCACCCGTACGAAATTAATTAATAAAGATCAATCATCGAATTCCGGCCGGCGGAGCCAGAGTCATTAGTCGTCCATAGAGGCTGTACGTCGACCGCGCGCGCGGGCGCGGTGTCGCGGCGGTCCGCGGGCTGAAATCACGGCCAAAATTGGGTTATGGTCGTATCAAAGCAAGTTTGATGATATTCGCGCGTTAATTGCACGTTTGCGATGGCTTTTTGCGCGCGGTCGCTGGTTCGGGTCGCGAAATCGCAAGATTTAACTTCAACAAAAGTGCTGAAGTTCAACAAAAATGTTGACTTTTAAATCCAGGCTATCAGAATCTGAGTTTTGATCGGTGCACTGATGGGCGTCTCCGTGGCGCCGGGGCAGCCCTCCGAGCCAGAGTAGGATTATGTTAGCGTCGCGGCCTGGCCGATGGGCGTCTCCGAGGCGCCCGGGCAGCCCTCGGAGCCAATCTAGAGCCATGCTCTCGCTCGTGCTTGCATGTACCCTCGCCGCCGGCGCGCGCGCCGCGGTGCTCCCGCGCGACGTCGCGGTGGCGATCTTCGCCAAGCAGAGCGCCGTCGACGACGAGCGCGTCGCGGGCCAGTGTGCCACGTGGGTGCGAAGCCTCGGCGCGCCCGCGGCGATCTTCACCGACGTCGCGCGGCGTGCGCCCGCGGCCTGCGCGTCGGTGGCCGTGCGGGAGTGCTGCCCCGGGAACGCGTCGCTCGGGCGGTCGCGCGCGGCGGCGCAGTACAAGCGCGAGGTCGCGCACGCGCGGGTCCTCGCCTGGCTCGAGGCGACGGGAAGCCGTGCGCGATGGATCCTCGAGACGGAGTACGACACGTGGTTCGACGGCGAAAAGCTCCTGGACTACCTCTCGACGGTCGAGCGCGGCGTGAACGCGTCCGCGACGCCGGCGGTCGCGGGCAATTGGCAGGGGCCCTTCACCGTTTTAAGCCGCCCCATGCTGCGCATCCTGAGCGACCGCGGCTTCGCCGACGTCTGCCGCCACCGCTTTTTGAAATGCCGCGCGCTGGCGGCCAAGTCGCGGCCGTCGAACTGCCGCGACGTCGTCGTCGACGGCACCGTGCCGGGCGCGGCCTACAACGACGACCAGCTGCTCGCCTTCTGCGCGGGCCGCGTGGCCGGCGCCGCCGTGCTCCACCCGCCGGGCCCGGCGTCGGACTGCCGCGAGACGGGGCTGCTCGAGCCGGAGCCGGCGGGCCGAACCTACGTCGCCGTGCACAACCGCGGCGAAATAGCGCCGGACGCGGCCTGGACCGCGCGGCCGCCGAACTTATTGGCGTACCATCATGTCGACGCCGACGGCATGGCGCGCCTCGAGGGCCTCGGCGCGGGCCGCCGCCGCGCCGGCGTCGGCGCGGTCTGCCGCAAGGCCAACGTCGCGGACGGGCTCCGCGAGCGGCGCGGCGCGCGGCGGCGGCGGCGGTTCCGTCCGCCGTTGCCGCGCGTCAAACGGAAAGTGACCCGCGCGGACTTTTAACGGTGTTCGAGTTGCAACACTACCGGAATCGCCTTACAGCGCACCAAACGGAAAGTGACCCGCGCGGACTTCTAACCGACGGGCCTTACAGCTCCCCGTCGTCCCAGACGGAGTCCTGCCAGGACGAGTCGACGTAGACCTCGGGCTTGCGGTGCTTCTTGCGGTGGTGGCCGTGGCGCCGGCGCGCCTCCTTGCCCGCGCGGAAGCGCGCCTCCTCCGGGTGGGGCGCGCCGGAGTCGTCGGGCTCCGGCCGCTTCGACGCCGCCGGCGCGTCGTCCTCCTTGGGGAGCAGCGTCGGCGCCTGCACGGCGAAGGGCATGAGCGCGAATTCCAGGCGCATGAAGGAGGGCTTCTTGCCCAGGGGCACGCGGAAGCCCTCGCCCGACGGCGCGAGCTTGCGCATGGCCTTGGTCGCCTTCTGGAAGTCGGACCGCGGGTTCGGGACGACGATGAGCGCGGGCAGGTCCGCGCTGTGTTCGACGCCGTACCTCGCGCGGAGCGCACCGTTCGCGCCCGCGTCGCCGCAGTAGACGCTGCCGAAGTCGATCTCGCCGCGGAAGCGGCTCGCGAGGCCCTTGAAGAGGCCCGTCGGCGACCGCTTCTCCGTGAAGAGCAGGACCCGCCGCGCCGCGAACGCGTCCGGCGCGGCGCTCCAGTCGTCGCCCGCCAATCGCTTGACGAAGTCGGGCTGCCGGTCCCCCGCGAAGGCGACGAGGGCCGACGCCTTCCGCTCGCCCGCGTACACGAAGGGCGACGCCGACGCCGTGGGGCTGAACGCGACGATCGTCGGCACGCCCTCGATCTTCACGCCGTGCTTCTTCACGATGACGTCCGCGACGGTCCGGTGCTTCTCGACGTCGACGGCCCCGAAGTACACGAGCTTCCGCAGCTTCGTCGCCGCCTTCTGCAGCTCCGGCTCGAGCAACACGCAGAAGCCGCAGCCTTCGCGATAGAAGCTGATGACCCAGAGGTGGTTCGACTTGGCCGGGTTGTGCTCCTTCCACTTGGCGACGCTGTCGATGACGACCACGTCGCTGCCGCGCTCGAAGAAGGCGCCCGTGCGGACGGCGAGCAGCAGCAGCGCCGAGACGCGCAGTGCGCGCGACCCGGCCATTGCGGCGACCTTGAATATTCAACACGTGGGAAACGTCGGCGTTTCGAGCAAAGGGGTCAAGCATGGCGGAGATCGAGGGGCTGGTCCGCGCCTTGCGCGAGGGCGACGACGCAGCGAAGACGGCGGCGGTGCGGGCGCTGGGCCGCCTAGATTGGAGTGAACTCGGCCTGATGGCCGAGGCCGGCGGCATCGCGCCGCTCGTCCAGCTACTACGCGTCGGGAGCGCGGAGGCCAAATACTGGGCCGCGGCGGCGCTGTGTGCCCTCGCGTACAACAACGACGACAACCGGGTCGCAATCGCCGCCGCCGGCGGCATCGCGCCGCTTGTCGAGCTCCTGCACAACGAGCGCGGGAATGCCAAATGGCGGGCTGCGCAGGCGCTGGAATGGCTCGCGCTGAACAACGACGCCAACGCGGTCGCAGTCGCGGCGGACGTCGGCCCCGAGGCGCTCATCGAGCTCGTGCGGCGCGGCCGTGTGACCGTCGATATGCTAGGCAACCTAGCAGACGTCCACGAGCGGCGGATCGTGCGGAATGCGGGCATCGCCGCCAAGCGCAAGGCCGCGCTGGTCGTCGCCGCGCTGCTCGGCGGCTGCGTCCCGGACTCGGTCCCGCGCGTCCTCAAGGCCGTCATCGGGTCCTATCTCTAGGACGCATCGCTAATCTCCGCCCCCCGCGCGCACGTAAGGAGAGAGCAACATCGGCATCAACCTGGCCTCAGCTTGTTGCCGCAAGCAATGGCTCGTAGCTTTTGGCTCGATTAAGCACCTGTTTGCATCGCTTAGCTGTATCCCGCAAAGCAAAGATGGCCCGCTGCTCCCGCCGCGCGCGCCAGCGCCGCCGCCGCGTCCTTCGCAAGTACATGGCGATCCTGCCGCGCTACACGAGCTCGCCCTTCCCCGACGACGACCTGACGCCGCGCGAGCGGCGCCTGAGCTGGGAGCAGCTGGCGCCGCTGGGCCTCGAGTCCGTCCTGGGCCTCTCGGCCGCCGACGTCGGCGCCTTCTTCGACGAGGGCTTCGAGCGCGAGCCGCGGCTCTTCGAGCGGTCGTGCGCGGGTTCGTGGCTCGCGGCGCTGCCGCGCTGGGCCGACGTCTTCGAGGTCGTCGCGCGCTGCGAGCACGGGCGCGGCGCGGGCCTCGCGCAGGCCCTCGTCTTCAAGGACGGCGCGCCGTCGACGGCCTACGCGAGCGCGGCGCACGGCTGGCTCGACGCCGCGTCGATCATCGTGAACCGGCTCGACGCGGTCTGGGAGGGCGCGCGGCAGCTCTCCGTGGACCTGCGGCACCACCTGCCCCACGCCTACTGCCAGCTCTACGCGACGCCGGCGTCGGCCCAGGCCGTCGACGCCCACGCGGACGACCGCGACGTCTTCGTGGTCCAGCTCGAGGGCTCGAAGCGGTGGGTCGTCTACGGCGACCCGCCCGTGCCCCTCCCGAACCCGTCGGAGCAGGCGGGCAAGTGCTTCGCGCTGCCCGTCGACCACGAGGCGTCCGCGCCGCGGCGCGTCGAGGCGACCCTGCGCCGCGGCGACGTGCTCTACGTGCCCCGGGGCTACGTCCACGAGGCCAAGACCGCGGGCGAGGCGTCGCTCCACGCCACGGTCGCCGTCGCGACCTACGACTGGACCTGGGCCAAGCTCTGCGCCGCGGCGTCGACGTCCGACGCGTCGGCGGCGCTCGCCGCGGCCGCGCGGCTCGAGAAGCGGACCGTGACGCCGCGCGGCGCGCACTGGTGGCGCCGCTGCGCGGACCCGGCGCTCGTCTGCGCGGGCCACGGCGCGGCGCGGCGCGAGCGGGCGCGCAGGGTCGCGGGCGTCGCCGGCGAGGAGCTCGACGTCGCCGCGGAGGAGCTCGCGGCGGCCTTCGCGGACCGGCTCAAGGCGCACCGCGCCGCGCAGGCGGCGCCGATCGACGGCGACGACGCGGCGCCGCCGAAGCTGCGGACGCTGGCGCCGGGCGTCTTCGTGCGCCGCCTGCGCGACGGCGAGACGGCGAAGCAGGCCAACGGCGCCGGCGGCCTCGTCGCGCGCGAGGAGATGGCGGCGATCCTGCCCGTGATCCTCGCGGCCGTGTCCACCGCGCCCTTCGACGTGGACAAGTGGACCGCGCTGGACCCGCTGAGCCGGTCGGCGCTCGCGGCCGTCGCCGTGGACCTGGGCATCCTCGTCGTCTGCGGCGCGGACGGGGCGCGGGCCTAACTACGTATTACCAGCTCCGCCACGGCACCTCGCCGGGCGCGAGGCGGCCCTCCTTGCGCTCGCGCTGGTGCTTGATCCGCGCCTTGCGCGTCTCCGCGCGCGTGACGTCGGCCCAGGCGTAGTGCTGCTCCGTGGAGTGCGTCGTGTTGCAGCGGTGGCCGCGCGCGTCCTGGGCGACGGGGTCGCAGAGCCGGCACCGGCCCTGCCCAAAGTCGCCGTTCTCCGCGGAGCTGAGCCAGCGCTTCGTGTCGAGGAGCACGACGGGCGCGTCGGAGCGCGCGGCCCGCGCCGTCGCGTTGTGGTCCACGGGCGGCTTGACCTTGGGCGGCGGCTCGAGCTTCGGCGCCGCGGGCGTCGCGTCGATCTCGCGGCCCCACGCCTTGGGCCCGCCGCCGGCGCCGCCGGGGTAGATCTGCGCCTTGCAGTCGCGGACGACGGCCTCGATGGGCGCCGCGCAGGCCCGGCTCCCGCTCGAGTAGGCGTGCTGGTAGGGCCGCGTGAAGAGGCTGCCCCGCGCGAGCGGCTCGCTGAGGCGCTCGATGACGCCGGGCAGCTCCTTGACGCCCGCGCCGCTCGACTCGTGCTGGACGAGGGCCTCGACGACGCGCGGGCGGTTCCCGCGCGCCGCGGCGTGCAGCGCGAGCTCGCCGGAGTGGGCCGCGCGGAGCTTCGAGTCCGCGCCGCGCCGCAGGAGCGCGGCCACGGTGCTCAGGTGGCCCGCGAAGGCCGCCGCGTGCAGGGGCGGCGTGCCGCCGGCGCCGTCGCGCGCGTTCACGTCGCAGCCCGCGTCCAGGAGCACCTCGGCGACGGCCGCGTGGCCGCCGAGCGCCGCGAGGTGCAGCGGCGTGCGGCCGCCGCGCCGCGCGTCGTCCGCGCCGACGGTCGCGCCGCGCTCCAGGAGCAGCTCGACGCAGGCGAGGTGGCCGTAGGCGCTCGCGAGGTGCACGGGCGGCGAGTAGAAGTGCGCCAGGCCGCCGCCGGACGCGTCGCCGCCGTTGCGCCGCAGCGCGTGGCCCAGCGCCGCCGCGTCGCCGCCGGCGGCGTGGTAGTGGACGATCGTGTCCTTGCCGAGGTGCGCCGGCTGCACCACCCAGCGGTTCTTCGGCGGCGCCTTGGCGTCGAAGCTGGCCATCTTCGCTACGTCTGATTGGCCTTCGTCATGCCGGCAACGCGGCGCGTGACCATGCCGGGCAGCACAACGATTAACGACACTTCAAGCAGAGCGGCAAGTTTTTGTGTGAAGTTCTTGGATTCTTGGTGGGAGCCTGGGCCGGAGCTCTCGTCGCCCGTGAGCGTCGCGCCGTCGCCGCCGGAGCTCTCGTTGCCCGTGAGCGTCGCGCCGTCGCCGCCGGAGCTCTCGTTGCCCGTGAGCGTCGCGCCGTCGCCCATGGTCGCCAGCCGCCGCCGCAGCCCCTCTGCTGCTTTGCTCTGCATCGCATGGCTCTGGCTGCTCCCCGTCGCCAACGCGCTCGACGACGTGCTTATGGTGCGCACGGCCTGGGGCGTCGACGAGTTCGAGCGCCCGGAGCAGTGGACGCAGTGGATGGTCGGCATCTCCGAGCTGTACCAGGGCGTGGAGGTGCCGACGTGGGTCGTGTGCAGCGGCTTTCCGAGCTACGACGGCACCTGCATGCACGCCTGCAACGCCACGCGCGCGGCGCTCTTCGCCGAGGCGCTCTCTGCCTCGGGCCTCTTTTACGTCGCGCAGGTTCACGTCTGCGGCGTGCCCATCGCGTCCGCGAAGGTCGAGGACAGCATCGCGTCGCTGCGGGCCCAGGCGACCCTCGCCAAGGAGCTCGGCGCGACGATGCTCAACGTCCACGACGGCGTCGACATCTGGGGCGACGCGGACGTGCTGCGCTACTTCGCCGCGGCCGTCGAGATCGAGGTCTCGCTCGGGCTCGTCGTGGCCCACGAGACGCACCGCACGCGCGCCCTGGCGACGCCGCGTACCACATTGCTCGTGCTCGACGCGTTCCCGACGGTCAAACTCACGGCGGACCTGTCGCACTGGGTCATCGCCGCGGAGCGCGCGTTCGACTACCCGTCGGACGCGGCCTACTGGCCGCCGATCCTGGAGCGCGTGGCCAACGCCACCGTGCTCACGCACGCGCGCGTAGGCTCTGCGGAGGCGATCCAGGTCAACGACCCGTCGGCGCCGGAGCACGCGGCGCTCGTCGAGACCTACGAGCGCTGGTGGAACGTGATCTGGTCGCGGCAGGCGGCGCTCGGCCGGCCCGTGTTGATCGAGCCCGAGTTCGGCCCGGCGCCCTACCTGCCGACGGCGCCGCACACGGCCATGCCCCTCGCGGACCTCGCCAAGGCCGTCGAGTACATGTCGCGCCGCCAGCTCCGCCGCATCGAGCGCGGCGAGTGCGCCGCGCCGGCGTAAGTAGTTGTTGGACTAGTCATTGAAGGGGACGCGCGCTCGACCAGCGCCCGGAGCCGGGGAGGGGAGGCGGGCCCGCGGAGGGAACCAGTTGTTGACGACAACGTTGAAGGAGTCTCGAGCCTCAGTGGCAATAGACTTCGCTATGGCCGTCGCTCGACGAGCGGTGCTCGCTGCCTGTGCGGCGTCCTTCGCCGCGGCGCAGCTGCCCGGCATGCCCGGCGGCCCGCCCACGGAAGCCAGGCCCGTGTTCAAATCCGCCAAGCTCCTCGAGTGCACGGTGTGCAAGCGCGTCGCCGACGAGCTCTGGAAGAAGGCCCTGGACCTGCGGGAGACGGCGCCGTACAAGAAGCCGAGCGAGGACATGTACTTCGACGCCATCACGGAGGTCTGCAACCCGGACAAGGACCTCGGCGAGTGGATCACGTTCCTCGACATCACGCAGGCCGACGCGGGCGCGCCGCTGCGCCTCGAGGACCAGGAGTACCTCGGCGAGTGCCGGCGCGAGTGCCGGACCATCGCCAAGGCCTGCAACACGGTCGTCGAGGAGCACCGCGAGGACATGGCCGAGTCCTTCTACAAGCGCGACGCGTCGACGAAGGAGAAATTCACGAACCGCCTCTGCAACAAGTGGGCCAAGGTCTGCCCCGCGAAGCCGCTCAAGCAGAAGAAGCTCTACGCGCACCCGGACGAGTACTGGATGCCCGTCGACGAGGAGATGTACAAGATGCGCAAGATGCAGGACATGATCAACACGCAGGCGAACAAGTACGGCAAGCAGCCCGTCCAGTTCGTCGACCCCATGTCCAGCGCCATGTTCGGCCACGACGAGGACGACGAGTGGGGCATGCCCGACCTCTAGGCGTAACGGCGCGCCTCGTTGAACGCGGGGGCGAGTGCCGCGTCCAGACCTCTAGTCCAGACCATGGATGTTACGTGGGCCGCGGGGACCGCGCGGAGCTCACCTTCGTCGGGGCGACGGCGCCCGCGAGGCTCCGGACGGCGTCGACCTGCTTCGGCAACAGCTCGGCCGTGTCCACGGACGCGAAGGACGCGCGGCCCTCGGCGAAGGACGCCGTGGCCCGGTCCTGCGTCGTGTCGAAGGACGCGGTCGCGCGCTCCGAGGCCGCGGCGTCGGCCGCGTGCTGCGCCGCGAAGGCCGCGATGTCGCCCGTCGCGTCGAGGTTCGTCCGCGACTTGCGCTTCTCGCGGTGCTGCGACGCGTGCTTCGCGGCGGCGAGGGCCTTGGCCGGCGCGGACATGTCGAGCGACGCCTTCCGCGTGTCCGCGCGGCCCCCAAAGGCCTTGGCCTCGTGGGACACGGCCGCGATGGCGCGCTGGCCCGCGTGCGCGGGCGTCGCCAACACCTCGAGGAGCTGCGTGCCGAGCTCCGTCGGGTCGCGGGCCTCGGCCGCGCGCGCGCGCTCCTCGGCGACGGACGCGGAGATGACGCCCGCGAGCGCGACGAGCTCCATGGACGTCGACAGGCTCACCGTGTAGGTGACCTTGTGCTGGACGACGTCCACGCTGCGGCACATGGACTCGAAGGCGAGGAGCGCGGCGACGTAGATGGCGTCCTTCGTCGTCACCTCCAAAGCTTTCGCGAGGTGGTCGAGGAGCACGCGCCGCGCGTCCGCGGCGACGATGTAGCCAAAGTAGGCCGCGGTCTCGCCCTTCGAAATCACGGCCTCGAGGGAGCTGCTGCGCTCCACGCGGTCGCCGCGGTAGAGCCCCACGAGCGGCCGCACGGCGACGAAGTAGTCGAGCATGAACGTCGACGCGGACGCCGGGAACGCGGCGACGCGGCCGCTGTCCGTGTGGATGCCCGCCATCTGCCCGAAGGTCAGCGCGTAGTCGTGGAACTCGCTCCGCGGGTCGTCGATGAGGGCGAAGGCGCCGTTGACGAACATGCCAAAGTGCTTGAGGAGCATCTTCGTCCCGATGCCGTGGCTCTGCTCGAAGAACTTGAGCACGAACTGCGGGAAGGGCTGGCGCGGCTTCTGCTTCGCGTCCGCCGCGGCGTCGGCCTTGAGCTTCGCCACGATGATCTCGGAGATGGCGTTCGTCGTCTTCGCCTCGTTCAGCGCCGTCTTCACCATCGCGCCCTTGCGGAGCGTCGGCCGCCAGCAGAGCGGCGGCCGCAGGAAGTCGTTCTCGATGAGGTCCTTGAAGACGACGTCGAAGCTCTTCGCGAGGAACTCGACGTACTCGTCGCCGTCGAGGCTCACGGTCCACGTGTCCGCGAGCTGGAACACCGCGTAGCGGAACTCCTCGTGCGACACGAGGCCGTCGTCGCCCGCGTCGACCTTGAAGTCCGCGCGCATCGTCTCCTCCGCCTCCTGCGGCGTCATCTCGTCGGCGCCCTCGAGCAGGCGCATGAGCCGCTTGTGGAACTCCTTGTACTCCTCCCAGTCCAGGTGCTCGTTCCAGTCCTTGTCCAGATACAGGAACGCGGCCTGCCACCAGCGCTCGAGCTGCGCGGAGACGCCCGCGTGCTCGACGAAGAGCACCTCGCGCCGCTTCTGGGCGACGTCCGTGTAGAGGTCCATGTCGCCCTGCTTGCGGACGCGCTCCTTCTCCTTTTCCGTGAGCGCCGCGAATTCCGCGAGCGCCTTCGCCGCGGCCGCGCCGAGGCGCTCGCGCCGCTCGTCGTCGAGGCCCTCCTTCTTGCGGAAGACCTCGGCGAGGTTCCCGTACTGGGACTGGTCCATGGTGAAGCGCATGAGCGCGCGCACGCCGACGTTGCTCAGGTCGACCGTCGTCCCGGGGATGCCGAGGTTCAGCTTCGAGGCCGTGACGAAGGCCTTGGGCGAGCTCACGGTCCCGTCGTCCTCGGCGAGCTGGGGCCACTTTTCCTCGACCTCCGCCCAGCGCTCCGGCGGACAGATCCGCTTCGCCTGCTCCCGGCTGATGCTCGGGGCCGAGGCCGCCGTGCCCATGGCGGTTTCTCGGGGCTGCCTCCGGTCTCGCGCGCAGGGTCGCGCGCGGGCAGCGTATTTGTGGGGGTGGAGCACGGCCGGGCGACCGCTGGTCGCGACGCCGGCCGCCGCCGCGCGCGCGCTCTCGCGCGCAGGAACGACGACGTCGGTTTTGATGGGATCGCTGTCCCGTAAATGCACCTTTGGCGGCAGTTTTGGCCCAAAGAGCTCACTGTGGCAAAAGCTGGCCGGCTTTGTCGAGTTTTGAACGCTGCCCGCGCCGCGCTGGCGTGACGCCCGAGCCGCTCCGTGCACGTAGGACGCCGCGCCGTCGAGCGCCATGGGCCGCGCCGGGAAGCGGTCCGTGCGGTTCCGGACGTCGTTCAGCAACACGATCTACGACGTCATGACGAGCCGCAACTGGAAGGAGACGGACAGCGAGACGGACTGGGACGTGCACTGGGCCGAGCGCGAGTGGGTCTACGAGGTCTTCGACACCATGCACCTCGAGCCGCACCAGCGCATCAACCACTTCCGCAACGGCCGCGAGCTCTGCCGCAAGGATTTGTTGGTGAAGAACCTCAAGCGCATGAAGCGCAACCTCCAGCGCGACGGCCAGCTCGAGCAGGCGCGCGCCTACGACTTCATGCCCCTGTCGTTCGTGCTGCCCCGGGAGTACGCCATGTTCGTCGAGGAGTTCAAGCGGTGCGGCGGCGTCTGGATCATGAAGCCCATCGGCTCGGCCCAGGGCCGGGGCATCTTCCTCTTCTCGCGGCTCTCGGAGATCAGCGAGTGGCGCACGGACCCGCGCCACCTCCAGCGCGACGGCGGCGACCGCGACAGCCAGCGCGCGGAGCCCGAGGCCTACATCGTCCAGCGCTACATCGAGAACCCGTACCTCGTCGGCGGCAAGAAGTTCGACATCCGACTCTACGTGCTCGTCACGTCCTTCAGCCCCCTCGTCGCCTTCATGTACCGCGGCGGCTTCGCGCGCTTCTCCCACACGCGCTACTCGTCCGCGGCGCCGCGTCCGAACACGGAGTCGGTTTTCGCGAACGTGGTGTTTTTTGTCGACGGAGAGCTGTTTTTTTCCCTCGACGGAGAGCGAACCGAAGTCTCCCGGCGCCGCCGCGCCGCGGCTCGCGGGAGCATTCGTTGAAGTCGCGTCGGATTTCGCGAACCTCGCCTCCCGGCGGCGCCGCGGCCCGCGGAAGCCTTGGACGCCGCCCGTTGACGTCGCTGAACTCTTTAGGTCCGACCCCGCGGACATCGCGAACAACTTCGTGCACCTGACGAACGTCGCCATCCAGAAGACGGCGGAGAACTACGACGCGCGGTCGGGCGGCAAGAAGGACCTGCGGTCGCTGAAGCTGCTGCTCGCGACGCAGCACGGCATGGCCGCCGTCGACCAGCTCTTCCTCGCCATCGAGCGCGTCATCGTCCGATCGCTCATCGCGGTGCAGCACGTCATGATCGCCGACAAGCACTGCTTCGAGCTCTACGGCTACGACGTGCGGATTGGCGGCGTCGGACTTTGGGGGGGGGGGGGGGGCGCCGCGCCGCGCCGAGCCGCGCCGCGCCGCGCCGCGCGCGGCGTTTTTTGGGGGGGGCGCCCCGCCGCGCCGCGCGCCGGCGCCGAGCCCCGCGCGCTCTTTAGGTCCTCATCGACGACGAGCTCAAGCCGTGGCTCATCGAGGTCAACGCGTCGCCGTCGCTCACGGCGAACACGAAGGACGACTACATCCTCAAGTGCGAGATGCTCAACGACACGCTCGACATCGTCGACGTCGAGGCCAAGCTCAACGGCGACGAGCGCTCCGTCGGCGGATTCGACCTCGTCTACGACGGCGGCATCGTCGAGCCCGACCCCGCGGAGTGCCCCTACTCGACGAAGCTCGGCACCTACATCGAGCGCCAGGCCGCCCCGGAGAAGCCCGCGAAGGCGTGAGACTTCGAGCGTGTAATTTTCGTTTCCGGTTTCGCTTGCAAGCGCGGTGGGGGGAGTCTGTGTGCGACGCATATAGCCGCAAGCGCTGGCGGAGTCCGAGGTATTTGAGCTTGATGCGTCTCTAAACGTAGGGGGCCCGGGAGGAACCGCGGGAGTCGAGATAGCATCGAGGCGGCATCGAGATATTTTGAGCGATTTTGCTTAGCCGCGGCGCAGGGAGGAATCGAAGGGAGGGAGGATTTTGCTTAGCCGCGGCGCAGGGAAGAACCGAAGGGGGAGAGAACAGCGAAGGGGGGCGTAGGGAAGCGTCACGGGAGGACACGACTAGGGCGGAGGCGTACGCGAGCACGGCGACGAAGAGGGCACGACGACGTAGGGCGACTACTGCTCGTAGGCGACGCCGAAGGTCCCGCCGGTGCCGCGGGCCGCGCGGGCGTAGGCCGCGTCGCGGGCCCGCTTCGCGGCCGCGTCCCGGCCGTAGTCGGGCCGCGGGATCGACGACGGGGCGCCGATGAGGCCGAGGCCCTCGATCTTGATCCGCGCGACCGCGCGCACGGAGGCGACGCCCCACTCGCGGTAGAGCCGCTGCTTCTGGATCGACTTCGCGTGGTCGAGGCTCGTGGCGCCGGCCTCGACCCAGGTCCGCTCCGCGATCTCCTCGGCGGCCATGGCCAGGACCTCGTGGGCGCCCTTGCTCAGCTCGCCGAAGTAGCCCGCCACGAAGCCGACGACGGAGCCGAAGGATCCGAGGCGGCGCTCGAAGGGACCCGGCGAAGCCTCGTCCGGGTAGAACTTCTTGCCATTCGAGCCGCGACGACGAGGTCGAGGATCAGGAGATTGTGGCGACGCCCCCGGTCAAGGACGCGCGCCGAAGTCATGTCGTGGCAGGAGAAGAAGTTGGAGTATGAGAATCGCATGGCCCGAGCGAGGGGAAAAAAACTCGACACTCTCAAGACCTGCACGATCTGCGGCGCCGACAAGGCCAAGGCGTGCCAAGGATGCGGCACGACGGCCTACTGTTCGACGGAGTGCCAACGCATCGACTGGCGCGACCGGGGCCACCGGAAGGTCTGCAAGAAGATCCAGGCCGCGGAGGCGGCGCGGGCCGAGGCGCCGACGCCCCCGCCGCGGGACGTGTTCTACGGCCCCGCGCCGCGGTCGCACGCCGACGAGGTCCGCGCGCGCATCGCGGCGGAGCACGAGGCGGCCCGCGTGCGACGCGAGGCGAACCCGGAGCGGGAGCCGACGTCGGCGCGGTTTGGGTCGCGGTGCCCGATCTGCCTCGAGGAGTGGGACGTGAATACGAGGAACGTGTTTCGCATCTGTTGCTGCCGGAGGGTCTGCCAATCGTGCAGTAACAAGATCGGCACCGACGCGTGTCCCCTCTGTCGCATACCGTGCGCAGAAGACGATGCGGAGCAGCTCGCGCGTCTGCGCCGCCACGTGGAGAACGAGGTGCCGGAAGCGATTACGCATTTGGGAATTGCGTACAGCGAAGGTCGGTTTGGCCTCGTGAAATCCGATAAGAAAGCCGCGAAGATTTACCGGCGCGCCGTGGAGCTCGGGGACGTGACCGCGATGAACTGCCTTGGGCTATTGTACGAGAATGGAAGTGGTGTCAAGCTGGACAAGAAGAAAGCGGAGCGGCTGTATCGCATGGCCGCGGACCGGGGCGACGCGACCGCGCAATGCAATTTGGCGTTTTTACTTGATGCTGAGGAGAAACATGAAGAAGCGTTCCGGTACTACGCGCTCTCGGCGGATCAAGGTTATACACGTGCAGAGCATAACTTTGGCTGTCGCTACGTGAACGGAACAGGCACGGAAGTCGACCTCGGCAAAGCCAGATACTGGTTCGAGCGCGCCGCTGCCAAGGGCTACCAGCTTGCTATAAAGGCCCTCGCGCGCCTCGACGCGCGAGCATAGCCTAAGTCTTTATGCGGCGTCGTCGCCCGAGCCCGAGATGCTGCGCTTGCGCGCGGGCGAGTCGTGCTTGGCCTTGGCCTCGTGTCGCCGCGTGCGTCTCCGCGCCGACCTTCGCGGTCTGGGATCTGGAGTTCTTGAACGCGAAGCCCGTTTGGCGCAAGGACGACGACGCCGCCGAGGGGGGGCATGGAGAACGACAGGAGCGCGATGCCCGGGGTAAGATTTTGAGCGATTTTGCCTGAACATTGCGAGCCTGAGTGACGACAGAGCGAGGTGGTTGAATAGGGAGCGTCGGCGACGAGCGTGGGAAGAGATCATGGACCCGGAATTGATCAAGAAGAAGCGAGAGTACGAGGCGCGAAAATCCCGTACGAAGCTGGCGCTCAACATATGCACGATTTGCGGGAAGAAGGATGCCCGGCCCTGCAAAGGTTGCGGCACGACGGCCTACTGTTCGACGGACTGCCAACGCATCGACTGGCGCGACCGGGGCCACCGGAAGGTGTGCAAGAAGGTCCAGGCGGCGGAGGCGGCGCGGGCCGAAGCGCCGACGCCCCCGCCGTCGCCCCCGCGGGACGTGTTCTACGGCCCCGCGCCTCGGTCGCACGCCGACGAGATCCGCGCGCGCATCGCGGCGGAACACGAGGCGGCCCGAGTGCGGCGCGAGGCGAACCCGGAGCGGGAGCCGGCGTCGGCGCGGTACGGGTCGCGGTGCCCGATCTGTCTCGAGGAGTGGGACGTGAATGCGGCGAGCGTGATTCGCGTCTGTTGCTGCCGGTTGGTCTGCCAATCGTGCGAGGACAAGCTCGGCACCGGCGCGTGTCCCCTCTGTCGTGTACCATGCTCAAAGACCAATGCGGAAAACCTCGCGCGTCTTCGCCGCCATGTGGAGAACGAGGTGCCGGAAGCGATTGCGTGTTTGGGAAGTGCGTACCACCTCGCTCGGTACGGCCTCGTGAAATCCGATAAGAAAGCCGCGAAAATTTGGAAGCGCGCCGTGGAGCTCGGAGATGTGCGGGCGATGTGTTTTCTTGGGGCATTGTACATGGGCGGGTTTGGCGTCAAGCTGGACAAGAAGAAGGCGGCGCAGCTGTATCGCACGGCAGCAGACCGGGGCGACCCAGAAGCGCAATGCAATTTAGCGTTTTTACTTCATTCTGAGGAGAAATTTGAAGAAGCGTTCCGGTACTTCGCGTTCGCGGCGAATCAAGGCTGTACCGCTGGAGAGTTCAACCTTGGCTGTTGCTACAAGGACGGAGAAGGCACGGAAGTCGACCCCGGCAAAGCCAGGTACTGGTTCGAGCGCGCCGCTGCCAAGGGCTTCGAGCACGCTATAAACGCCCTCGCGCCTCGACGCGCAAGTATAGCCTAACAATCTTCACCCGCGTCGTCGCCCGAGCCCGAGCTGCTGCGCTTGCGCGCGGGCGAGTCGCGCTTGGCCTTGGCGTCGTCGTCGCCGCGTTCCTCCCCGCGCCGACCTTCGGTGGGGCATTGGACGATGGCAAGGGTCCTCGGCCTGTTCGCGACGCACACAGGGGCACTCGCGCGAAATTTAGGCGCAGAGCTCTCCGATGGCATCGGCGCTCGGCAGCGGGGCAGGCCTTCCGCCCGCCGCATCGTTCCGGGAGAAGGACAGGAAAACGCAAAGCAAAGCTCTTTGCCACTGCGACTCTCTCCGTACGCGCGCGGCGTCCTCTGGCAATTTCCTGTCCCCATCGGTTTCCCCCGCAACTCCCCACCGCCACGCAATGCGCGTGCAATTCGGGCGCGTGCAATTCGGGGCAATCCGGGGGCCAATTCGAGTTCGAAAAAGTTTCGAGCCTCGGCGCGTCGTCGACGGCCACGCGATGGCCTCGACGGCGACGTGCCCACGCCCACGGGCGCCTCGTGTACCGTTCCGACGGCGAGGGCCGGCAAGCCCTCCCTCTCCTCGCCCGCGCGCTCTGCGCGATCGTCGATCGCCCGAGAGTTCGAACCTCGATCCGCCGGTTCGACCGTCGCTCCATCTTAGGTCGCAACCAGCAACGCGAGACATCTCGCGAACCCGCAAGCCGTCCGGCACTCCTTCTCGACCCTCTCGAAGCAAAGCCTCTCACACGAAGATGGTCTCTCTCCACGCCGCTCTCGTCGCCCTCGCGCTGACCACGTCCGCCGACGCCGCGCGCAACCGCCGCCTCCAGGACAACCTGGACGTCCCGAAGCTCTACGAGGACGCCGAGGAGGGCAAGCTCTCGAGTCGCGTGCTCTTCAAGATCGACGAGGCGCACCGCGGCGACGCGGCGGCCGTCGCCGACAAGGTCGCGTCCATCCTCGAGTGCGACGCCGCCCCGGCGCGCGTCTTCCGCGAGGGCGGCAAGTTCGAGGCCGCGCACAAGGCCGCGGGCCTCGACCTGCACTACAAAGTCTCGTGCGGCAAGGACGCTGACCACACGGCCGCGTCCAAGGAGACCTTCGCGGCGCTCATGAAGTTCCTCGACAGCGACGACCACGACGGCGTCGCGCTCGTGGAGGCCGAGTACGACGAGAGCCTCTCGTGGACGCCCGACGACCCCTCGCTCGGCACGCAGACGCACTACGACGCGATCGGCATGGCCGCGGCCTGGGACGTCACCAAGGGCTCGGCCGACGTCGTCGTCCAGGTCCTCGACACGGGCATCGACATGTCGCACCCGGACCTCCAGATGAACATCTGGCGCAACGAGGGCGAGATCTGCGGCGACGGCGTCGACAACGACGGCAACGGCTACGTCGACGACTGCCACGGCTACAACCACGCCGACGACACGGGCACGGACCTGCTCGGCAACCACTGGCACGGCTCCCACTGCGGCGGCACCATCGCCGCGGACAACAACAACGGCCTCGGCGTCGCCGGCGTCGCGGGCGGCGACGGCTCCGCCGACTCCGGCGCCAAGCTCATGATCTCGGTCGGCTTCGGCAAGACCGCCGTCGACGGCTTCGCCGAGGCGCTCGTCTACGGCGCGGACATGGGCGCGCAGATCTCCTCGAACTCCTGGGGTTAGTCTCCGCGTCCGTGACGTTCTTCGAGAGACTTCGATCGGGAAAATGATCAAATACATCATAGGCTACACGGGCCCGGGCTACATCGCGCAGAACATCAAGGACGCCATCGACTACTACAACGCGAAGAGCGGCATCGTCGTCTTCGCCGCGGGCAACAGCAACTCCGAAGCCGACTACTACCCGGCGTTCGCGATCCCGCGTCCGACGACTTTTCGAGAGAGCGCGCGACGAGCGCGCGTCGACGTAGGTACTACGATGGCACCGTCGCCGTCGCGGCGGTCCAAGACTCGGGGCTGCGCGCCTCCTTCTCCAACTACGGCGACTGGATCGAGATCTCCGCGCCCGGCGTGAGCGTCTACAGCACCATGCTCGGCACGTCCTACGGCTACGCTTCCGGCACGTCCATGGCCTGCCCCCACATCGCGGGCGTCCTCGCGCTCGGCAAGGCCGTCGCTCCTTCCATGCCCAACAGCGACCTGCTCGGCTGCATGTACTCGTCCGCGGAGGACGTCGACGGCAGCAACGGCGCCTACGCGGGCAAGCTCGGCGCGGGCCTCGTCGACGCGCCGGCGTTCCTCGCGTGCGTCGGCGACTCGTCGGACCCCGTCACCACGACGACCAAGCCCCCGGTCGGCGACGTGGAGCCCGTCAAGGACCTCAAGGTCAAGATGCACCGCAAGGTCGGCAGGTTCGGCGTCGCCGCGTGGCGCTACCTCACGCCCGAGGCCACGTTTGTCGTCGAGTTCCAGACCAACGTCGACGCGACGTGGGTCCGCGTCGACGAGAGCCGCTTGTACCACGACGAGACCGACGGCATGTTCTACCAAACGCTCCATCTCCCGGACTGCGGCATCAAGGGCATCGCCCGAGTCACGGCCGTCGTCGGCGGCGTCGCCAGCGAGCCCATGTACTCGAACATCTTCAAGATGAAGTGCTAGAGTCGCCCCCAAGAAGTCCATCGCCGGCCTGAGCACCCAAGTCCGTCGCGCAGGCGATGCCCCAAGAGCCCCTCCCCATCCCAAAACAGAGACGCGCTTCAGGCGCTGTTAATGTTGGACAGTCAAGCTACGCACCCCTGGAGGTGTCTTCCTGGAGGACTTCCTGGTCGCAGTCGAAGCTCGACCCCCGGCCAAGCTGGCCTCGCAGCTCACCTGAGCAGGACTCGTCCGGACTTCTCCCGGCGCGCCCTCGAGTTGTGACGGCCGACGGGTGCGACGCGGCTTCCGCCCCCCCTCCCCGTGCGCCGCCGGCCTCCCCCGGCCCTCTCCGCCTGCCGAGCACCAACTCTACCGAAGCGCACGTCGATTCGTGGATCCTGCCTCGCGCAATCGCCTCGCGCCAAGGCTTGGCGGCCTACGCCTCGGCCTCGGGCATCGCCTGAGCCCGGCGAAGGCCACTGCGAAACTGGCGCACGCCGCCTTCCCATCCCGCCTCCCTCTCCTCGCGCCAGTCCGCGTCGACGCGCTTCTCCCTCGCAGCTACACCCGCAAGGCGCTCGTTAACGAGCGCCCCCCAGCAATCGCCGCAATCCGCGGCGCACCAGTAACAAGCAATCGCAGCAACCATGCGTACACTCCTCGTCGCGCTCGCCGCCGTCGCGTCGGCGCGGCTCAACGAGCCCTCCCGGCGCCTCACGGATCCCGTCGCCTCGGCGCGTCGCCTGACGGACGAGCTCGACATGGCATACCTCTCCGAAGTCGCGGCCAACGGCCAACTCGGCGCGAAGGTCCTCTTCAAGCTCGACGCGAAGCACAAGCTCGTCGAGAAAAACAAAGCACACAAGATCGCCGCGAACGTCGTCGACGCGCTCGTCTGCCCCGGCGCCGAGCCGGCCGAGCGCGTCTTCCGCGACGCGGGCAAGCACGAGGCGGAGCACGAGAAGTTCGGCCTCCATCTCTGGTACTCGGTCGCGTGCGGCGCGGCCGACGACGACGGCCTCGACGCCGGGGCCTTCACCGAGGAGCTCACCGAGGAGCCGGCCACGTGCTCGTTTTTCGGCGACAAAAAGAAGTGCAAGAAGGGCGGCTGCGAGTGGAAGAAGGGCGCGTGCACGGCCAAGAAGGCCGAGAGCTGCAAGAACCACGACGACAAGAAACAGTGCAAAAAGGGCGGCTGCAAGTGGAAGAAGGACAAGTGCAAGGAGTCAAAGAAGAACAAGGAGTCCAAGAAGAACAAGGAGTCCAAGAAGGAGAAGAAGGAGGCCGAGACGCGCAAGTCCCGGCCCGCGGACCCCGAGGCCAAGGCCCTGGCGGACTCGCAGAGCGTCTACGACGCGCTCCGCCGCTTCCTCGACAGCGACGCGCACGACGGCGTCGTCGTCGTCGAGCCCGAGCTCGACTACGCGACGTCCTTCACGCCCGACGACCTGTCCGGCCCCCAGTCGCACTACGACGCCATCAACCTCCGCGAAGCCTGGGACCTCACGACGGGCGACCCCAACGTCGTCGTCCAGGTCCTCGACACGGGCATCGAGCTCGACCACCCGGACCTCCAGCTGAACATCTGGACGAACCCGGGCGAGATCTGCGGCAACGGCGTCGACGACGACTTCAACGGCTACGTCGACGACTGCCACGGCTACAACCACGCCGACGACACGGGCACGGACCTGATCGGCGACCACTGGCACGGCACGCACTGCGGCGGCACCATCGCCGCCGACAGCAACAACGGCGTCGGCGTCGCGGGCGTCGCCGGCGGCGACGGCTCCAAGGACTCGGGCGTCAAGCTCATGGTCTCCGTCGGCTTCGGCAAGACGCGCAACGGCGGCTTCGCGGAGGCGCTCCTCTACGGCGCGGACAACGGCGCGCAGATCTCGTCCAACTCCTGGGGCTACACGAGCGCGGGCGCCTACTCGCAGTCCGTGCTCGACGCCATCGACTACTACAACGCGAAGAGCGGCATCGTCGTCTTCGCCGCGGGCAACGAGAACTCGGAGAGCGCGTACTACCCGGGCTACTACGAGGGCGCCGTGGCCGTCGCGGCCGTCAAGAACTCGGGCGTCCGCGCGGACTTCTCCAACTACGGCGACTGGATCGAGATCGCCGCGCCGGGCGTCAGCGTCTACTCGACCCTGACGGGATCGACCTACGGCTACGCGTCGGGCACGTCCATGGCCGCGCCGCACGTCGCGGGCGTGCTCGCGCTCGGCATGGCCGTCGACCCCTCCTTCTCCCGCGACGACTTGCTGTCCTGCGCCTACGACACGGCGTCGCCCGTTGACGAGCTCAACGGCGGCGACGCGGGCAAGCTCGGCGCGGGCATGGTCGACGCCTGGAAGTTCGTGCAGTGCGTCAAGAACGACGGCGCCGCCGAGCCGCCGACGGCGAAGCCGTCCGCGGCGCCGTCGGCCAAGCCGTCCGCGGCGCCGTCGGCCAAGCCGTCCGCGGCGCCCACGGCCAAGCCCACGGCCAAGCCTACGCATGCGCCGACGAATCGGCCCACCGAGCGGCCTACCGAAAAGCCCACGGCCAAGCCTACGCCTGCGCCGACCGATCGGCCCACCGCCAAGCCTTCCGAGGCGCCTACCGCCAAGCCTTCAGAGGCGCCTACCGCAAAGCCCTCCGAGGCGCCCACGGACAAGCCCTCGCCGAAGCCCAGCTTCTCGCCTTCGCCGAAGCCGTCCTCGGAACCCACCGTGCCCCAGGTCGAGGACCCTCTCGTCCCCACCGCGAAGCCCTCGACGGAGGAAGATCTCGTCCCCACCGCGAAGCCCTCGACGGCCGCCCGCACGCCCCGGCCCACGCAAGACGTCGACGACGACCAGGGCTGGTACGCCGACGACGACGACGACGCGTACTCGTACTCGTATACCCCCGACGACGACTTGAAAGACGACTGGCGCCCTGAAGACGATTACGGCTACGAGTGGGACGATGACTGGTGGAAGTGGGACGACGACGACGGTCACTCTTACTACGGCGACGACGACGACTGGCACGAGGATGATCACACACCCTATTACTACTCCGAGCCGTACTACTACGATCACTACTACTACTACGAGCCGTATTACTACGGGGACGACGACCACGGCGACGAGGGCGGCTGCTGCATCCCGAACGAGGATGCCATGGAGCGGGGCTGGTACGACGACGAGCTCTTCTCAGAGTGCCCCGAGCACAAGACGTATAAGTCCTGCGAGCCCGAGCGCGGGCCTACCCGTGCTTGCGAGTGGGTCGAGAACTGCGGCGACGACGACTGGGGCTGGCACGACGACGACGACGACGACGCGTATTCCTACAGTTACACCCCCGACGACGACCTCGATGACACCTGGCGCCCGGACGACGATTGGTCCTACGAGTGGGACGACGACTGGTGGAAGTGGGACGACGAGACCTGGGACGACGACTGGTGGAAGTGGGACGACGAGACCGGCGACGATGACTGGTGGAAGTGGGACGACGAGACCGGCGACGACTGGCACGAGGACGACCACACGCCGTATTACGGAGACGGCGACGACCACGCGTACTACGGCCACTACTACTACAACCACTACAGGCCGCCGTACTACTATAGTAGCGGTCGCGACCACTACTATTACTTAGAGGACGCGTCGTGCGCGGCGTTGATCACGTGGTCGGAGTGCAAGGCCATGGAACCCTCCTGCAAGTGGAAGCACTCCTCGAAAGAGTGCGTCGTCGCGCGCGCCAAGGACGGGAAGCCCGGCAAGAAGCCCGACAAGGGCAAGCGGCCCGACAAGGGCAAGCGGCCCGACAAGGGCAAGCGGCCCGACAAGGGCAAGCGGCCCGACAAGGGCAAGAAGTCCGAAGGACGCGCCGAAGCAGAAGCCGAACGCGACCGCAAGCCTTGCCCCAAAGGGAAGCCCGGTCGCGACTGCCGCCGCGCGAAAAAACGCAACCGACTGAACCGCGAGTTCCTCATCAAAAAGCACGCCAAGGACAAAGAGCCCATCCAGCAGGGCAAGAAGTCCGAAGCCGAGCAGAAGCCGGAAAGCGACCGCAAAAAGTGCCCCCCCGGGAAGCCCGGTCGCGACTGCCGTCGCGCGAAGAAGCGCAACCGACTGAACCGCGACTACCTCATCAAAAAGCACGCCAAGGACAAGACGCCCAACGAGGGCACGAAGTCCGAAGGACGCGCCGAGCAGACCGACCGCAAAAAGTGCCCCTCCGGGAAGCCCGGTCGCGACTGCCGTCGCGCGAAGAAGCGCAACAAGCTGAACCGCGACTACCTCATCAAAAAGCACGCCAAGGACAAGACGCCCAACCAGGGCACGAAGTCCGAAGGACGCGCCGAGCAGACCGACCGCAAAAAGTGCCCCTCCGGGAAGCCCGGTCGCGACTGCCGCCGCGCGAAGAAGCGCAACAAGCTCAACCGCGACTTCCTCATCAAAAAGCACAGCAAGGGCGAGAACTAAAGCCCGACATCAAACGCCGCCACGCGCGCGCGAAGCAACGCCACGCCGCCGCCCGGTCCCCCATGAGCGCGACCCGCCGCGAAAGCACAGCCGCCGACTCCCTCGGCCGCTCAAACCATTTTACGACCACGACCACGACCTGCCTGCATAAATTACCCCGAAAAACACGCCTCGTCCTGGTCGTAGACCGCGCGGACGCGCGCGTCGAGGTCGTCGGAGCGGAGCGCGTAGGCCCGCCCCGCGCCGACGTTGCCGACGTTCGTCCGCAGGGACCGCGCGACGGCCGCGAGCTCCGCAGCCTCGAGCGCGCGGCCCGTGGCCGGCGCGGCGGCGCGGAGCATGGCGAGGAAGTCGTCCGCGAGCGCGTCGACGCGGCCGACAAAGTCCACGGGCGCCGCGAGCCGCTCGCCGCGGCAGGAAAAGTCCACGGGGCTGCTCAGCGCGAGCGCCTGGCTCTCGAGGTGGTGGTCCACGCCGCAGGCGCCGCCCTCGACGGCCGCGAGGACGCGCCGCGCGTCCGACTCGTCCAAGTCGGCGGGCGTGAGCGCGTGCGCCATGCGCGCGGACTCCTTGAGCGCCGAGTAGAAGCGCTCCGCGGGATCGCGGACGAACGCGAAGAAGAAGTACGTGTCGATCTGCTCGGCCGTGAGGCAGAGCGTCGAGCAGCGGCCGCCCAGCACGCCGCACGCGCCGACGTCGAGGACGTCGCCGCACTTCGTCCAGTAGGCGTCGAAGTGGCGCGTGAGCGCGGCGCGGATCGTCGAGCTCGCGGCCTTGCGGTTCACGAGCCAGACGAGCTTGAGCTCGGGCACGACGACGACCTCCTGCGCCGCGTGGGGCGGCGTTGTGCTGTTGCCGCGGCCGCCGGCGCAGCGCGACTCGCGCACGGCCCGAACCGGCAGCGCGCGGCCGCCGCACAGCTCGCGCGCCGGCGCCGCGGCGTCGCAGGCGGCGTCGGGTGCGGCGTCGGTCGCCGCGGCGTCGCAGGCGGCGTCGGGTGCGGCGTCGGTCGCCGCGTAGCCGCGGAAGCCGCAGCCGTCGCGCCAGCGCTTGGCGCGTTCCAGGCCCGCCGCGGCGTTGTCGTCTGCGATCGCTGCGCCGTGGTCTCGTGCCGCTGCGATGCAGAGGAGGACCAGGGCGCGCCGCATCAAATGCCGATGCGTGGCGGCGCACAAGATGGTCGGCTCATAGCATCATCGGCAGCCCCCGATTAGGAAAGTGCACGGTGCCAAAGGTGCCGCCAAAGGAATCTTCGGGTATCACAACAACGGCGCCCGGTCGACTGAGAGCGTCGTCGTCGCGCTGCCCGCCATGTCGCGCAAGTCGAGCCGGCGCGCGTCGCGGGACGGCATGGGCGCCCTCGACGACGAGGAGCTCGGGTCCACGGTGTTCCACGACGAGTTCGTGGAGCTCGACGCGACCCTCTACCGGACGCTGAACGAGAAGCAGACGAGCAACGTGAACTACGACCAGTCCAGCAGCGACATCGAGAGCCTCAAGACCGTGCGCGACGCCTACATGCTCTTCGGCCTCAACCCCGACGACCGCACGCACCGGCGGGAGCAGGTGAAGATGTGGAAGCACATCGAAGGCGCGATGCTCGCGGAGATCGGCGAGCTCACGTCGTCGGGGCGCCTCGAGTGCTACGACCGCGCCAAGGCCCTCAACGCGGCGCTGGAGAACATCCAGGCCGAGTTCAAGGGCCTGCAGACGTCGGAGCTGGGCCGCAACCAGGACGGCCAGCGCGCGGCGTTCGAGAAGGCGCGGCACAAATTGGCGAAGCGCGTCGCCGCCGAGGAGAACCGGCGCGTGCGCGAGTCGGAGCGCATGAGCGAGAAGCTCCAGCAGGACCTGGCCAAGCTCCAGGCCATCGAGCGCGAGAATTTGGAGCACGAGATGCTCATCGCCGTGCCCGGCAAGTGCCGGTTCTCGAAGCGCGTGTTGGAGCTGCGCCGCGCGGAGTCGGGCCTGAGCCGCCTCCACCGCTTCGACGAGGCGAAGAACGTGCGGCGCATGATCGACAAGATCGAGGGCCCGGAGAAGCGCGCCCACGCGAAGAACCTGGTGGCCGCGGAGCACAAGGTCCACGACGCGTTGAGGGCCGACCAGGAGTCGCAGGTCAAGCGCCTCCACGAGCGCCTCGGCGAGACCAAGTGGGCGGCGACGCGCCGCGCGGAGCGCGAGGCGAAGCGCGAGCGCCAGCGCGTCAAGAACCTGAACCTCGACATGGAGCAGGCGAACGCGTTGGACCGCCACCGGAAGCCCGAGCTCGTCGTCCACCCGTCCGCGCTGCTCCAGAAGCGCGCGCACCACGACGTGACGTCGTCGACGCTCAACGGCAAGAAGCTGCTCGACTCGGTCCTCGGCAAGAAGAAGGACGAGGCCGTCTACGTCGCGCCGCTCTGCGGGGACCACGCCTTCGAGCGGCCGCTCTCGGGCACGCTCGACTACCGCGGCTCCAGCCACGAGATCCGCGGGTAGCGTTCGGTAGTTTCCTTTGCGCGGTGTTCTTCTTCGGGCGTCGTGCGTTGTGACCCGCGGCGTGCGGCTTGCCGGCGACGAAGGCCTCGACGACGTCGACGTCGACGGCGCGCGGCCGGCGGGCGCGTCGCCTTGGCGGCCTCTTGGCCGCGCCAGGAGCAGTCGAGCACCAAGCATCTCCCGCGCCCGCTGTCTTGGCCGCGGCGCACGGCGCGCGTCGTCGTCGAGGCGTCTCCAAGCGTCGCGTCGTCGTCGCTGCCGCGGCACCGCTCTCGACCGCGCGCGCGCGTGGACGCGCGCCGACGCGATGGCGGCGCCGATGAACGTCATGGCGGCCGTGCGGTCCTACGTCGACAAGATCGTGGGCGACCCGAACTGCCCGGGCATGAAGGTGCTGCTCCTCGACGAGTGGACGACGAAGACGGTCGCCATGGTCTACTCGCAGACGGAGATCCTCGACCGCGACGTCTACCTCGTCGAGCGCCTGGACCAGGTGCGAAAGCCTCCGCTCTCGGCCGTTTTCCGCTCGTTTCGGCTGATATTTGGACGGGTGATCATCCCTCGGAGCGCTCTCGAAGCGCGTACGCTTTTGTCGAAGCGCGCGCGCGCGGACCACTCACGTTGAAGCGACGTCGAATCACCCGTTTCCCGCCCAGGCGCAGAACCACGAGGTCATGAAGCACCTCAAGGCCTGCGTCTTCGTGCGGCCGACGCCGGCGAACTTCGCCGTGCTCACGCAGGAGGTGCGCCGGGCCAAGTTCAGCGAGTACCACGTCTTCTTCAGCAACGTCGTCCCGGGCGACGCGCTCAAGGCCTTGGCCGAGGCCGACGAGAACGAGGTCGTGCGCCAGGTCCAGGAGTACTACGCCGACTTCGTGCCCGTCAACGCCGAGCTCTTTTCCTTGAACCAGCGCCAGTCGCTGCGGCTGTCCACGGAGCTGCGGGACGCGCGAGCGCCCGCGTCGTCTCTTTCGGGAGGAGCCGGGCGCGCGGCGGCCTTTGGGAGGAGCCGGGCGCGCGCCGCGGATCGCAGCGGCCCTTGGGAGGAGCCGGGCGCGCGCCGCGGATCTCGCGCCCGAAGCGCAGCGGCCTTTGGGAGGAGCCGGGCGCGCGCCGCGGACGCAAAATACCACGCACACACACGCATGTTCCCCAGGTTCCACCAGGACATGTTCGCGCGGAACGTCAACGGCCTGCTCTCCGCGCTGCTGAGCCTCAAGCTCCAGCCCTCGGTCATCCGCTACGCCGGCGCGTCGCGCGTCGCCAAGGCCGTCGCCGCGGAGTGCGCGAGCCAGATCGCCGCCGACGGCATCTTCCACTTCGCGTCGGGCAAGCGCGGCAAGCACCGGGGCAGGAAAAGGGTGCGACATGCCCAACTTCAAGGCTCGTTTTCCACTCGTTCCGGCTGATCTTTGGACGAGCGATTCGCTCTCGAAGCGTGGATCCTTTCTCTGGAACGATCGCGCGCGGAACACCCACGTCGAAGCGACGTTGAATCACCCTTTTCCTAGGCGGCGCGGGGCCGCTGCTGCTCGTGCTCGACCGCGCGGACGACGCGGTGACGCCCCTGCTGTCCGCTTACGGCGCGGATTTCTTTTTACTTTGAGCGTCGCGTTCCTCGCGGCGAGTTCGAGAGGCGAGTTCGCGATCCTCGCGGCGAGTGCGCGATCCCCGCGGCGAGTTGGCGATCCTCCCGCCCCCGGAGCGGAGGGCGACGTGCGCCCCCGCCTCGCCTCGCCTCGACGGCGTCCCCGCCTCGCCGCGCTGGACCCTCCGCTCCGGCGGCGGGACGAGCCGCCTCGAATCGCCCCGCTTCGAGGAAGACGCCGCGCTCCCCCTTAGGTCGCAGTGGACGTACCAGGCCATGGTCCACGAGCTCCTGGGCCTGAACAGCAACCGCGTCAAGCTCAAGGGCGCGCCCGGCGTCAAGGACAAGGACCTCGAGGAGGTCGTGCTCTCGGCGACGGACGACGCGTTCTACGCGGAGAACAAGTTCGCGAACTTCGGGGACCTGGGCATGGCCGTCAAGGACCTGCTCGACGACTACCAGCGCCAGACGAAGATGAACGAGAACATCTCGTCCATCGAGGACATGCAGTCGTTCATGGAGCGCTACCCCGCGTTCCGGTCGAAGAGCCTCAACGTCACGAAGCACGTCGCGCTCATCGGCGAGCTGAGCCGCCTCGTGGACGTCTACAAGCTCATGGACGTGAGCCAGCTCGAGCAGGACGTGGCCTGCAACGACGACAAGTCCGCGCAGTGGCGCGAGGTCCTCGCGAAGCTCAACGACGCGGCGGTGAAAGCGCCGGACAAGCTCCGGCTCGCGATGCTGTACGCGCTGCGCTACGAGTCGGCCCAGGCGTCGACGACGGACCGCCTCAAGCTCAGCCTCGAGGAGAACCGCGTCAACCCGGACAAGGTCGCGCTCCTCGACGCGCTCCTCGCCTACGGCGGCAAGCGCGCGCGCGGGCCGGGCCTCTTCGACTCGAACAAGAGTGCCGCGCCGCGTCCGCGTGTTTTGGAGACGCCGCGGCGCGCGAGACGCCGCGGCGCGCGAGACGCCGCGGCGCGCCGCCGCCCCGCCCCCGCCGCCCCCGCCGCCCCCGCCGCGCCGCCCCCGCCGCGCCGCCCCCGCCGCGCCGCCCCCGCCGCGCCGCCCCCGCCGCCCCCGCGGCCCGTCGTTTCCCGCCGCGCCGCCGCCCGCGGTCCCGTCGTTTCCCCGGCCTCCGCCCGCCGCCCGACGACCGCCGCGCCGACGCAGGTCTCCTCGCCAAGTTCAGCAAGCAGGTCAAGTCGTCCCTCGAGGGCATCGAGAACGTCTACGCGCAGCACGTGCCGCTGCTCATGGAGACGCTCGACGCCGTCGCCAAGGGCAAGTTGAACGCGCAGCACTACCCCGCCGCGACGACGGCGACGCCGCTCCAGGGCGCGAAGCACGACCAGGTGATCGTCTACATCGTCGGCGGCGTCACCTACGAGGAGGCCACCAAGGTCGCCGAGCTCAACGCGGCCAACGCCGGCGTCTCCGTCGTCCTCGGCGGCTCCTTCGTCCACAACTCCGGCACCTTCCTCGAGGACCTCGACGACGCGTTCGGGGGCCGGCGCTGAGCGGGCGCGCTGGGAGGTTCCGTGTTTTAAGGCGCACTGGGACCTCCTCAGAAGGCTTGGGTTTTCCGCGGCTCGGCGTCCGACTCGTGATGCGGCTCGCGGCGTACGCGCGCGCCGCGCTGCTGTCGAGGGAAACCGCAGACGTCGCAGACGTCTCGCGGGGACGTCGCGACCAAGCCTCGGGACGCGTCGCCGCCGCGGGAGGGGCGGACGCCGCCGCGCGCACACCGACGCGCCGCGCGCGGCACCCAGCAACATTGCTGTGAACGATCAGCGACGTGGAGTTGAAGGCGAGAGACGCACCACTCAGCATGGCGAAGCTCCTCCTCCTGGGCCTCGTGGCCTCGGCCTCGGCCTTCATCGCGCCCCAGACGTCCACGCGCGGGCTCACCGTCGTGTCGGTGTCGCGCCCGCAGCTTAAAGCCGCGAAGAAGGCGAACCGACTGCGCCCCAAGAAGTCGCGCCCGTCGGACATCAACCGCGCGCCGCCGCCGTACAACACGGAGCCGCAGTTCTACGAGGGCCGACCCGACGAATACGTGCGCGCCCAGCGCCGAGAGTTTGCGCGCGGTGTTTTCTGCGCGCGCGCGCGCGGGAGCCGACGTCGGGACGAGCGAGATGGAGCGAGCGGGTGGTCGAGGGAGCGAGATGGAGCGAGCGGGTGGTTGAGTTCGCCCCGGCCCGGGGACCTCGGCGCGTTCGCGAGCCTCGCGAGCCTCTCGCTGGAGCCCTGCCTTCGCGAGCCCCGAGCTTGTGGGACAGCGTTTTCGGGCGGGGCTCTTGCGGGCGCCGGCCGAGTTCGCCCCGGCGGTTTCCCTTCGGGTCTTCCCCGGAGAACTCGGCGCGTTCGCGAGCCTCGCGAGCCTCTCCCGGGAGCCCTGCCTTCGCGAGCCTCGAGCCCTCCCGGGGGCCCTGCCTTCGCGAGCCTCGAGCCGAGGAGCGAGCCCTTCGCCGAGGAGCGAGCCCTTCGCCGAGGAGCGAGCCCGGAGCGCTCTCGCGCCTTGAGGAGCGAGCCCGGAGCGCTCTCGCGCCTTCCCGGGCCTCGCGAGCCTCGAGCCCTCCCGGGAGCCCCGGTGCGAGCCCCTCGCCGAGGAGCGAGCCCTTCGCCGAGGAGCGAGCCCTTTGCCGAGGAGCGAGCCCTTCGCCGAGGAGCGAGCCCTTCGCCGAGGAGCGAGCCCTTCGCCGAGGAGCGAGCCCTTCGCTGAGGAGCGAGCCCTTCGCCGAGGAGCTCGTGGGCGCCGAGGCTCTCGCGGGCGCCGGGTGTCCGGGCGGGACGAGCGAGTCTCTCCCCCCGGGAGCCCCGACGCGAGCCCTTGAGGAGCTCGTGGGCGCCGAGGCTCTCGCGGGCGCTGGGCGGGACGAACGAGGCTCTCCCCCCCATGGTCTCTCTCCCCCTGGTCTCTCCCCCCGGAGGAGGACGTCGCGAGCCCTCCCGGGAGCCCGTCGCTCGCTCGCTCGCACCGTCTCCCCGGGATTCCACACCCCCACCCCCCCCCCCCCCCTTCTCTTTCGACGCCGCGCCGCTCCCCGCGCAGGTCGTCGTGAGCGAGGGCGACGACTCCTTCGACAAGAACGCGCACATCGCGTCCATCGTGTCCGCGCTCGAGGCGCAGGGCGAGTACGACAACACGGACGCGGCCGCGGACGCGGAGATCATGGCGGCGGTCAAATACCCGGACGCGGCGGTCGCGGCGGCGGCGATGGCGTAGGTGCCTTGGGGGTTGCGCTTCGCCCTAAGTCTGTTGAAGCCTTTTTGCTCCGGGGGCTTTTTGTTCCGGGCGCGTCGGGCCGGGGCTCCGGCGTTCTCGTGAGGCTGCGGGAGGGTTCTTTTTGTGATGTGGTGTGTTGTGGTCCGGGGCCCGACTCGTGCCCGGGCCTCCTTCGCGTCCAGGCCCGCGCCGGGGCCTGCGTTGGGCGACCATTCACGTGCCCGGCGGCGTCAGCGCCGGGGCCGCCGCGTCGTGCAGGGGCCTGCTGCGGGGCGAAGGGGTCGGGAGCATTAGAGAGGGCCAGGAAAAAAAATTTAAAAGTGCGACTTTACTGCATTCATTAGGGACTTCGAACGCGAACAGAATTTTCACCAAATTCGTGCAGCTCGTGAGGTCTCAGCTGCATCCAATCCGATGTGGTGTAGGTGGTTAGCATACTTGGCTTTCACCCAAGAGACTCGGGTTCGAGTCCCGGCATCGGAAGCCTCAGCGCTAGGCGTGTCGCTCTTTTTTTGGTCCTTTCACGCTCGAGTCCCGGCATCGGAAGCCTCAGCGCTAGGCGTCGAGTCCCGGCATCGGAAGCCTCAGCGCTAGGCGTGTCGCTCTTTTTTTGGTCCTTTCACGCTCGAGTCCCGGCATCGGAAGCCTCAGCGCTAGGCGTGTCGCTCTGCCTGCGGCGTTTTTTGTCACGCTCGAGTCCCGGCATCGGAAGCCTCAGCGCTAGGCGTGTCGCTCTATCGGAAGCCTCAGCGCTAGAGGTTCCTTATTATCTCAGCGCCTGGGTTCTCATGCGCTCGCGTTTGCGCCCGCGCCGGAGCTCGTTCGGACAGTTGCTGGCTGGGCGCGGATTCGCGCGCTCCGACGGCCATTGGAAAGCTGCGCGCCAGCAGACCGAGGTGTGCTAGGTCCACGAGTTGTTCGTCGAGAGCATCGAGTCATGCATCGCGTTCGGCGCGACGTCAGTGCTGCTGACCGAGTTCGTCCGGACGGCGGCTGGGCGCGGGATCGCGCGTGAAGATCGCCACGGGCCCCGAGCAACGGGCGCGACCCAGACCGAGCTGTGGTAGCTCCACGAGCTGTTCGTCGAGAGCATCGAGTCATGCATCGCGTTCGGCGCGCCGTCAGTGCGCCGCTGACCGATCTCGCTCGGAGGGCGGCTGGGCGCGGAGTCGCGCGTTCCGACGGCCATTGGAAAGCTGGGCGCGACCCAGACCGAGCTGTGGTGGCTCCACGAGTCGTTCGTCGTCGAGAGCTTCGAGTCATGCATCGCGTTCGGCGCGCCGTCAGTGCTGCATGAGGACGGCGCCGAGCGCTTCGCGGTTGCAGCCGTCTGCGCCGTGGACAGCGCCGTGGGCAACGGCACAGCGACGAAGTGCAGGCCCTTCCGCGCGGCGCGCGGCGCCGAGCGGATCGCGTGCGGACAGAGCTTCGCACCGCGCGGCGTCAATCGAATGGAGCTCGACCCATCTTTAACAACGCGTTAGGCTGCACGAACACATATGTCGCAGCGCTGCGCGTGGCCGCCGGCGCGAACGCCGCGCCGAGGGACTCGACAGTCGCGACGAGCCGGAGAGCGTGCATCTGGTCGAGAGCATTCATCTGTTCGCCGAAGCGGAAGCGCTGCGACGACATGTCGAGCCACGCGGCAGCGCGCGCGAGCAGGTCGTGCCGCGAGGCCTGGGGCCGAGCCAACGCACGTGCACGGCGCCATTGTCCTACGCGTATGCCATTCATGTGTACTTGCTTCCATTGCTTCCATCGATTCTGTCGCTTCGGCTTCCGCTTCAGATACCGATTCCTGCATACTCAACCTAACAATTGCGATCAACGGACTACCAACTGAACTCCTAATCGAGTTCAGGTCGGCGGTTCGCTCTCTCGGGGGTATAGCTCAGGGGCAGAGCGATCGCTTCGCATGCGATAATCGTTGGTAGGACGCCTACCAGCGATCGTCGGGCCGCGGGTTCAAATCCCTCTACCTCCATTGCGGATTTTTTTTGGGTTTCGGGAGGTGTGGATGTTGTGTTTGGTGTGTGGAGGTGTTTTTTGATGTGTGTGAGTGTTTTTTTGTGCGGTATGTGGTGTTTTTTGTGTGTAGTGTAAAAAAAAGAGAGAAATAGGAAGGTGGAAAATGCGAAGGCAATATGGCTGTAGAGAGTACGACGAAAGGAATCGATCCATACAAAAATCGCCCCAAGCGGCGTCGATGGGCACGCACTTGCCCATTTAACCAACTACCCGGGTTACCGGCTCGCTCTTTCGATGTGCTTGTCTCCGCGAATCTGCCCAAATATTTATAATATGGGCAGAATACGAACGTGAAGCTTCAATGCTAAACAAATCAAGGGGCACACCCCTCGAGAAATGCGCATCATGATCTTGTGTCCGGTCTGTGGCACCCCGGCGAGACCGCCACAGCTCTCCGAAGCGCTTGCCGCAGTGCGTCGCTCGACGCCCGCGCGCGCCGCCGCCCAGCACGCTACGCCAGACCTTCCGAAACGCCTACATCCGCATCGACGAACGCGCAGGCGCAGGCGCGCGCATCAATCGATTCCCCGACAGCACTCAAAACAACCCATGGAGCTCTCCCGCTCCACGGCCCGAGCCAAGCGCTCCTGCGCGGAGAAGGGCTACGTCACGGACGCCTTCGCGCCCATGTTCAGCGACGACACGCACACGCGCACGGATCCCATCATGCATCGCGGCTACTACGCGCGCTTCCGCGGCGTCGACGTCGCCGTGCGGACGTTCTTGTCGAAGTTCGGCGACAGCGCGCAGCTCGTGGTGCTCGGCTGCGGCCTCGACTCCATGTTCTGGCGCCTGCACGCGACGCTCGACACACCGCCCACGTACTTCGAGGTCGACAGCGACGTCGTCTGCGCCGCGAAGCGACGGATCGTCCGCTCGCACCCGGCGCTGCTCGACGCCGCCGGCGCGCGCGGCCTCGGCGCCCTCGGCGGCCTCGGCGCCCCGGGCGCCTCGGCGTCCTCCCGTTACCACCTGGTCGCCGCGGACCTGCGCGACGTCGACGCGCTCGACGCGAGCCTCCGCGCCGCGGGGCTCGACGCCGCGAAGCCGACGCTCGTGCTCTGCGAGTGCGTGCTCGCCTACCTCGACCCGGAGCGCGGCGACGCGCTCGTCGCCTGGTCGCGGCGCACCTTCGCCGCCGCGTGCCTCTTCGTCGCCTACGACGTCGTCGCGCCGAAGACGGGCGACGCGTTCGGCCGCGTCATGCTCTCGAACTTCAAGGACCGCGGCGCGCCGCTCCTCGGCGCGGCCGAGAGCCTCGACGCCGTCCGCGGCCGCTTCGGCGACTACGAGGCGTCGGACGTCCGCGACATGCGCGCGGTCTACGAGGCGCTCGTGCTCCGCCAGCCCGCGGAGCTCCGGCGCATCTCCGCGCTCGAGATCTTCGACGACCCCGACGAGTTCAACCTGATCATGGCGCACTACTGCTTCGCCCTCGCCGGCGACGGCGCGGCCGTCGACGTCGCCCGCGGGCTCGCCGCGCAGCTCGACGCGGCGTAGGGCGGCGGCCCGCGGGGATTCTAAGGTGCATTCGCCGTTACGCGCTAGTAGTCGTGGTGTTCACCGCCCAGATCGCGGATCTTCGAGTCCAACCAATAGATTGAATATTGTAGAACGTCGTGATTCTCGTGAGGTTGGTTGATGGTAAGGAGTTGGTCATAGTATGCCTCGAGCGCCGCCAGTTCAAGCCCTTCGAGACAAGCTTTGAAGCATTTGTCTCCTGCGTCAGCAACGGAGTAATCCGAGTCAGTAAGGGCTGCGATGAAGGCGGGAATGTACGCCTGGCGCGGCCCGGGGTCGAGCTCAAAGAGAAGTTCAAGAGCATACCGTCGAGCGAAGTCGTTGGTGTCGCCGAGCTTTGCCGCGATGGCCGTCGCGTGTTCCGCGATTTTAGCACCGGGCAATTCCAAAAAAAAGATCATCTGAAATACGAAATAATCATCCACGTTCTCGTCTTCGAGCATGGCCACGATGCGATCGGCGTGCTCCGCGAGAACGGTCTGCTCAAGCCGCACGAGCACATGGGCAACATCGCTTTGCATCTCCATATTGTCGTCGGCGAGCTTCTCGACGACCGCGCCGGCGTACTTGGCGAGTTCGCGCGGCTCGAGCACCCGCAGCTTCTCGAGCGCGGCCAGCCGCACGTGCTGGCGCGAGTCCTCGAGCTGCGCACGAATCAAAGGCTCTTTCATCGCGTCGCGCCAGGCCGTAGAGCAGATGGACATGCAAGCCGCAATATCCGCGCACAGCACCGACGGCCCCCGGGGAAAGATGTGGATCAAAACTTCCGCGCCGACCACGCGCCCCGCCTCCGCGCGCCGCGCCTCCTTGAGCGCTGTGATTTCGTGGGATAGCTCTATCGAGCGAATGCTGATTTTGCGCCGCGACTGGTCCCGCTCCTCCTGGCGCTCCTGTTCGAGTGCGAAGCGCTGGTAATCGGACAGGCGCGTCGCGGCGGCCTCGTCAGTCAGCTCCATCGAGCGAAGGCGCGCGCACACAGCAGCAGCCAAGGCGTTGGATTCACTCGAAAGGTCGCGCCATGCTCTCCCGAGCTCCGCCGGCACAGCAGCACTGTCGGCTGATTCCTGATACCTTACCCCTCGCAGCCAGCTCAAAACTGGCCAAGCGTTGAGCCGCGCCGCCGCCGCCGTCGCACACACACACAGCAGCGTACAAACAAGCACCAAAAAGATGGAGAAGGGCGTCGGCAGAGAGCTGAAGACCATCACGGACAGCGCGGCGCGGCGCCACAACCCCAAAACGCCTCGCGCCGTCGTTTTCTGCGAGAGCATGGGCTGCCCGAGCAACCCCGTCACGGCGAAGCGGCGCCCGCGAGAGGAGAGCCGAGGCGTCTCGTCCGGGGGAG